AACAAAACAAACAGTAAACAAAAAAAGAGTTATTACTTGTAATTAACATTTACAAAGACTTTCTGATTTATTAATTTATTTGTTTGTTTGTTTTTTAATGAAGGAGATAAAACGAAGCTTTTAGTAGTAACAGATCAAAAAACTTTTGTACAGTTTTATTTTATTTTACTTAATCATAATTGAATTTAAAAGATTTTGACAGATTATCAAGGGATTGTTCTTGGATACTTTAGGAAGATCACATTAACAAAACTAGCCAAATCATATATTATGTTTGATAGAAGACTAAAATCTGAAAATTAATGACTAATAGTAAATTCATTTTGTAAAATAAAAAATAGATATGCTTAATGATAAATTAATTAAATAGCACATAGTAATTAATTCAAAAATTTTCATTTTGAATAAAATATAAGAAAGTGTAAAAAGTTCTTTTTTGGATATAAAATAAAATAAACTTTTTTTATGAATGCTAACAATAATATTATTATCAGTTCAGATTATAAAGCATTCAATTATGAGATGTCAATATAAAATTATAATGTTGTCGTTGTTGCCAGCAGCATTTATTGATTTTTTCATTTTTCAAATTTATAAAATTTAAAATTTTATCGAAGACAGAATGTAAAAACTTGTAATATCATTCATAATTTAGCATTTCCAAAAGTAAAATATCACAAAAAGATGAAATTTCTGCCAAAACTGGTTACAATTTAATATCATTGCACAAAATTGAATGCTTATAAAATGTGAAGAAGAGAGAAATAGAAACTATAAAAAAATGTTTGATTTGATTTTTATTTGGAAAATAAATTTAAAGATTAGGAAGTTGAAAGAGCTGGTTTTTGAAAAACGGATGAATAGGATAGAGAGAGGAACCGGATCAATTGTATATTTTGTTTGCCGGATCAATTCATACCGGATCAATTGAATATTCTGTTTACTGATTTTAGGTAAAGTTTTTAATTCAAAATTTCTATTAGTAAGTGAAAATTTCATTTCTTTTTTTTCTTCTCATTTTAATTATTTTAATTTATACAAAAAGTTATCATATATTTGTAGTAAGAAAAATTTTCACAATTCCAAGTAATATTACTTTTAACGAATAATTATTATATAATAAAAAGAAAGAGTGATAAGAATTTTGTTTCTTTAATCAAAGAAAATTGATAATTTTTTTATCAGATAAAAAGCAATCCATAAATAATTTTTACGACAAATTATCAATAAAATATTCACAATAATACTAATACTAATAATATAAAGAAGTATCATTGATTTAACTATCAGAAGGATTGCTTTATGAAATGATAATGAGAAAGAAAGAAAAAATTCAGAAGAAAGAGGTCCTGAAAAAGTATGCAAAGTAGAAGTGAACCGATTGATGATTGTATGTTTTGTCGAGTGCTGTCATTATTTTGTAGCGCGCAGCGCATTGCAATACCAAAATGAAATTTGTTTGTCGTGTTGAGAATGAGCAATGGGAATCATAAATTTTCCCGAAAAACAAAATCAACCATTAATATTGGAAATCTTAGTAATATTAATAATAACAATAATAATAATTAATAATAATAATGATTAATAGTAATAATAAGTTAATAATAATAATAATTAATAGTAATAATCACAATAATAATAATAAATTAATTAATAATAATGATAATAATAATTATTATTATTGTTATGTTATAATTAATAGTAATAATCACGATTATTATTGTTGTTATATTATAATTAATAGTAATAATCACAATAAACTTCTAATTAATATTGTTAATAATGAAAATAATAATTAATAATAATAATAATAATGGGCATTAATTTCTCATCCTCAGTAATTAGTACTAATTAAGAATTAAAGCCAATTCCTTGTAGTTCTTTATAATATTCATGCTTTCTTCAGCAGCTAAACATTAGAGATACGCCTGAATTATCAATTCGGAACAACAATTACGATTTCATCTATTAATTTAATCCACAGATCATCAAGTTGTCAAATAATTTCTAAACATTCAAATTGCAGCTGATACATTGCAATGTTTCCATAATTTAGTCCACTTCAATATTATTATTATTATTATTTTTATTATTATTATTATTATTATTATTATTATTATTATTATTACTATTACTATTATTATTATTATTATTATTATTTATTTATTCATTTATTTATTATTATTGTTATTTATTATTATTTATTTATTTATTATTATTATTTTTTGAGCTATTCCTTACTAAATTTTATTAAGTGTTTTAGAGTTATTTGTAACAGTATTAGATGTATAATAATTTAGAGTAAAGTTTTGAATTTGTTGAAAATATGCACATATATACCTGAGTGCATAATTTTGTTGCATCAATTCGTATCGAACTCGAAAATCGTGGTGCAAAACGATTGCGAATTTCGAGACGTGTGGCCGAATGAGAGCGTCGCCGACTGTTCGTCATATCAACAATACTAGATCCGGTCATTCAACCAACATTGAACATCATCGATCTTTGACAGTACTCGAAAAGGGTGAAGATAGAAGAGCAAAACCTTTTCTGCAGGATTGAATTTATCAATGTTACCGTTCAAACTAAACCCACCTCTCAAGATAGTTAATCAACCGTTCAGCGTAACGGGTACTCCTTTTCTTTTCTCAACCTCCTATTCACAGTATTTTACTAATTTGAATGATACGAAAGATCAGTAAGGGACGAACGATACTGCGTATCTCATCTTCCTCTCCTGATCTATTCTCCGATCAACCCAGTTCATCAATTACTCAACTCCCTCTCTCTCACTCCCTTCGCTCCACCCCCTTAATTTTATTCTAAATTTTTTTCAAAATAAATGATTATCCATAATTATCTAAATTTTTCCAATCTTAGACATATAAATCCATCAACATGTTATTCGCAAATCTCCTCTCCACCAATAAAGAATAAGCGTTGACAAATTATCGATTTTCAAGGACATCGTTGATCATTTCTACTCTCTTATCAATCTCTAAGACGAAAGTATCAATGCAAACATCGCAGACATCTATATTTCGTTGTTTATAGCTCGTAAAAATGGTTTACAGATCATAAAATCACCAATGAACCCGAAACGGATATAGGGTCGATAAAAGTGAAATGCATAAAATGCAAAAGCAGAGCACTTACTTTTAAAAAAAACATTTGAAATCATTATAAACAAACAAAAACAATCTAAAACGTAATGACTTGCAACTGAACAACATGCGTTCTGTTGAACTAGAGAAAAACTCGAGATGTAAAAATGCCAAAAGATTCAGTTTTATATCCTTTTCCTTTTGCTCAAAAGACCTCACAAGAGAGGTTACCATTAATAAATTCCTTTTTTAATTTGTTATTGATTGTCAAATCTTACTGTCTTCAGTTAAAGCAGTATACCAAAATAACAACATGAAAAAGGTAAACAAAGTGAAGATCTGTGAAAAGTTTGGCTTTGACAAGACATTTTCCTTTAAAAAGTGCTTAAACGCTTCTCCAAACATAAACCTGCAAATGCAGTACAGGATATTAAAGCATGCTTGACCAGTAACGTCTTTGAATACAAAATAAATAATTTAATTTTATGAATGTTATATGAAAGGGGCAGTTTCGTTGAGTACAACTTCTGCTCGAAACCAACTCGCATAAGAATCAAATTGGAAAAAGTAAGCGTTTGGTCAACAAATCAATTAACCTACCATTGAAATTAATAATAATGAGAGATAGGATTGAATCGATTAAAATCGACTGCAATTGTTAAGCACTCGGGTCTTATATCAAGGACAGCATTTCTGTTTTTTTGCATGGTAAAAGTGGTGCTACCAATTTCCTTTGTATTCCGCGAAAAGGACGTCAGACAAGCTTTATTTATCTTAATCAGATAGTAAACTTCAAAAGTTTCTTCTTTAAATTCCTATCTCTTTTCTTGAAGAAAAATTCTATCCTCCTATCTTTATTGATTCCACTATTCAGTTACGTATGCGTTGTAACAACTATCAAAAATAACAGCAGAGGTATAGAAAAGTACGGTCTGTATTCTGAGCCTTCTTTAAGAGGCCATGTATAGAGTGAAGTGCAATAGGAAAATACAACTTTTTGAAGAGATCTCACGATTTAATAAAGCTGTTTCGTCCAAAGTTTGAAGGTACGGTCAAAAGCAACACTTGCAACCCACTTTCCATCGAGCGATATGTCAACTCCCATCACTTTCGTGTCGTGACCCATGAGCTGCCGCAAAGGTCGCCAACCGCAAGTTTCCCAAACCTAAAATTCCATTTAAACGTTTATAAAAAGAATAAAAAACGAAAATTCATATGTACCAATAAAAAAATAATTTTTCAAGACACAAAGTTCGCAAATTCTCTATTATTTTCTTTTCATCAATCCCAAATGTGATTTTAGAACACTCACTTTCAAAGAGTTATCAAAGGATGACGTAATAATGTATTGTCCTTTTGATTCTACCCTAAGACCAGACACGAGGGAAGTATGAGCCGCAATTGGTTTGAGCGCACGCCTTATCCTCAAATCCCAAACCATGCAACTATTATCCGCAGAACCGGTGACCATCTGATAACTGAAAAAATTGATTTTACCAAGCCTTAAATCATTTCGCCTCAATTTATTGCTTGCAGTGTTATCACGAGAAAATCATTTTGAGCCATTCTAACCGATAATCCATTATCCTAAGACTTTAACAAAAATCTCTTCCCAACTCACCCGTTCGGTAACCACTGCCCACAGTGGATTTCTTTCTGATGACCCTCCAGAAACATAATACAACGGCCTGTTCGTAAATCCCATACACGGCCGTAACAATCCATACCGCTGCAAAAGCAAAATATTATGACAAAATAAAATATAATTTTGAATAATAATATAATAGCTAACGCTGTCATAATAAGCGATCCATCCACTTGAAAATCGGCATGGAAAACCGGCCGGCTGTGCCCTTCTTGAAAAAGAACTTCCTGTCCGTACTGCAAATCGAATAATCTCCATGAGCAATCGAAACTGGAAATAGAGAAAAGTTATCAAACGTCTAATAATTCCTACGAAAGACATTGATACTAGCAAAGATTTCCTAGGAATTTTTACCATATATGTTCTCGCTTAACCATAGCTACTAAGATCGTAGCTAAAATAGGCAAAAATCCTGTTATGTAAAAAGTATAACAAAATTGGTTACTGTGCCGCAATTAGTTTCAATTTTACAGCATAAAAGCACATTTATACAACATATCATTTGTAATTGAAATAAATACCAGCAAGAAGCAAGGAATCGTCCAGATGGATGAAATGCAATCCGCGATACCCGTTGAGAATGCGGTTCAAGTTCGGATAGTGGCGAATCACTTTCCAAGCTCCATAATTTTACCGTTCCATCATGACTGCAACTAGCAGCATTCAATGCATATGATTCCTGAGAAACATATGCTCCTGGATGAAATCTGGCACATCCTGCTTGACTGGAATGTCCAATAAATTTCCTTTCACGGCTACTTTCTGGTATCGACCAAATGCTGCATTCTCCTGACCTAAAAATGAAATCATGTCAACAATACAATTTTAAAATGATTGGTAAGACTTGCGTAATATTTGAGTTGGCATCTCCATTTACTAACTAACTGATCCTCTATTAACTATTGTTAAACATTACATTTTATCAGTTTAGCCTTTTACCTTTTACTTTCTTTTACCTCCAATTCTTACTTGTTTCCATGCTTCACTTCTTCGATGAGAACTTTTAAGAAATAATTGCTTGCTAAAAAAAAACACACCATCCAGAGGTGATGAGATGTTTCGAGTCAGGTGAAAATTCACAATATGAAACAGGTCGAACATCTGCTACTTGTGAACCATAAACTGCTAGCGCTGCAACCCATCGATGCATTTCTTGCGCACGCACAGCAGCATCATTTGTTGCACGAGTAGATTCCTCATGTGCCTGGAAACCAGAGTTAAACCATTAGTTTATTAGTATAAAAGAATGAAGAAATGAGTTTCAAACAATATACCTTTTGCAATCTTTCTTGAGCCCTTCTCAACGAAAAATCAGCAATCGCGACGCGAACATCTCGAAGAGCCACCGGCCCTTTATGATACCATGTAGATGAATCTCGCTGTTGCACCGTTTCTGTCTCTTCAGGACTGTGCAATATTCTTGTAACTTCTTCTTCAGACAACGTCGATAGTAAGGCCCGCAATCTTTCCTTTCGGTCCAGTTTGTCCTCCCCGAAAAGACCTTAAATTTTTCATTCATTAAAACCAGTAATAATAAGTCATCAAGAATACAAAAGGAACTACCAATAATTACAAGAATTTGATAAAATATATAAACATTTTACAGAAACTAGAATGAACTGATGTTTGTACGATTTCTGACACTTATTTGTTACATTGTCTCGATTAATTTATTAATTGTAATTATTATTATTATGTTCTCTCCAGCATTTGGTCGCAACAGCAATTTGGACTAAAAATCCGAGCCTAGCAACGACTGCGTCTTTTATTTTATAGATAATTTAGCGCTTTTATAATTTGATCTTTAAAGCCCATAAAAAAATCCAAAAAAATCCTCAAAACCAACTCACAGATCGGTTCGTTAAGTTTCCGCAAAAGAAGTTTAACATGTCCATCATCCGTAGGTAAAGTTAAAGTACGAGCTCGTCGTCGTCGCTCGAACTCTGCCATTACTTCTCTTTCCATGGGATTATCCACCATCTCCAAATCGAATTGATCATCTCTCCTTTCATTTTCACGTTTTTCAGCTTCTGCCTGAAATATGTCACCTAGAAACTTGGAACTTTTCCCGTAAATATTTTCAGAATAGCAATCATAAAATTCTGAAAACCATTTTGAGACTATTTAATACAAGTTTTGTTAGAAATTTCATATTAAATGATGGACAAACTAATGTCAATTCATTATACATCCAGCACTCTTTACTTTGGTTTGAACTAAATAAAAGTACTTTCTTATTTAGTTCACTATTCAATGAAAGCAGCGTTGAAGAATAAAGTTGTACTACAAGGTAATATTAAACCTTTTTCAGTACTTTTTCTCATCAATAAATTTTTTGCTTAATATAATTTTCCTAACAGCATGTTAATAAATTCGTTTAATTTCACTTTTATAAATTTCTTTACTCTACAGCTTAACGATCACTTCAGTAAGAAAAAAACAGAAATTTCGTCGGGAAATGGCAGCTGAAACTTCACTATCATCAAACATGATGTAATGATGAACTAAAAAAAAACTAAAACAAAGAGTGAAACGCTAACTAGCAAACAGTGAACCAATACAGTTGTTCCCTTTATCCATCTGTCTTAGCTAAAGGTAAGGCCTCATTGTTTTTACTTGAATAAAACACAAACAAACTGTCAGTACTTGCAGCTTATAAACAGTTTCTTCATTGGCAAGACTGCCAAAGTGCACCTTCTGAACTGCTGTTGGAACATTCGGTTGTTGTGCTTCGCCCATTCTGCCCAGCCTTTTACCTACAATTAATTGAATGAATTTGATCAATTCAGACTTTTTTACAAATGAGTGCCACAAATAGATTTCGAAAAACCACTCAAAGTTAATGTAAAAAAAATCGGAATATTCGATTGGTCGATTTCATAATCCCGTCCCAATATCTCATATTGAAGATTAAAACTTAATACAATAAAGCGAAGTCCCAGCAAAGTTTTATTTTATTACCGGGTCTGAATATACCCATATTAAGACCCGCTGAGTAACGAATGTAACACACGAAATGGACGAAAATTTTAGTCTCCCCTTACATCAATACATCGAATTACTGATTTGCAGTAGAAGTGTATGTTTACCGCTCTCACAGAAGTTCAAAATTTCGTTTTTAAGGGATTTTATACATTAAAGTAAAATTGTCATTTATCAACTATGAACAACGCTCATTTATTGATTGGTTGAAAACTCTTTTGATAATGTGACACAATAGTCTTACCTTTTGGATATAGTACCACAGAGAGTAATTAATTGGTAATAACAATGCTTTCACTGTCATTAGGGACACATTTCCTACAAAATATTTATGGAATAACATGACTTAATACCACCCAATCCATCCCAGAGCAGCTCATTTTAACCCCAACGACTATTCCTTGTCTTTTCACAATACTAATATTCCACGACCAACTCATTTTATTGAAACTAGACATTTCTTATAAATACCATATCAATACTGTTAGTAAATAAAAAAAAAGATAAGTGATACAACTGTTTTATTTTTTTAATTTAAAACTAATCTCTAAATTACTCTTCACTTTTTCGAAATTCACAACTTGAAATTCTGCTTGGCTGACGAATGTTAATTTTGATGGATAATGAAGATACTGTATTTTAGGAATTGGAAAGCGGAAAATCTCAAAACACCGCACTCTACGAAATATCTTGAACTTTACCAACTTAGACTTTACTATGACATTACTTCTCGGCCAGGCCTTGTGCTGTATTTCACGGTTGGTGCATATCATCTCCAACTTGAGATAATGCGCTTAGTGGTTGAGGAAGGGGTTCGACGTATAGTGTGAAGGAGGTGAGGGATTAACCCTAAATGACGTATTGTCAAAACACCCTTTTCACCATACTTGTCCATGTTATCACAAAATTAAATGTTTGTGATACACATTTGCGTGAATTTGTTATGGTTGTTAAACCCATCTGAGCGTATGAGATCTGGCGTGTCCTGAACATTTTTGATTTTTTATAACCATCTGTTTCATCACGTCTTGTTTTTCTGTGACTTTTATGACAAATATCCAATGGTACGTCAACCATTTTAAAATTACACTCATTGGAATTAATTAGCACGAAATCTAATATGATTCATTAGGGCTTCAAGTCTTATGGATTAGCATAAGTTTCTTACGTGAAAAACTATCAATTAAATTGTAGGATTTGTGGAATTAAGCATTATGAAGGTTCCCGAAGATATTCCAGTGCGGAAATTGGTAGTCGACTCTAATGCTTTCATCAAACGAATACCTTTACATGTAAGTGTTAAAGTTGATATCATTCTACCACAAAATTTTATAAACAGATTCCTTTATTACTATCCACGTTTTTCGTTTCTGTTAGTTAAATAATAAGAACGATTTATATGGTTCGAACTGCTTTCCTCTTGTCGAAAATTTAACCACCTTTTTTACCATTTTTTATCGAAAATTTAACCATTTTTTATCTTTTACAGAGAAAGATTTCAGGACTTGGCCTCGGAGATTTATACGGTGTCAGGAGTAATCAATGAATTGAAATGTGAGAAAATGCGTCATCTTCTTGACAGTCTTCCGTATCAAATTTACGTTCAAGAACCAACGATGGAATCTCTCCATATCAGTTGGTTTATTCGCATTGAGTGAATCATAATCCCTTTTTACCTATGCGGTTTAATGGACATTGCGTATTTTCTTTAATCATAAGTTTATGATGGCTGATTGATTCTGATATGGTAATTAGTGACTCAGTAGTTGTAATTTTTGTTACCTACTAACTCTTTTAACAGACTTTTGCTGTCTGTTCAAATCCTGAAGTTTGATTAATTTATTGATCTATGAGTCTAAATTGACGGACATGTGAACTCTACCACGAGTGACTACGTTTTGTAACATACTCATCTTATACCAAGCGACTGTTGATTATGCCCGATTCGAAAAATATTTAAAAATGTTGGATTCGAAACTGTTTTGCAGTCCTATATTTTAGTTAATATCGTTTAATTATTTCTCATGACATTAAGCTTAAGCGAAATACTTAACAATACTACTTATAAATTTACCAATACAATCAAGATTATAGTTCTATTAAAATACGCCAAAAGTTTGTTTTAGTAACCGAATTTTCGAAGAAAACCGGTGATTACCCCTCATTATCAGCAGTTGACTTAAAATTACTAGCATTGGTGCATGATCTTCACTTGAAACAATATGGAAAAGATGATTTACACTATGATTTGGAAACCATTAGCGACAAGTCATCAATGAGTTATCGACAAACAAAGGACACAGTAGCAAAAGCGAACGATAATGATATCAAAGTGGAGAAAGTAATTGATTCGTAATTTTATTTATGGATTTTATTGAGTCGCTATAATAGTTAGATAATGCTCTTTATGATGTCGACCACTAGGTATAATTTCATTTTTCATAACTTACTGCATTTTTTTGAAGCCTGCATTTTCCTTAATCACTAATTTTTTTATAACTTTAGTTTTGAAATAAGATTATAAGTTCAGTAGCATTATTGTACTTACAGAACGCTATTGCAACTGAAAGAAAATCAGAGTCAGAAGAAATGGGAGACGTTAATGATGTTAGTGATGATGCTAGAATTGACAGCAACAGCAGTGATGATGGTACTTGGTTAAATGAGAGTAATGTGGATGAAATATTGGGACATGTGGGTGAAATAGCGATGCCGGAGAAAGAAATGAAGGTTCAATTTCAACAAAAAAAATATATTCTTAACTGAATTGTTTCAAGCTCAATTTGATTGTACAGTCGATATTGGAAGTGATTGCTGTTAGCAAACATCAAAAGAATATATTTTAGGTGGCGTGTGTTACGACAGATTTTGCAATGCAGAACGTTCTTCTTCGTTTGGGTCTTTATTTATTGTCTGTTAATGGTTATAGGATACAGCGATTGAATAATTACATCCTCAGGTAGATTTACCAATCAAAAATTGCAGATTACCTACAGTGTAACAGAAAATTGAGAGATTTTCATTCGATTCTCAAGATGATCAGTTTTCAAAATCTTTCCTTTTTTTAATATTTTGTATTAAGATATTTATTATATTTATTCTTATATTTGTTCTCTATGGAAGCTCTCTAAGCTTTAAAATGTCATAGCTCAGTTTTTGTCGAGAGCCGAAGAAACAGTAATATCCCTCGCAGTCGAACAGGAAAGTGATTAGATTATAAAAAACTAGAAAAGAGAAGGAAAGAAAAAAAAATTGCACTTTGTTTCTAGTTAAAGTTTCCGAATCGTATAATTCGTTTCTCTGAACTAGATCTCATCAGTGATCAATGAGTCAAGTCCATTATCTCTTGCCCCATGAAAAAGTTTATCTACAAAGAAAATCGAGAGACTTTTCTAAGCTTCTGCTTCTCTATAAACAGATTATAATTGTAAATGTGTTATCTTACTGGCGAGAATGTTATACTTTACTTTTAAAAATTAAATAGGGATGTTTTCTTGAAGGTGTTGGGCGTGTTTTGTGACAACAACTGTGATGACGAAACGTTTTTGTCCTCGCTGCGGAAATGACTCACTACATCGAGTTGCCGTTAGTATAGCTGAAGATGGAACGATGCGACTTCACATCAACTGGAATCGCTTGCAATCTGCACGTGGCTTCAAATATTCCCTTCCAGCTCCGAAAGGTTTGCTTTTAATATTGGAAACAAATTATTTTTTAGGCGGATGCAAATGATTGAATAAATTCCTCAAATCCACTTAATTCCATTTATGATTTTGTTCGTAACAGGGTAAGTGGCTTATATTATAGTATGGTTGAATTGAAAGCTCATTTAATAAAACTGTAGTTGATGGGGTTTGATTTCCCCGATTAATGAAACTTATATACAGATTCAAATTCATATAACTATTGCAACATTAAGCTATATATAATTTTTCGATCTTCCAATTTTTTAAGATTTTTACACATGTCATAAAAGACGATCTGTCCTGTTTAAGATTGAGATTATAAGCTGTCATAAAAGGATGCATAACTTATGAGTTATATAAGGAACAGAAATTGCAAAGAACGTTTAGGTGGAAAACATCCTGGAGGACCACAGCTTTTTGAAGATCAGCCCATGCCACAGAATAGAATGGCTCGTTGTTATCAGGACCCTACAGAAGCTGGACCATTTTCTATGAACGATGTAACGAGCAGGTAAATTCCAATCAGCTCATTATTATAATAAGTAGTATTATTAATAGGGAATTAGTAGCAATAATAAGGTTTTTTAAGAACTAAAATTTATTCGAATATAATATCTGTAATATAATTCAATTTTTAATATTTTTGATTATATTTTGATTATAATATAATATCTATTTGTTCGATTATAATTATATATTAGCAATGAAAAGATTTTTTTCAGGTTTGCTTATCGGCAATTTTTTTTATACCAAGTGGTGAATCATTTTGATTTTAGGTCAGCAGTGTTAGGTATACGGTCCTTACAGAAGGCTTGGCAGAATCCAAATGTGCGAACACATGGAAAAAAGCGAGGAAATAAGCGGCGATAGATTTCACCTGCTTTATTGTTATGAAATTCCTGTTCATTTCAGTCTCAGAGTTTCGTATAAAAATGTAAAAAATAGTTTGAAAACTGCTGTTGCAGTTTTTTAGTAGCTCACATATATGTTTCGGTATGTGTAATCTATGGATGGAAGATGTATTGCAAAGAATTAACCCATATTAACGATTATTGAAATATAGGTTGATAAGGAAATACGTGTGTAAGTAAATTTGTTATTATGTTGTTATTTCGCCTTTATTCACAATAAAAGTGTTAATAACAGTTAGTCAAGTGAAAAATTCGGCTGTAAGCCTATACTTATCTGCCTGCTTGTGAATTCTTATCATCTTGAGCAATTTAGAAAACGAAGTTTCAGTAAGATTTTTTCTTTTTTTAGAAGGCAAAGTTTGAGTAAAATTTTCGCTCGTATATCATTTTTTCTCCTAATGTGTTGGGACTGGTTATTCGTTTTATACAGATTTGATTATGTTTTGTATTACCTTGAAATATAACTTTCACGATAGCCTTAGATTTTGCGACCATATGGAATTTAAACATTACTAAAATATTATTAAATCACTTTTTAGTAAAGTGCTTGCTCTAAATTTTCCAACATATTAGACTTTTTGTGGATTTTTTATTTTTAAGCTATAAATTTTGAATATATGAATTCAAAAATATTTGGAATGCTGACTTAAGTTCTAATTTTTCCACTGGTTTTACCATTTTCCATTTGAGAGAAAAATGTACAGTTTGAGATGGTAAGTGAGCTCATTGCACATTTTTGAATGCTATGGTGTATGCATTCCAAAATATTGGAAAATTTTTGTACTGAATCAAGAAAGCGCTCTCGAGGAAGTGTAACTTTCTCTCAGCAACTAATAAAGCTCGAGATCTAAATACTAGAATATAGAATATAAATTGTTTATTTCCCTAGTCATAGAAATGATTAAAAATATCTCATAACATATTTTTTTTATGAACTCAGTATTAGCAATTGGATCACACTCTTTTACTGTATTTTAATTCGCATACAATTTTTTTATTATCAAGTAGATGCAAAAGGAAAATACTTTCCTAGCAAATTCATTATCAATGTAGTGATGTTTTTGGTACCAATTTATTCATATATGTATAACGATGTTGCTAGTTTATGGTTGATTGATATCATACCAATAGTCGACTTTTTCGCTTCAGTTAAACAGGCTGGTGAATTGTCTGCCATTTAAGGCAGTTAATTTTCGTTTTGATGTCGATGTCAGTATCGACATATTATTGTCACAGCTGTCGGCAAGGAGTAGCACTAAGAGATGGAGTGAGCTTTTTCTTTCTTTCTTTCTTAACAGTTTTATCCGTTGCAAATGGGTTCTGAAAATATGTAGTGGTTCGATTGCAATTTGAATTGACTACTTATAATCTCATTAAAAAGTTGACAAATCAGTTTATTGAATCTATCTGATATATTTATCTCTATTTCTCAAATTTTTTTCTATAATTTTCCTTTTTTTAAATTACTTATAGGTTATAAAGTTTAGTTTTGACCATAGTCTATGTGATTCTTGTCTAGCTTAAAGTGGAAGGTTTCAAGGATTTTGTTTGTGCGAGATGTGGTGGCGAATTCATTGAGGAACTTTCCACAGACAGCAGGTCATATATGTCGCCATTTGGGATGGTATGTTCATCTTTTTTTCTCAGAAAATTTTTTAATTCCTGCTTTGGTCATGTGAAAATTTTTATTCACCGCAGCAAATAAATAAAATTAGAAAAGACTGATGGGAAAGTATATTTAGATCTTTGGTCAAATGATCTCGGATGGAGAGCGTGGAAATGTAGATGTAGGTTCTTCAAGTAATGCTCAACAGCAGCAAGATCAGAACCAACAACCTTCAATACGATTTATGCATGGACAGCCTGTAGGTGGTGGAGATGATGAAAATATTATACTCCTTTTCCTAAATCAATTACTTACAAATTTATCAGCACAAGGAGCTCAAATACAGCTACAAATTACTCGTGATCCAAATGCTCATGGGAAGTAAGTTGTTGCTTTCAAATTTTTGAAGTTTCTATGATTAGCCACTTCAGTTGAATAGTTTGAAAAATGGATCAAGAAGTGAAAGGTGAAGTCATTGATGCTTCTTAATCTGGCCTTGATTTGTGCACGATGTGTTATTGGCTCTTTCTTGTCAGCGTCTTTATCAGGAGTGAGTCGTTTTGAAAGTCACCACACTTTTACACTTGGTAGTTATCGATATTGCTATCGTGAAACTGGTATCAATTTATTTTTGCAATGTATCTACATTAAGAAATTCCAGTATTCTTCACGGTCCAGTAGCAGATTATGCGTGGGGAGAAGGTGGCTTGGACCAAATTGTTACACAGTTGCTGAATCAGTTTGAAGGTGGTTCAACACCCGTCGATCCTAAATTGCTTGCCAACTTGCCCATGACAATGGTGGAACAAAAACATATTGATAGTGGTGCGCAATGTACCACATGCATGGAAACTTTCAAAAAGGTTAGATTTCGATAGAATTTTAGAACATGCTTCAAAATGCCGCGTATATTTTTCTTCGAGTTACTGATTTGATGAGGAGCTAAAAGGTCATTGGTTACTTCAACTCTTTGATATTCACAAAAGTTGCAATGTTTCTGAATTCAGATCCATTCGCAACTTGATAAATGAAAAATTCAGCTGAAGAAGCACACATTATCAAAAATCAAAATTTCTGCAAACAGCAGCATAAATTAAATAAGGAAATTTCTCCAATACAATTATAAATTCAGGATGAATTGGTAGCAATCCTAGAATGTCAACACATTTTTCATCGAGACTGCATATTACCTTGGCTTAGGAGGCACAATACTTGTCCAATTTGTCGACAAACAGTTGATGCAACAAAATGGTCTAGCAACAATCCCTTAGACGAATTGGATTGATAGCAAAACTGAATAAAAATAAACCATTAATGCAATGTTTATATATTGACATTGAACGATGTGAAATTATTTCTATTATCTGTTTCTTTGTGAATTTTCACTTTTTGTACTGTGAGAGGAATAAAAATAGCGTTCACATCCTCTAGGAAATAATGTATTCCTAGAATTAAAATAAGTGTAGATCCTTCCCCACCTATTCTTCTACTATCCTGGCAAGCCTACCTTTGAACATTTAAATTTAAACTATGACTCCAGAGTTCCACCTGGAAGGATTGAGGGAACTATATTAATTGTGACCTCCCTTCGTTTTTTGTTTGACTAAAACCTGCGCAGAAATATATGATATTATATCGTTCCGGAAAGAAAACTGTGAAGCGCATGGACAACTCAAATTTATCCTGTACAATCAATCAATGGCAATGGAAACACAGATGCACGAGAATAAATTAAGGCACTGAAGATGATGAGGCATGAATAAACAAATAGAGAGAATTTAATGCATCGTAATCGACAATCGTAATAATGAAAATGTAGTTAATGGACAAATAGTAAGTGAATATATATTGAGTGACAGCATAAGAAAAAAGGAGGAGCTAGTGTCAAACTAACAATTGGTGTTAAGAGAGCTAAAATCTAACAAATATTTCTATGAATAAAAGTATAAAAGTTTATCCAAAACCGGAATATCTCAATTTGAATCCTACGTGATAATGTTTTCAAGGATTTAAAACTTTTGCGTTTGGCGAGATTTTAAACAGACTATAAGAGATCAGAATAAAGTCCATTCACATAATTCAGCTAAACGTGTGAGGTTATGTTGCTGAGCTATTTTCCCAACCGTTTCCAGGCTGAAACGAAGTTCATCGGGTGATATAACGTTTTCCTCAACACCGCAACAATCGCAAAAAAGAGACAGATTATGTCTTCGAACCTGAAAATGATTTAGTTATGATTTTTACTCAAAAATTTTTCGGTAAAACATGTTCATCATATTAATTTCATTAGATAACGTATGAACGATGAAAACCTACCGCTCCGCAACGTGTACACTTGAAATCTTGTATTGTATAAGCTATTAAAAGCTGATTCACTCGTTCTATTAGAAGTTGTTCAATGGTAGACGACTGGAATTGTTTTCTACAGCATGGACAAATCCATGCTTCTGATTGGCACACATCCAAATCACTTGATTGGCAGCACACTGAACAAAATAATTGGGTTAAAATGCACGAAACGTTCAACGACTGCCACATACCGTCATCTGTTGCATCGTCCACATCCAACATACACAGAAGTTGATAACGCAGCTGAATTTCTCAGTATGAATCATCATATATGTATAGGCAATAAGTAACCAACACTATGTAAAATAAGGAACAATGTAATACTTTAATTTGATGTAAAGAAGAAATTGTAATGGCGCGATACTAGAGTCAAGTCCCTAACGAAGCAAAAAATTAAATCTGAAGAAGACTTTAGTACATAATTGGGCTCCGCACAGGCATGAATTAGACAAGACATACTTATCTGTAAACTGAAGTCTAATTTAAATTTAATGAAGTGAACTCCAGTAGATGAATCTCGTTAGCAATCCGACAATCTCTTTTTTAAAATGAATTCTATATCCGAAGTACCTTTGCAATCGGTTGGTAAACGGCACTATCGAGACCAATAAAATGAGATATTCCTTTCACCATCATAATAATTGAATTTCGCAAATCAGTATTCTGCCGAATATCAGCACTTGATGACAAATTATTAAGAAAATCAAACATTTGTTCAGTAACCTCGTTCTTTACCAGATTTAAGCGATAATGTTGCTGCTCCTCTATATTCTTCTGAATGTGAAAAAATTTAAAGAAGCAGTAATAAATTTCTGAATTGACATGAATTCAAAACTTCAAACTTAGACAATATAAACTGGTAGAAGGAACTTGTCCAAGCTTTTAAAACTCACTGCTGAATAAAAGTCGAGCATTTTGAGTTTTCTTATTCTAAATAAATCTATCGCTTTATAGATATAAAAACGGTAGGGACTTACAGTTGATCTTACATTTCGAGCTACTAAGACGAGATATCCAATTAATGTCTGTTTAAACAAATTTCGATGATTTTCTTCAATAAAATTGGAAGTGCCAAGTTTCATAGTCACTTCGTTCTTTTCTTCTTCTTCATTCCAAAGAATTCCAATATAATCATTCTGTAAGGGTAATCAACAAATAATCTTCTAGAAATAAGAAATCGCAATTAAAAAATTTAAATACGAAAGAAATCGAAGAATTAAAAAAGTAAATAAGAAAATTAAAGTAAGCCACGATCTGGATAAACCGTTTTGAAAACATTTCCGGAAAACAAAATCTCTTCGTCTTAATGTGCAACAAAGATGCTCTGTCTTTTACGATTCCTTATCTGGGAAGATAAAAACACTGATCTAGAAGATTCATGCGAGAGACCATACGTTTTTGAAATATTGAAAAGTGAAAAGCATAGCAAAACCGAAAAAAATGTAAACATATAGTGAACAAAAATATCTGGAAGAAGACTTATTTTGTTTATTAAATTAAATAAAATCCAGAAAATTAGAAGAACATTACCGCATCAACCCACAACAGAACATCCCAAAATTTAATTGCCTTGACATTCAATGATGCAAAAATTGCGTGCTCTTCAAATGATAGAAGCAAGCTATTCACAAATGACTGCGCATGTTCAAAAGTTGAACGTTGTGTGCACATAATAAGTCGTGAACTAGATGCGTAAATAATACGTCCGCCCAAACGATTCAGCTGAAATAGAGAAACAGTTTCACACGAAGTGCTCCAAAAAATCTGGAGCATCCTATCGGATAACTAAGAGGAAGTACAATAAACACATATGCTGAAAGCCTTCTTATCCTTGTTGGCTTTCCAAAACTAAGTGACCTAACAAACAAGGAACTAAATTAACAAGAAATTGAATAAAATTTGACTTTGACGATTAATACTGTGACTATTATGAACTTTCAGGAAACAAGGCATGTCCCTGTGAAGTAGCACCGTTACTACGGAAAAAATTTTGTGCAGTTAAGTTCGTTTCTTGCGCGATTCTAACTTAAAATATATTTCATTAAATAGACAGAACATATTGATCCAAAAAAAGAATTCAGCTGAGATTCTTTTCAATGAACCGTTTCGGAAAAAAATCCTACTAAAAGTTTTCAATTTTCATTCGCAATCAATATCTGAACTTACTTCGGCAACTAATAAGAGAATTAGCTTAGTAATTAATATATCAACTACGCGAACAATTGCAGGATCATACATCAATGAATGTTGTGTGCGTAACCAGCTGTAAAGAAAAAGGTAATTTCACTCAGAATTTACTTGTTGAAAGAATTTCCAGAACTATGAAGATGATGAACTCCAGGGCACACAAAAATGTTCCCGAAAAACTAGTGTCACTTTACTTTCCATCATATTGGCAGTTGCATTGAAATTGATATGGCACCTTAATTTTTATGAAATCACCAAATATTACAAAAAGAAAAAAAATAGAAATTTCACCAACCGATCAAGGCTAACGATTACTTGGTCCGCAATTTTGCTACCATATAGGTGAATATCTTTAATACAGTCATGTAACAAGAGCCGAAGGACCTGAATATCAATGATTTAGCAAAGCCAGAAATAACAAAACTGCTTATTCTTCCAATGCCGTACATCGTCTGTCAATTTAGCTAGATACCAAATATGATCTCTTTCTGAAGGAAACTTCAATATTATCCACTTAACCATTCCTTTTAGTCTATCAGCGATCAGTCGAAGATATCTTGCAAACCACGATTTCTGATATTTAGAATATGATGAAACTAATGTTTATTTTGTCTTTTTATGTCAAAAGAAACACACTTTTAATGGACCTGCCACCGCTGCTCCTTCATCATACTGAGCAATACTTCGGATATATCCAAGAAGCGCATCTGCAGACAAAACAGTTCCAGTCAAGAATCCAACTGAATCTGCGCCACCTTCCGCATCAGCAATACTTGCTGATTGCACAATTGCTGTAACATCAACTGCTCCCAATTCTAGCTCAACGCATATATCGGTTTCGAAGCTTAAAACAAAGAAAAATATGAATCTTGAGAAGAAATTAAAAATTTTTGAAAAGTAGAATTAGGAGTTAGGAAACAGAAAGCCATACTCACAAGATCAATTATGCTTCCACGTGCTCCTGACATTATTAAATGCAGCCAAGACTATTTATTCTGAATTACTTATTTAATCCAACAATGAGCATTCATCATAAAATTGTTTCAGAAATATCCAAATTGTGCAGCATAATTAATTCCCACTTTCTTTAATTAAAAAATCATCTACCTGGACTCATTAATCACACAAACTGACTGTCTATTGACAGAAAGCGATGACCAAACAGCACTCAGACGTGCATCATCTAGTTCTTTACCACCAAGATCCGGTCGACTAAGCGGTGATGCCCACAGAATGTATCCCTGATTGATGAGACTTCGTGCAAACAATATATCTGGGCCAAATGTTGAAAAATCTTCCGGTATATTACCAATAGGAACATGTAAATAACGGCTGATTTCAACATATTGCTGAAACAGAAACAATGGATTCTCACCAAATTTAAAGATTTCATAATAACACAATTGCATTGAAGATTTCAAGGCAGAGTACCTCTTTTTGTTTTCGAAAATAAAGCTAATTTTAACGGAATAAAATGCACTGTTATACTGTACTTCTACTTTGACTTCCGTCAAATTTAATGGATTCCAGCAAGATGATGATTGAAAAAAACCAGGCTACTTTAGTTTTAATAAACACCGCGTTATAATATTTTCTAAATTCAGCTTATTTCTCACATTCAAATATAAGAACATATTGAAATAATGTTTGATGATTCTTCTCAGGGCGATACGTTGCCAGTCCAGAATATTGAAAAGACCGGATGGCTCAGAAGCATGAATTCGTACAAGAGGATAGCCATCAAGCGCTGGCAATCGCTTAATCAGTGTAGACAACTGCTGTCTTGATTGCACAGCAACCATTGTCGGGTAACTATCCACATGATGCAAACTTCGGATATACTATAATGCGATTATTTTCATTGTACAAAAAGGTTCATTTTATAGTTCATTGAATGTATTAAGCAACAACTTGGCATTTCACCGCGCAAATTCTCATAAACCTAAGAGTCTGTGAAGTATTTATCGTATGTCGTCGTAGGCAGTTTTAACTAGCTCAGTTTTCTTCATTTGTCCCGTTGTTTATGAAAAAAATTGTAAGTTATCCATGAAAAAATTACAAGTTAAATAAAAATGATAACAGGTCAGGAACAATATTTTGCAATTTTTAATTTTCACTTTATAAAAAATAATTGCGTCTCTTCTTAAAGCTAGTAATTTACTATGTTCAAATTGCCATTTTAAACAGTTATGAAAAAAAGATATCACACGAATAGAATGGATACGTTTATGCTAATAAATAATATACGTTGCACAATAAATTGCATACACGTTTAGGAACAATGTTTCATACACAATTCTTAATAGAAAAAATCCCACTTAAAAATATATTTTTTTATTTTGCATTTCAGACATGTGCTTGCTAAATATATAAGTAAAGCAAACTTACTCTCTGAATTATTCGATCAGCCATTTCGACAGCGACGCATTGACTTACAGTGAAATTCATATCAGTTTTGCTGTTCAAAAAGGAAACGTTAACATCACCAGATCTAAAATGTGATATTTCAAAAAGTTTTTTATGAAAAGTAGACTTCCGCAACTGCAATGAACTGTTCAATAGCAGAAAGCAAATAATTAGCAAATGAAGAGTAAGCAGTACTTTTATTCGTTTGTGATACTAATTTCATTATTCCAATGATGCCCCAAAAGTTCTGCCTTTTTTAAAAATACAATAATATGCAATAAGTTAGTCATTATTTTGAATACATCATTTGAAATTACACAATTATAGCCAATTGCGGAATAGTTTACAACTATTTGTGTTTAAGATGTTTAAGATAGTAAAAGATTTCAATATATAGTTCATCAAAATACTTACAAATTTGCTCTTTCATTAGCATACATATTTGATAAATTCGGCAAATTTAATTCAGTTTTATTCACCACAACGATGTGCGCTTCGTTTGTAGCTGTATTGAATACTGCCATGACACATCGACTATCCTGCTGATGCACATAAAAAAACAACGTACGAACGCTGTTTTCCGGAAGATATTGCACCGAGAAATCCTGGATTTAGTAATTGTATTTCGGATGTAGAACTGTTAGGAGGGCAGCAAAAATGAGGGATTTTGTTAAATTGATGATTCAAGTTGAATTTCTATACTTTCGGAATTTAATAAAGTTTAGTCATCAATACCAACCGGTTCAAGCTGTTCGAAATCATATGTAGTAGCTGAATTTGTTTGAGAATTCGGTTTTAATCGACAGCTAGAGCCGAAGGTAAGTAAAGCTCGGAACAGCAGCGGTACTTGTGATTCATAAACACCTTCAATTCTCATCGCACACAGCTCTTTGTTTAACTGACTGCAAATATTATTACTTTCAATATCCTTGATAATATTTTTAAAAAAGCACAGAAAAAATCCGAATGGAACCTTTGCTCAAAAGCTCTTTGTTCAACTTCAGTATACTTGGGTTTAATTCTTCGCTGAATCTCTTAAAATTCAAGTTGGTTATATTGAAAAATTACATTGGAAATAATATGCATTACTTTAAACTAGATTCAAATATCCTTTCATCGATAACATATCGCCGCAAATTAAAAACTGGCTTTAAACGTGGAAGAATACGTTTTACTGGTGTGCCAGAATTCCCATTTTCTTCACGATTATTCACATAAATGATCCGCGGCATTCGTAAATTGATTTTCATCATTTTATCAAGAATTATACACCACAATACCAACATACCTTTGCTTGAAGTTTCTGATATCTGCAATCATATGTACATTAATTAGCAATGTGCTTTTTAATATTCCATCATTTTTACAAACCTCTGCTTTATTAAAAGCGATACTAAATAATATTAAATTTAATTTCTTATTTCTGCACTTTATGGTATATATGTGCAAAAAGCGGGAAGTTTTTTTCTTTCTGTTCACATTAACAGGTTAGTGAAATGAGGAAAATAAAAATATGCAAATAGACAAGCTTTCTTGCACAATCGAGAAGATTTGAAATCCATACGACTGCTTGAACGTAACGTTTCTTCATACACGCATAAATCTGCCTTGACAATCTATCGCTATAAAACAGTTGCAACATTTAACCTTAACAATTTGCCATACTGTATCTCGCATCATCTGTTTACCACGTTCAAGCATTGACATAATTGGTGTAATTCCTTTAGACAAAACACTTTGTCTTCTACGATTCTTATCTTCCCTTTCTTTTCGCCACTTCGCCTTCAAATATCTACAAATTTTCAAAATTCTAAAGATCATTATATAAATTGGATTAATGCCATTCTTCTCCACACCAGACCGCTTTCTCAATTATACCAAAATTTGACAACAGCAATCCACTTATCTCTATAATAGAGATATAGCTAAAGGAATAGCTCTTTGTGCAACTGGTACATCAAGTGGCATCTTTGAAACGACAAGCAAGCCCAACATCTTTAACCATATGGTCATAAGAAACTGCGAAATTTTTTTACAGAAAGTAAAAAACTAATAATAGAATCCTTTTTGTCAAATAATGCAATGAGATTGCAGTTTCAGCAATTTCCAGCAAGTTTATTGATATCACTATTAGAATTATGAGAAATTGCTATGACTTTCATACTTCTCATATAAGCCGAAAAAAAAATTAGGTCTACCTAAATCACACATAAAAGAAATAAGAACAGTACCGCAACCATTCTTCAATTCCGTGCTCAACAATTGTTTTTTTTTGTACTATCGTCCACCGATCGGACTTTTGTGTTGTTGAATCATGCAATTCCTTCACACTAATATTTAATACGTCCTTCACTGCAGAAGAACCCTGAAACTAATGAACTTAGTAAATCATTACTAATGAAACCTTTTAATCTGAAGATCGAGTTGCATTACCTTCTCTAAATTCGGGGAGTTACTGAGAATCGTAATATTATCCAATAAACTGTTATTCGTAACTTTTGAATTGCCAACATTCTCAATATCAGGTGCAAAAGTAGGTATAGCAGTTTTTTTAAAAATTTCGCTGATTTTTGGCTGTTTATGATCATTTTTCCGCTGTTGTCGCTTGTTTTCCAACCAGTCCGGAAAAGGAACGCGTGGAACTGGATTTGGAACATTCTGCAAGGCAGCTGGGATTGAGATAATTTTTTGGATGGTAGCACCGAAGCGTTCAATATAATATTCCCAATCAATAATCTGCAAATTAAGATCATGATCCGTATTCTAAATACTTTAAATTTAGTAAAAATTCCACCTCAGTCTAAGGAAGAGAACAAGATAGATGGAATAATTGCCAAGTTATTTATTTAAAACAGCAATTCCAGATTGATTGCTAGAGGACCTTTCGAATTTCAACTTAAACTTTAAGCGTCAGGATAATAAGAAATGAATTAAATTAACACCAACATTTCGGATATTAATATTGTCTTTGGTAATTGTTGTATCCTTGGTCCATTTTCGAAGATAATGAGCAGAGATATTTGGTGCCGCTTGGAATATAGCCAAAGGAATAGCTCTTTGTGCGACAGGTGCATCAAGTGGCATCTTAGAAATGATAAAACGGCATGCAAGCCCAACATCTTTAACCATATCGTCACCAAGAAACTGCGAAATTTTTTAATAGAAAGTAAAAATTAATAATAGAATCCTTTTTGTTCGATCTCTTTTCTTAGTAATGCAATGAGAGCGCAGTTTCATGCGGGTGGAAAAAGAACATGATCCAAAGTGAAAGCAGGGACTTCTGTTTCTCTATTTCCAATAAACATTAATGAATATTGCGAAGCGACAGCTTACTTCTGCAAGACGTTTTGCGGTTGAAATAGATGTTGACTTTTGTTGACCATAATCATCAAGTTTTTTTGACATGCTCCGATTTTCGGCAATTAAATCAAACAACTCGTAATCTGGAAGGTTAGCGCCCTGAAGATTTTGAAAAAATCCGAACGTGATTAATGGGAATCATGTATTTTGAATCAACAAAAGCAGTTTTGATTATAAATTATATTATATTTGCTTGTTGCCTTACGAAAAATATTACATTGAAAAAGTTAGTGCATAGATTGTTAGTTAATATAGTATTTAAAATAAGCAACAAAAACAGACAGCATAAATGAATTATAACAACTTAATAAAGCATATTCATGTTGTCGGTAATGATGATCAGACATATCTGCTCATCAACTTCTCAAGGAGGCATGCAACCCTAACTTATACAAATCTGTTAGTTCATCTATGGATTAGTGCGGCAAATTCTTCATTACACATAAGCGACTTACTTTCGAGAATAATACATCCAGCCAATAGTTGGCTTCTGTCGCAGCATGCTCGTACGCCTCTTCATGATTTTTACCTTTTAGAAAGGCTTTGAAAACTGAACTTTGAAAATATTTGATCAGTGCTAATTCGCCACGCCGCTTTACTTCAAACCCCTTTAGCTCAGCAAGTGAACCATCGAAATTGAAAACTGCATATCTGGAAATTTGAACACTCAATTTCATTTGGATAAATGAACAAGGGATTTTGAAATTCTGCAGACCTTTTTTTTAGCTTTTTGCCTTCCTCTCTAGAAGCTGGAAGGATCATCGCCAAGTATGGTCCATCAACTTCGAAAAATATAGAATTTTCAGAAGTTATAGAGTAAGTTCCATCCTGCTCAAACTGATGAAATTGATGGTTCGTAAATTTATCATAAATAAGCGCATTGAGAACTGCACCGGGATATGAAATAGTTACCTGAATTAATGCATATTAAAATAAATCAAAAAGAGTTCCGAAACTCATTAAAAGTATGAAGAATCTCAAAAAACTGTCATATGGCAAATATTTTGAGTATACAAAAAATGTCAACAATACCGTTTTGCGCTTAGAATTGTTCAAAGTGAAAGTAATATTCTCCGGAAAAGTCCCCGGAATCAAGCACCATATTCCATCCGTATCAAGTTCCAGGGGTTTCCCAATATTTTCTACAAGCTTTCGTGCTTCAGTGACAATATTTGCACCAGTATGACAAACTATACCAGCCATTTCCATTGAAAACCACCTCGCACCTGAATAAATGAATAATATATTTACGATTTTGTGGGATGTTGGAGAGTCCTAATTTTCTCCAAATATTTCTAATTGAAACCTTTCCGCATGACATATCCGTAAAATGAGTTCAAGATGCACTTATGCGCAAGCTGTAAACTTTCGTATAGAACAACGCGACCCTGGGCTGATTTTAAAGCATGAATATCATCTTCCGGTACTTCGTCTAGAACAGCTTTAGCTTCCTGAAATATATTTTTTCAAGAATGCAAAGTGGGATACGAGTTTCGTTTTTGAGTAAGATCAGAGAATACAGAGTAATAATCAACTGAATATATTAAGGAATTTAGTGATATTAAGGAATTTAAAAGACAACAAAACAATAATATTGAAAATTTCTAATTGCGCAGCAAACAATATGAAAATTAGACGCGAAAGAAGTGAATAAGGACCAAGTTTATAACTTGCTTTAAGCATTGCTTTGTATTCATTGCGTCTGTTTCGGAAAGCTTTTACGGTATCCACATAAAACGCATTTTCCCGTTCACAAATCGTCGTATATCGATATTCAGTCTTTGTAACGTGAGTTTTACCATAAGCACGTTTACAAAAATCTAAAGTGACAATCTAAACAAGTTTGCGGAAAATCTATCCTGGAAATACAAAAACGTTTCACACTTTACTACTCAAACATGATAGCTGACAACCCAAAAAATTTTTAAAAGAGATTTCGAAATTTTTTAAAATTATGCCAATATATTATGTCAACAGTACCAAAAAATCCAATCATAAAGCGAACGAGATTTCTATTTCTAAATTTCCGAAAACGGTTTCATCTCACGAGGCAAAACTTACCTTTCACTCGTTTCACTTCAATTTTAATTCTTTGGTCTTGATCTAAGCTATGGAACGCTATTGGTGGTTTGCCAAATGTTTCATTTTCAAGTTGTTGCAGAATGCGCTCATACTCGCCTTTTGAAGCAGGCACTGAAAAATTGATCATACTATATAATGTCATATATTATATAATTGATCATACTATATAATTTTTTTATAAAATAATCAAGTTTGAAAGAGCTGTAGTACCACTACAGTTAATAAGCATCACACAATTAAAGTATTATAGCTGTAACTGCAATAATTTACTGATTTCACCGCGCCACTCCCATTGCATCGTTCTCCGGCATTTCGCATCTGGTGAATTGTACACACAAGCAATGCAATCCTCATTTGTAACAACTGCTGATGGCTACAAAATTATAAAAGTTTGGAACTATTTCAATAAATTTCAAATTCAGAAGGTACATTTAAAATCTGGTTGAAACTTCGTTTACATTCGTACAGTTATCACACTAAAGCGCAAATTTAAAAAGAGACTGTCAACAGCCAACAGATAGTCTCAAAAAGATCTAATCATCCAAATCAGCAAGTATACTGACTGTGACAATTTTACGAATTTCACGCTGACGTCGAAGTGGGTAAATAGAAATTAAACAAGTTGCGGCAGAAATTGTATGAAATGGAGAAACAAACTTGAAGGCGATTGGTAAGTATAATATTAGGATACATTGCACCCACATCCAAATGATAAATCTTCGGAGTTTCAAAGCGTAGAGGTTTTTTAATAAAGTCATCAAGCTGTGTTTCAATCTGAAACTTAAGACATAAGATCGAAGAAAACCCATTCCAGTCCGAACATATCAATCGCAATCACTTATTTACAGTGATAATTTGAATATTTTAAGAAAAGCCCAAAAAACAATCTTGATTAATAAAGTAATGTAAAATAAGATAATCACGTTCTTATATAAACACTATCATGCTGTAACTTTTGAATTCCGAAATTACCCAATACACTTCTATGGCAGCAAAAGCGGCAAACAACATAATTCTAGAATGTCCAATTAATACTGGAGTAAATTAAATTACATACCTTAGTTGCAATAATATCGAAATCAACAACTTCATTCATATTAACGCCAAGTTCACGAGTTAATGAATCTCTCAATGTTTTTCTAATGTCTCGTTTTAAATCTAGGATTGTAGCCGGTACGATTCGAAATCTGTAAAATGCATATTTAATTGCTTAAAAAACTTAGATCTTAAAAATGTGGTAACTCGAACTTTTCGGGGATATCAGCACGGAAAACACCGGATTCCAAAGCCTCAACATGGCCCCCAACATATGTTTCACTTTCAATCACATGTCCATCACTAGTATATTTTGTTCCATAATGCAAGGATTTATTCGGAAATATGATATTGTTATGAAATGCTTTAACCATTAGAAGCGCTTCACAAAGTGTGCCAGAACCCTTACGAAGTACCTAAAATTGAATTTTTGGGAAAAGAAATTAAAGTCAAGAAAAGAACAGGAAAACAACTAATGAAACACATAATTTTCCTTGAGCTTTCAAGCAAGTAAATGAAATCGAACTAAAGACAAACATAAATTTCAAGAAGTAAACGAAACTCATACAGAGGAAAAAAGACCTACATCATCGGGACCCAAGGGTATAATTGTACAAAGTGCAAAGATAAATGGATGAACATATTTAGTGTATAAATAATAGGTTGCTACTGCATCAGACACTGAATAATTTGCCAAGGTCTAAAATTTTAGGAAATTTAGTAAACATAAATAAAACGGTTGAAGCAATAAATCCTAAACTCAGAAAATTTGATTTAATTTGATTCTGTTTTTGATTGAAGCAAATAAACTCTAGTCTGAAGCGTCAAATTAAACCGTACTTGAGGCTCATCTTTGGCCATTGCACACATCTGTTCAGGATCAAGCTCAATTGGATCATACCGAAGCTTAGCTTTTGTACAGGCTTTCAGATTCTGACTTCCCATCGGAAGATAACTGTCACGTTTTACCCATCTGAATCAGTGTTATGTGTACCAGTGGAATAAATATACAAGCTTGATATTTGGTTCCATAATTCTAGCATATAATTCTATTTGGTCTTATTCAAAATAATATCGCGGATAATATCACACAATTTTAATTTCTTCAAATTCCAGAGAACTCTTTATTTAATATACAAAAAAAGTTAATGCGGAAAAACAAAAACAAAAAATTGGTAATTTCTGAAAAGTGTGACCTGCACTTTGTGAATAAATTGGAACCATCATTACAAATTATCCGAAAAATACCTAGAGCAAAAATCAACGTAGAAATTATGCTTACTTAAATGCATCAAGGTGGACTGCATTTGTAGTTCTGTATTCTCCAGAAGGATTTTTAGAAACACCAATTTTAGATGACATATTCAAACCATGTACTGCAGCACGAGCTTCCACGAAAGGCCTGCATTTGATCACTGGACTGAATATGGATTTGAATTAGAAACGGCCAATTAGCTAAACAAACTAACCAATCGAATGCATCGCCGTTATAAGTGACGAATACAGATGGACGTAGACGAATGATATGATCAAAAAAATATTTGATAACTGCTTTTTCGTCAGGCAGATTGATGACTCGGAATATTCCCTTAATGATTTTTAAAAATTAAGATATGTCAAAGTGGAAGCGTGAGGGAAATTTTGACTAATTCTAAGCCACACCATTTGAAAAATAAGTCCAATAAACAAAAATTAATAAATAAATTAATAAAAACTAAAAAATAAATAAACAAAACAAAAATAGCCGTATCTATATTTTCTATTATATGAAAAAAAGCTATTTAAAAATTCATTTTTATAGAAAACAATACTACTATACAAAACCAGTATGGCATGTCTTGTTTCATCAGTACACATCTGATTATTTTTCAACGAGGATTACCTTATATTCCGGTCTTGGAGTATACTCAAAATTATCCACATCGGTGGAAATAATTTGTCTATTAATAATTAAGAAACCATTTCCATTGACCATATATGAAATCATCATGATTTCATCGAAAGCGCTGTCTGGAAATTTCAAAGGTAGCTTTGTAACTTCAATATCATAAGCTAAAATAATTGGTTCTGGTGGATCGATCAGCGTTGGATGACGAGTTATTTTTGGCTTTCGATCGAAATCTCTTCCTGTTACACGATACCACAGACCCACAAATACTTCCAGATCAATACACACCCTCATTTGGTAAGGTAAGTCGTGCTCTCTGCAATTTTAAGATTGTTAATGATAAAAATTGATGAACTGATCATTAGAAATAAACCGATAAATTTTACAATCCACCATCGTCTGAATCTTTGAATTATGAAAACTATAAAGATAGACTTAAAGCTGAGAACAGTACCAAGTCAAATTTCTATTTTTGTGGATAACCGAGTTGAGTATGCAAATACTGACTTCGCGGATTCATGATAAGCGGTAAAAAAATAGTTCTGCGAGGAATCTCTGGTGGTCATTTAAGACTAGATAGTGTTAAACTCAAATCCGATTTCCTTACATTCGCTTCGTTCTAATTTCAAACACTGTCATACCAAGGTAAATTGATGTCAGATTTCAATTGTTTAGCACATGCAGATTTGTCTTAAGCAACATTATGAAAAAAGATCAGTTGTTAACCAACAGCTAATGACATTTCATTTCTTATTACATAGATCACATTTGATCTTTTGAAATGAGATAAATTCTGAAAAAAAAACCTTAAATCAATAATTTTTTCTAAAACGCCGCCTTCATCGAACAGCTCTTCCCGTGAACCAAGATGTCTAAAAATTATTTAAATTCGTACTATTTCGAAACTTCGAGAACAAATTGTAAACATTCTTGTGAACTAAAAAAAGACAATTTTTGCTAAGAAAAAATGAAACGATGAATTGAACCTAGTAAGCAGATTAGTATACGAAGTTGTTTGCTTTTCTCTTTGCTGATTTCTCTTTAGTATTGGCGTAATATCTTTCTTGAACTTCGAAAATTCGCTTAAACTAGGAAATGAAATCTTCAAATATGTTTGTTTCAATCCAGAGAGATGATTTTTCTGCAAGAAAATTTAAAAATATTCGCAAGAACTTTAACTCGTATCAAATAATCGATCGAAAAAGGTTTCTTCAAATCAATAAATGAACCTACTAAATCAAGGTCTTCTTTTTCTACAATATCGGCAGTAACTACAGTCGTATGTTTCCTCGATAAATATGACAGGACCTGATGTTCAAATGAAGGGAGCGTTGCGATATAAAGATATGGACGAAATGGATATGATATCTAAATGAGACAATTATTCATGATGAGAAACCATTTCCCAATCTTATTAAAAATTTCAAACAAAAGATAACGTTTCTTTTTTATTTTGTCATCAGCATCACAGTACATTAGCTTTATAACCTTAAAACGTCCACCATCTTCTTGAAGGAAATAAAAGTCGCATACTGCAACGATATTTTTGGTTTCCTCATCAATCATTTCCGCCTATAAAATTAATCCTCATAATTTGGATTTTTTTTAGTTCACTTGTCGTTCAGATTTCATGGGGATATTTTAAAAAAAAAATACATATATCAAGCAAATAAATTTAAACTGTTTTTGATATTCTATGCAAGACTGATATATACTCGACAGCAAGAAAGCCTTATAGGAAAACAACAATGGCTAGAATTTGGATCTCTGAATATTTTGCAATATCTTAATGTTTAATTTTGCTGTTAAAGCTTATCAAGTAAATGAAAGAAGCTACAAACAATATTTTATAATCTCAAAAGAAATACTCTTTAATTTCGACTATAATCAATGTTTGATAATATTTTACTTGAAACTCACCGGCTGAACATTCAACAACCACGCATCCTTCCATTCTCTATCAGTGTAACGTTGAAAACCAAATTTCTGATCCAAAATTTCTGATGAGTGAATTCTTTCCAATCGAGAACCATAGCTAGAGCCAAGTTTAGGAACATTATTACACGATCGTTACTTGTTTAATGGAGAGTTGAATTTATAGTCGAATACAGACATGCAAAAAGCAATAGTCAATTGAAATCCGATTTTTCCCTGCATTAAAAGATCAAAGAGTGTAAAATGCTGGGCTTAAATTAATATCCATTTAAGTTTGCTCAATTGGAGAGTATCGTGGAATTGAAATCTGAAACTTAAATTAACGAAATTAAAAAACATTCTCACTTTTCTTGGACGTTGTTTGTCTGTTGATCCATCCACAAATATATCAGCTTATGTATTTCTGTATTCCTATCAGTTTAATGTATTACAGTTTTTCAACCTAAAAAAAACTTTCATTTTCCCCATTTCTTTCTTTGTCTCATTTCAATAACTGCTACATTTATTCTAAATCTGAAACAAACAAATTCAAAAATTATTAACACTTATCATTTATATTTCAACATTTCAACGCATCTCGACTTGTTACAATTGCTTTTTTTTTTATAAAATAGATATTATTTCCTTACATGATATCATTGTATAGCCCATTTACAGTAAGTTCAAGAGTGAAGTGTTGAATAACTTTATCGGAAAGGTTAGATTACCAATGAAAAGTTCCGCAATTGAGAATGTAGTGTTCGAACTTCTATGAATTCGTTTCAAAGCAGATATGTTAGTTGTTTTATCAGTGTCACTTGGGACCAACAGAAAAGCTCTCGGATATCGCAGTTTCTCACAGACTCGAGTAGTAGGTGCCTCAAAACAGCCCACTGTAAATACATTAAATATATAGCACAGAGGAAATGCTATCTTTATGATTTAATAAAAAGTAATTCTAAGACAAAACAATTAGAACAGTTTTAGTAAACAAATGATATGTTAATACCAGGTATACAACCGATAGAAAATAGGAATATAATAATTAATTTAATTAGCATATGCAGTGAATCAATCTAATGATACGTATAAGTCTTACGATATTTGTTTAATCATTTACATAATGAAGAAAGCTGTGCAACGGTGAATCTGTGTAACGGGCAAATTAAATTTGAAAATTTTGGCGCGCCTTTTATTGAAATTTGATGACTAGCATCGATGTTGACAAGGAAAAGCAAGATCCTTCAGCACAAAAATTTTTTGATGGGAGGGTAGCGGTAAGCTGAAATGAAATCACAAGGGACTAACCAGAAACAATCAGTCGTTATATATCAGTTTTAACTTTATAATGGGATGAACAATTGTCATAATATACCCGACATGATGATATCTCCATACTGAATCGATTGTGTTATCCTTTCCGTGATTGCCTCCACCTGTGCAGTTCACGTACACTGATGTGCGAACTGTTTGTTGTCTGAGCGAGAAGTGTCGTACGTCGTGAACTTGTCACGTAATGAAACTTTTCAGGTTTAATGAGGGCAAAATTATGAGACGTTTTCTTTTTTTAGTAAATCTATATTTATTCTGTGAAGCTTTATGGAAACAGTCGATAGATACTTTAAATAGGTGAATGTTTTATCTGTTGTTGCATGCAATGTTGATATTAAAATTGATATGATTTGAGCTTGAGACTATTTAATCTACGCAACGCGCGCTCTGAAGATCTGAAGTTTCAACTTGAAGATTGCAATTAATGTCCCGTCCCAATCATCTCTTGGTATCTTGAGTTTGATTCATCCAATCGAAAACTTGCAACGAAATGTGTGGTAGTTCTATCTTAAAATAACAGGTTTTCTCCAGGATAAAATAACTAACAAATTTAAAATTTTATTGAAATAAACATTGACGTACTATGGGCACATCCCACAGAAAAATAATTTTAATGATTTTTCTTTTTCATAGCTTGCTTGACTTACACTGTATTCGCCTGTTCTAAGCATCACTATGTGATTATATGACAAAAATATGTTCAAATATTTATAGATGACGCAATTCTTGTAATGAGGAATAGATCAATAAATGAAGACAAGGAGGGAGAAGTATCGGATAATGCCAATATGTGGAACATATTGGCAGGTGTATGCATATATTATCCGCTTTCCATCGGACTTACTTTCTTTCAAAAATGGTTTATAAAGGTGCTGCATATAAATTAATGTTTTCTCGAAGTATGCATACGTATGCAATTCCCAAAAATTAAGCTTAACTTTAAATAATATATATTTAAATAATAGTATATAATAATATATTATATTTAAACATATTTAAATAATAATATATTATTGTATATTTAAACAATAATATATTTAAATAATATATAGTTTTGTTAGGCCAACTTGAATTTAAAAATTCATGTTGTAGAGTTACGAATTTCCACTTCTTGTCGTCACTTGCCACTACGCTATCAAATACTTCTTTGCCATGGTTTTTCGGTTTGTCATGGAGTATCACGCAGATAAACGCCCACGAGTTTCATTCAAAGATCAATTACAGTGGCTAGTACCAATCGGCATTTGTGCTTCTCTGGATATTGGTGCGTTTCATTTATCTTGTTCAGAAATGATCGACAGAACTTGCTAAAGATGATCATATTTAATAGTCCATTTAAGCTGCCGCTTTGTAAGAAAAGTTACTTCATGAAACATATTTCACCGCGCTGGAATGTGAAATGAGGCTTTTGTTATTTTTATATGTAGTTTTATAGGTATGTAATAAGTTGGTGCCGAGAATCAACATCAATATTAGGTTTAAATTAAATCTTCAGGTTTATCAAATTGGGGTCTTAAATACGTCACAGTAAGTTTTTTTACAATGGCAAAATCTAGCAGCATTTTGTTTATGGTTGCATGTGCTCTACTATTGCATTTGGAACGATGGCGGCCTATTCTTATCATATCTGCTGGATTTATTGCGTTTGGCTTATTCCTCTTTACTTGGAGGTTAATTTGCTTTTAGAAATGTTTTGAATAGAGTACGGGAAATAAATTCAGTTATTTTTGTTAATCGATTTCGTGATAATTATCTGGGTATTTTAATCTTTAGAAATCATTTGACGAATGTTACGGTGGTATTCCTTAGTTCTTTGTTCTTATTCTGGAATTAATAGATTGCAATGGCAGTGGCGTATTTCTTGTTATATTACATACAGAGGAGAGAGGAAGGGGACTTAAGCATTTCGTGCTTTTTAAATGCTTGGTATATTATAATATTGTATGAACATAACAATACTTGTCTTTCTAGATCAGCTCAATTCGAACTTCGCGGTTTACTGTTGATTGAATTGGCAGCAGCATGTACGGGGTTACGATGGACAGTTTCACAAATTGTTATGCAAGGAGAAGAAAAATTATTGAAGCATCCAATGGATATGATTGCATATGTGCAACCATGGATGTTCCTTGCCATCCTTCCTCTTTTATTTATGTACGAAGGTAATAGATAAACAGGACATTAATTAATTCTGAATTAGCTATTGATAGGGAAAAATTTTTGAATCTTTTTTCGAAAGAAATATATACACTGAAATTTATGTCAACTTTAATTATTGCCTTTCTCAGAAGAGGTGAAGATTATCGTAGTTCAAGAAACTATAATTTGCAATTCCACAGCACAGTCAACTGAAGATACTACGATGTTTTGATTTCTTAGCCATCAGAGACTTCGGATGTGGTTTACAATCTATTAAGAACATTATTAGTTTTATAATGCATAAAGATCAATAATATGCAGACTTTGCACTATTCTATTTGGTACATGTAAATAATTTCTTAAAATTACAGTCAAACTAAATTGGATCTATAGTATCCAACTATTATGTACTGAGAAATAATTTAAAACTGAAAATTTCAGGCTCTCATCTTTCTTTTGACAAAGTAACACATTGCTTTAATGAGCATGCGCCATTCTATGTCTTATTTTTTATTTCATTTGGTGGTCTATTGGCTTTTGCAATGGAAATGGCAGGTAACATTTGCAATTCATATATTTTCTCGGCAGTCATTTGATTCATGCTTGCATGTGAGAGAATAGTTTTGTTCGTATGTATGATATTTTTTCTTTAACATCCAACAAGTGTTCATTTTCTTAGGTATCGACTGCACTGTAATATAGAGAGCACTTCTAGTCATGGGGTTTATGTGGCCCTGTAAAGAAACCGTCTTAATTATGGAATATAGTCTTGTAAAAATTAAATTTAACGCTATGATATTGAATGTAGATGAATGGTGCTATTCTTTAGTGATTGCTTTTGTGAAGTGATTTATTGATTTACTCCAAACGTTTTAGAATATCTTCTTCTCGTATATACATCGGGTATCACGTTAAACATATTCGGGATAATCAAGGTAAGTCCATATTAAAACATTCTTTTCACAAAATCTGTCTTTATTTTAGAAATAACCAAGAGAACTTATTCAAATTATTCAGATATATTTCAGGAAGTAGTAACATTGTCGTTGGCATATTTTATTAATGGAGATTATTTTTCCTTGGTAAGTGAACTTGCACAATACAGCTGGTGGATTTTTAGTTTATTAGCTACGTGCATCATGCAAAATCACAAAATGTCTAATTACTTGAAATTAATATAGGCCGAACTTCAATAGTTTAATATTGCAGATGAACACAATTGGTTTAGTTTTGTGCTTCTGTGGTATGCTTTTGCACGCTTTTTCAAGAAGGACATTATTGAAAGCTCGCACAAAATCGCAAATGCCGGACAGAAGAAGACTTTTGATGGATGTTGATGCATAACATAATGAATTTAAAAGACGAAGTCTTTTACATCGCTTTGATCTCTATAACAACTGCGCAAGATTAAGAGCTGGACCAAGTTCTAAAAAGAGATTTAAGTTGTATGATATCGACCATTATCTCCATTTATTGTGTTGTGGTTCTATCCTTTCGAGCACAAAAAATATGAAAGTGCACTGAAATGTGAGATAAGTGTGGCATCGTAAACATCATCATGCCTTGTCAAACGGTACGTAAATCTAATTCAGCCTTTTGCACGACATTAAACCTTGTACGTCCACATTGAGCGGTTATGCTCATTTGATGGCTAAACTCGGTTGCACTGTTATCGGCTGACTTATAGAGCTTTTAGAAATTGCTTGAAAACTTTGGAAGTGTTTAGTCATCAATGTATATTAGTCTAGATAACACGTAGTTTTTCAACTGCAATTTCTGTTTGATCTTGTTTGGTCCTATTTTTCCAATCATACATTGATACCATTTCCGGTCTTACGACACATGTATTCGTAAGTCATATTTGTTTATCTTAAACGGATGCACTGCATCATTAGTCACTACTACAGTTGTGTTATAGGCAGTCGTTACGTCATTATTTCATTTAAATAATATAATAATCGAGTGGCAAAAATTGTTAAGTTGAGCACAATTGATTAATAAAGAGTAATGATACCGATTAGCAGGAAGATAGATGGAATAAGATTATAATAATAATGCAAAGTTTGTGACAGTGGTTTTATTATTTTTTCAATTTTATTTGTTCGATATAGAGAGAGAAAAAAAAAAGCAATGAAAAGAGTAAAGTTATAGAGAAATAGTTCATTCACTTCATAATGTTGGAATGTACAGATCTCTGAAGAAACCGTAGTGGAGTCTACTAAAACTGAGGACGAGGTATTACTGATTTTCACTTTAAATACATCGAAATATAAAGATGTTAAGTTAGACATCGATTAACGATATCCATAAGAGAACTAATTAAGAAGTCCAACCCTAGCAAATAACCGTCGTCAGGCCCGATATATCTTACATCATCCAACAGAGTGGAGCACGTTGAATGAGCAAAATCAATCATTCGCAAATCAATAGATGTGTCATCGCGTTTTTTGCCATCAAATGCAATCAGCAGAGAACTGGAAAAAAATCGATAGCCATCAGCTTCGGCTAGTCGCTGCAACATAAGCAATGATAAGTTAAAGAAATGGAAAGGGAGAAGGGCCGTTAATTTAATCAAAGACGTAAATAAAGTACACAGTCACAGTCCTTTTGCCAAATTATGAACTGGATATCTAGATAATTTGCATTAATTTCAGTTCATCGGCTTCAAAATAATGTTAATGACATGTCCCCTTCTTCACCCGACTTATATCGTATTATGTTTATGACGTCTTCATACAATGCAGTCACGCACCTTTCTTAAAGTGGTTAGTTTTTTCAGCAGTGCAGTGCTTCGTATCTTCCCAGCATTAATAAAATATTCAGCTAATGTCTCGCGAAGCATTTCACAACTCATTTGTCTGCCCGCATATTTGTTTACATAGACGTATGTGCCAATTTCTTCCCTAAACACTAAGTTGAACTGAATTCATATTTGTAAATGAACAACTGCAATGAGGAAGATTAAATTTTTTTCCTCAAAAACATAAAGAAGATGAAAGTAAGTTTTATTCACCTATACTTCATAAAAATACAACGCAGTTGAAATTCATGGCTAGAAATAAGAATTACCAGACAATTTTGAAGCAAAATCACCTATATAATTGCATTCCAACAAGCCGGATCCCAATAGAAGCGCTTGTGGATTCACGACATTTGTTGGTTTGGGATTGTCGTTTCTGATCAGTTGCGTCATCCCCGTACTGTCGCGTACCCATTTTCAGATCCATAACAGATGGACGTGAAAACCAGGATACCGTATTTTCTAAGAGCAAAAACAATGCGTAACCCTATAAAAGGGAGGTTATACGATAATTTAGAATTAAATAGAAGAAACTATATTCCATCAGGATATATAATTTGAGCAATTTTTTTAAATATTAGCAACAATAAATAGAGCACCAACACGATTGAATGGACACTTTTAGCGGGTATCCAACAGGAACTGATGGCAAGGGTATTCTTCTGTTTCTAGAAGAAAGCGTTAAGACCGTTTGCTGGCTGCAATGATAATGTTAAAGCGAAAACACATGGATAAAAAGGAGGAGAAAGTGAAGGAGGAGGATTCACCCTTCACCTTTGCCATAAATGCTGTATTCGTGAAATATTTCAACCGAATAAGGCTTCCTTTCTCCTTTCTTTTTTTTATAAAAAAGCTCTTCAAAAATTACCTTTAATAACTTTTGTACTGATCTAGTCTGACATTGTTTCGCCCATTCATTGAAATGCTGATCCGATTCAACTCTACCATTTTTGTTCAACCGAAAAATTAGCTGCTTTTCACTGGATGATGGATTCTGATGGCATAAAATAGGTCTATCCGTAGTTAATACCAAACTGCCGTCTCGAGAATTCCGAGGTTGAATACTTACTGTGCCTGAATTGCAAAATAACTTAAATTTCAAACTAAAAATTTAAGAATTTTCATATGGAACAACAATGTAAAACAAATTATTTAATTGTACACAAAATTAGTGGAGATCATCGGGAAGATCTAGCATTAAATAATTTGCATACAGATGGAACCGGATAAGTAAAAAGTTATGCTACTGCACATTTTTGGTTTCCCTGTAGGGAAACTGCACATTTTTGGTTTCCCTGTAGGAGAAAAAATCTAATCTGAATCGACAGTTCAACAATGTGAAGTCCAAGGTAGATATTAAACGTGACGTATAGCTACCTCTACCATCTGGAAACGCCGAGAACATTGTTAGGGATTCAGAGATACAATGGAATGTCATCCATGGTCTCGAGAAAGTTAAACCAGTCGGTGGAAACAATTTATGGTGGTGCACAACTTGCTCGATTGTAACAGTCAACATATATTATTATAATACATTAAAGAAAGTAAATATAAATTAAACTCAAACCACAACAATGCGCTGTGAATGGCGCAAAACGGTCGCCAATTTCTTTATAAAAAGCCAATTCCTTTGAATTCAATGGCTTACAAATATGTCCGCCACATGTAAATACTCCAAAATGTCCACCAACTTGATGCGAAAAGCCTGCCACATTCATCTCTGAAAAGTGCAAGCAACTTATTACTTTCAATATTTTTTTGATGAATAAATACGTCATCAAAAAAGGGTAAACAATTGAACAAAATTCTAAGTAGTTAGACAAAGACAATAATTAAAGAACAAAGAACAGATGTAATAATATTGATTCTAAGGCCTTGCACTCACAACAGTGTAAGCTTTTCCTGATTTAAAGTCAATATCTGCTATGTAATATGTCGTGAGAGTAATGAAAAGAATATTATGCACTTCTCTCCATAGAAAAAGACAACTGCAACATAGTAGGTGGATAACGAATGGAAGAGAGTTAAACAAATGCGAAGTATATACAAAGCTGAAAATAACTACATCTACTTATACACACAATCAGCTGTGTGTATATCTGGTTGCACGTCAAATCGACTTATTTTTAACTCTGTATATGTTCTTGAACACATTGAACAGTTCGTCTTTTTTTCTTTTTTGCAAAACAAAAATCGAGGAATGAAATACTCGCTGCTCTTTATCTGTAGAAAATGACAAAAGACAAAGCACTCCATGTTCATACAGCACTGTGAAATTTTACAGAAAGAGAAAGCAATAAAAACGATCTGAAATGTTAGAGTTTTACTAACAGAACATTTTATTTGAGCAGCATTTTTATTTGAGTAATTACTAGTAATTTCCTAAGAAAACGCGCGACATATCCATTCCGAACTGAATCCCTCCTGTAAAACTCAACCCGAAATAAATCAATGAGATTACCCGAGCAAAATTCATTCTAATCCATTACTCAACATAACGATGCAGTTTTTAACGATGGCCACTTTCTAAGTCACGGTCTGAAGTAAAAGAAATCCACTGGAGTGCTTCAAGTCGGTGAAAGGGGTGGGGAGGTTGCAAAGAGAAGGGCAGGGGAGAGGAAGGAGAATGTCTGTTCATAGCAAGTCAATATTCTCTGTATAAAAATATTCCGGAATGGGCATTCGTTTCAATCGTGAGAATCTGATATTTCAAAACTTAAAAAGTTTTAAATTTTAGAGAGACAAGATTTTTTCTAAAGGTTATTGAATACTTCCGAAATAAGTGGTAACAAAAGGAAAAAGAATGAATAGTTTTTAATATATTTATGAAAATGAGCGTGTGGTAATTGAATACTTCAAGTATTGAAGTATTGAACAGATACATCGAAAAGTTATATATCAAAAAAAGTTGACGTAAAAGTGCAAGATACTATCAATCATAAATTTTCTGATCGATGCTATTTAATTTTTGACACTTCGATACGAATGATAAAAGTAATAACGTATTGCAACAAAAAAAACGATAAGGATGATAACACATGATTGCTTTTATCATCCAGTCAAGTGTTTATAAGAAGACTCAATGTCTGCATCATCGAATCAATTCTTTAAGAAATATTGCCTAACAAAGATTCTTTTTGCTTGATTGGATTAGATCAGTCTAGAATGGAGAGGATATATGAATGCAAGACTTTAGTTTATTAGGTGCAAATTTGATGATAAACCAAGGATATTTAGGCTTAATGTTTTTCTCTTCCCGTATTGAAGAAAGTAGCCTGCAGCCTACATCAATATGCCTCCCAAGTTTGCTTGTTTCAATAATTTATTCCCTATGAAATCTTCATGTTACATCCATCCATCTTTTTTGTCATTTTTTAAACTTTTTTTCCTTTTTAAATAAAATACTAAAGTCATTGGAGGAATAATTTTACGATTTTTTGGGAATGCCAAATTGATCAAAAAGATTTTATGGGTCGAAGTATGGAAGGTATACGACATAGTACGATTAGATAATCCTAATTAGAAGAGATAGTGGAAGAGAATTAACTGTTAATACCTGATTTTTGGATTAAAGTTGTTAAGAACTGATAAATGTAAAGTTTGTTTATATCGTTAGAGAATATTAATATGAAATGAGATGAGAGGTGAAGGAATAAAAGAGATGCACTGATGTAGCACGTGATTTTTGCAGAATGATGAAGCTTAAAGGATGGCATCGGTGAGAGGATCTTTCCTGGATGTTTACATTGCCGGTGAGTGGGTCAAGGTTTGTGCTACATTGGATGAAACAGCATTAACGCTAAGCGCACCAACAGATGCTGATCATGGACAGGGTGCTGATATACGTACGGTTCGAATAGTAAAGCATGATGGCAGTGGCCTGGGTATTAGCATCAAAGGTGGTCGTGATAATGATATGCCCGTTATCATCAGGTTATCTTTCCAACCATTTTTATTGCCATGCTTATTTGATTGTATTTTGTCTGTTTTTCTGGCTCTACGTATCTTGCTCATTAAAGGTAATTTATTATTTGATAATTCATTGTTTTGATTACTTCAGATTTTTTTTAATTTTTGATTCTTTTTAAAGTTTGATTGAAAGGGATATTTTCAGCAAAATTTTCAAAGGTATGGCAGCAGATGAGACAGGACAATTGTTTGTTGGTGACACTATCGTTGCAGTGAATGGTGAATCGTTAGAGGATGCTACACATGATGAAGCCGTTAGAGCACTTAAGAAAGCTGGACGTATTGTCGACTTACACGGTAATTTCTTTTCAGAATTAATTTTATAAGCCATAAGCATATATTGATTTCATTGAGAATTATTTCTATTTATCTTTTTTGGCTTTCCCGTAGCCAATCTTTAAGGATTTAGGGATTAAGATTCTCAATTATGTCTGAGGTCTTTTACTACCTCGAAAATTTTCTTTTGGGATTTAAAATCAAATTAAAATAGGTGTGTTCTTTAGTCTTGTAATTTTTTCCATATTTTAGTCCGTTTCATGCGGGACATGTGTGCTCAACGTGAAAACTGGATGGAACGTATTCAGTGGGATGATGATTCGCACGATCGAATTCGCAGCATTGGTTTGAAATTGGCCTTTGTGACACGTACAACTCTCCAAATTGAAGATATCGAGAACAGAATGTTTGAAATAAGATCTCCTTCGGGACGATATACGCTCTTGTTTAGGTTGTTTATTAGTTACCGTTAATAACAGTACCAACGTTTAATATAACTCATTTCATATTCCAGTACGCTATGTTTGTACGTTCCAAAATGTCTAAAATGTTAAAGTTTTGTTCCAATTTCTTATTTTTTGATGCGTATTAAAAACAAGTAAGACAAGGAACAGAGTGAAAGCATTATAATGTTTGAGTTGAGTGAGTTTTTCCATGAAAAATATAATTTTTTAATGTTAAGCTTTTTTTCTTAATTTCCCAAATTACCTGCAGTGTTTGTTTTTCTGTAGATGCAGTAATTCATTAGAAGCAGATGCCTGGTTCGAAACTATACACATTTGTTCATGCGCACTGTTAACGCAAGCATTGGCACAAGTGAATTTGATGCTTGGAAATAATCCGCAAGTGCGCAAAATGGGTTGGCTCACTGAGCAGGTTGGTTCCAATTATTTTTGTGACTCTCGTAATTAATGTCATGCATATTTCCTGACTTGCAAAAAACAAAAGAATTATGGAGTCAATTACAAATATGTTTCCGATGTCACTGGCTTTGCATTTGACGAAATTGTGGATTTCCCAATTTTTTCAAATTGAGCAAGGTAGTATCAAAAAATCTTGGTACTCCTATTAATGGTTCCTTTTTGCAGGGAATCAATGTAAATGGAGTAACTGTATGGCGACCGATGTTTGCAGCACTAACTTTAAATGATTTACTGTTTTACGACTTCGTCCCAATGTTGAAGTCGGAATGGGCTTCTCCAAAAGTCACCAGACCGCTCATCGCTACTCGCGTGGTGCAGACAACATCACGGTAAAATGTGCTAAATTACTTATGTTAGCCTGTTAATTTAAATTTACAACTAAATTTGCAAGAATCCGAATTTTTCGTCCAAATAGTATCTGTTAGCGGTGTATAATCTTCTGGTAGATCATGACGTCCTGTGTTTTGACTCTATTAATTTCAGAATAAAGTCACGAGACTTGCTACCCAATAATAACGATTTCTTGAAATTGCGTTGGGTAGAGGGTGAAGTGGTAGATTGCCAATGCAATTTAATTCGTGCATTTAGTGAAAGGCAAAAAAAATGGAATAACTGTTTGGAAATCGATGTTTGCAGCATTAATTCTCAATGAATTTATGCACTTCATAAATTGCTTTGTTATGAAGCAAACGAATATAAACAAGTAAAACTGTAACCATCTTTAGAACTGCTCCTGTCATAACTGGCTTATCAGATGTGATATCATTTACAACGAGGACAGGTACACAGCAAGGTGTTCGTTCACATGTGTTACGCGTAGAAACACATCGAGATTTAGCTTCATGGATAAAAAGTATTGTTACATGTACCTACGAGGCGTGCACGAAAACTGGTCAAGTTTCATGCCGTTAGTTTTTTATAAGTAACAAGACAAATGTGATCCGCGACATTACATGCGATTGCTTATATACCAAAATTCCAAAATTGACTTACTTGTCTAAGATATCAGGTTTATTTATGTATCTTTCGCTTAACTCTTATTGGCATCAGGAGAAGATAGAGCTGATTTAAACTTCTTGAAGTTTAGGAGGGAATTTTTAAAATGATAGTTTCCAGTAATACCTCTTAGATAATAACTTGCAGCTTGTGTTTGGCAAGATGAACAGTGCGAGTTAATATTGCAACTGGACGAGGGCTTAAGTCTTATTAGTCATGACGGCCAAATTCGATGGCAATACCCATTTGAGACTATCCGGGCCACCGGTGACGATGGGAACAGGTTTTTGTGGATTGATTTTGGTCCACCTTCTGGCGAACAGGTGATCTTTCATATCTTGAATTATGCTTAGTAGCTCAAATCCTGGTATATAAACCAAATCGCGTTACTAATCCATATTTTTTAGGAAATCGACCTGCTTTCATCACCAAAACCAGTCGTTTTCATTCTTCACTCATTCCTTGCTACGAAAGTTTATCGACTCGGATTATATGCATAATATGCATGAGGGTGACTATGTACAGTCGACTATTTAAAACTAAATAACATAACTTATTATCATTAGACATTATTTTTACTATCTGCTTATGTTTTTGTCCCCTGCTTTTAAAATATTTTTCCACTATTTATTGATTTGAAATGCTTATAAGTTATATTATATTTTACTCTGTTTCTGAACAAAAAGCTGCAACTGTATCTTCTTTTATTTAGCATGGAAAATAAGTAATAAGAGATATAACAAGTAAAGGAAGAGCCAATAAAAGGGAGTTGGAATATTATGCCTAAAATAAGTGTATTACAGTAATATCGAAAGCATTAAAGGCGAACAACTTCAGTACAATAATAATTTATTCTCGCTACTCCTAAAACACCCTTATTATTCTTTAGTTCCAAAAAAGTATCTCAAGAGGTAGAGTGTTCTGAAGTCGACCTCTGAAAAGAGTTATGATACCGGAAGTTTTCAGATTGCGAAGTGGGGTGGCCGTGCAGATTGCGAAGTGGGGTGGGGTGGCCTGTATGTAACTTTTCTAGTAACAAAATGATTTTTTTCCATTCAGAAAATGTTGCGAAATCACAAGTTATCAGTTTATGGGAGCACCGTATGCATCAGGCATACGTTCTATTGAGAATCGATGTTGTCTAATATACAGGATGGGGACACCCGGAATTTTACGAATCCGTCGTTTCAAATCCTTGTCACAGGTTGCAACGATATAGCATTTGTGCTTAAAAAGGCGAAAATGAATATGAAATTAGAAGATCCACGTTTTGATCTAACTACTTAAATTTAAGAATCATCTAATATAGCGCATTCTCGGTATGCATTGTAACAGCACGAAAAATACGATTTTGCATGGACTTGAGAGAAAATATGATTTAATCTAGTTCCATTAAATTCTTCAATTATAGAGAATAAAACAGTACATCAGCACATTCTACGCTTTCTTGAAGTCTAAAGAATATTTCCTACTATTGAAATAAAAAAAACTGTTAGACATACCTGCGTAATTCTTTGAACGATGCAGTCATCGGCATAAATTCCCTTATGAAAGCACGACAAACGTTTAAATCGATTATCCTTAATAATTTTGAGAGCAACTTTGCATCGTTGTCCAAGCTTTTCCAATTCACCCAAGACGCAATCAGTTACATATGGTATCGCTGTAAATCAAAAAGTATTGCGAATGCGGTTTGACCAATTCTTACCTTTTAATTTTTAAGAAACTGGTTTCGAGAAGTGTCATTTTACTGTGAAACGAACCTTTTGCATATAAACAATCCATAAATCCTTGCATAATATCGATTCTATGTTTGATGGAGAAATTGACAAAATTCGTATCGATAATAATATGAAATGGTGGTCCAAGTTGGGTGTTGTACTTCAAAAACATTGCTGTTGATATTTGAGGTCTGGAAATTACCAGATAGACGTGAATAAACCAAAAAAAATGGATCAAAAATTGGAAAATGAAAATTGAAAAAAACGGAAATGCTAACGCACGCTTCGACAATTTTTAACGCCTGTTTATTATCTTTGTTCTTCCTGATAACGCGATCACTTTCTTTACTGAAAGTAAATAATCCACTCATAAACTGTATTCATTTCTTGCAGTATACTTCTTAATATTGATAAACCTGCATATTATCACGCCGAGTCACAGACATACCGTAAACCACTTCTACTTTTAATCTATCCATAGGTTAGACCTTCATTAACTCGATCTACTTGATTTAATATACTCGATGGCATTCTTATTAGGGATTGAAGTATTTAATTTATATGTTAACTAATCGTTACAAACTCGAACTACTTGATTTTCGTCAAGCTTTTCTCGGTTATCTTAAATATAAGTAAAATATCCAACATATTCCGGAACTGCTTTAACACCACTCTTTCACTATAGAAACAAGAATAAAACAATTCATTGGGGGTAACTAATAGATGAAAATAGTCCTCATAACATATTTCGATATCGATAATTAGGTTTTATGCTTCGATGCATTTTAAATCAGAACTTTTCGGGTATAGAACTAAATCTTTAAACAATTAAACAAACAAACATTCGAGAATCAGTCGGCTTGATCATTTTTGCCAGTTTCGTTGAAATTTTCTGAGTTTTCTTGAGTTTACCCTGAAGCAATAGCATTTACTAAACACATGGAATAAGAATATATCAGGATGTAGCACAACAAAAAAATTATTTCGTCTCAGAAATAACAGAAATCATAACGCAAGGTAACTTATTTTATCCAATAAATATTAATTAACGATAATGAATAACTTGCCATATTCTTATCACACGTCGTAGTTCCACGGACTAAAACTGTCCTGAAAATTATATTTCAGAAAGGTATACTATTGTGTTGGACACTGGATTTGTCCGAACATAATTCTAACGAGCCGCAAGTTTTCCGTTAAATATGTGAAATGATAGAAGTGTTTGTTTTGTAAAGTTCGGGATGGATATGGACCTAAGGCGGCAAGTGAGCTGTTCCGGATGGCGACGCTAGAGATAGAGCATTTCAAGAATTAAGGAATTAGAGTAAGAGATATATTGACTAGAAATTAGAAAGAACAAAAAAAATATTTTTGTCCATATTGTGTTAGTCTTTGGAAAAGATAACATAATAATAATCTTTTAATCATTGGTCGGAATAGATGCCATTCATTTTCTGAACTGGTTATAGGAAAATGGTAAGACATATATTGTAGAAGTGTAAGTGAAAATGATACTAATTTGATTTGATTTGTTATCGCTTCATAAGATATCTTACAGATATTATACTGAAATGCTATGCACACGCACCGCTAACTTATTGAATACACTTGGAATACGTTGTTTTACGAATAATACTAGTGGTTCACATATTCATTATTCGATTTCAACAGTAACGCGAAAATCGATTGATGATATATTGGAACCAGCACAAGTTTCCACAAAGATTAAAGTTTCGGATGAAATGCGAGAGGTTTGTTTGTTTCCAGTTCAAATTTAGTACTATATTATCTGGATGCAAGTACCGTTGAAAGGAATCATGTATGCCAACAAAATTTTGACCATGAGATTTAGTTTTAAGAGTAGTAAGTAATATTACTAATGTATAGGGAGCTAGCTTATAAATTTAAAAATTAGACGTTAAGTAACGATAACGTTATAGCAAGCAGTAGATCTTGCGGGTGTACCTCTGGATTTTATACGCAGTCGTCGAGTACGTATATATCGACCAGCACGTGTGGTTACGCAATCAGGTTGGGCGAATACGAAAAAGTGGAAAATTGAGCTGGATAATCGGGAAAGATGGGAGAATTCATTAATTGGTTGGTCTAGCACGTAAGTTATGTTATTGAGTTATTGTTAATATTATAGAATTTTAGTTTTGGAGAAGCTCTTTTCGACTTATTTTGCGGAATTTAAATTCAGGTTTCAAATTGAATCAGGTTGAAGCTTTCCGATAGCTGAGCATGATTTTATAGCTTTGTGTATAGTTAAGTGAGACTTTAGCCATTTTTTGCTTGATGATTTCCTTGAAATGAAAGAATTTTAGTGGTGAGAATCCAGTTTTATAAAAATTTGAAAATATTGATGAAAGGTCGGTGATGTATATAGATTTTGCTCCAAATCTAAAACCATCCATTAATATTATATGAAGCTGTCGTTAGTGTTATCCAATATCGAAGAGATATAGTTTGAAATACTGAGTTTCATTTCATTCGTCCTAGAGCGCTAGAATTTTTCTCATATACTGTTAATAACGGGTTAAAGATCCATTGAAGGAGTAAATTGAAGTACGAAAATATGAAACTTTAATGTTTTTTGTTTGTAGGGGTGATCCATTAAGTAATATCTCTATGACTATGGATTTTGCATCGAAGGAAGATGCCATTCGGTACTGTGAAACGAACAATTTGAATTATGAAGTAATCGAACCAAATGAACGAATAATTAAGCCGAGAAGTTATGCAGAAAATTTTTCATGGAATAAGCGGACAAGAGTCACAAATAAGTAATATATAGTCACTTGTAAAACAGGTCAGATTAAGTTGTTTTAAATTGTTCTGTTATTATATTTCATTACGTGCTTATAGTTACCAATTCTGCTCTTTCTTAATTGATGAGGTTGTAACTTATGCAACTGTTAGTTTAAGAACTTTTCTTGCCGTGACAGCATCCAAGTAGCACACATGGTTTGTATTGTGTACGATATGTTTTCAAGTGCTATTAGTCTTTCGCCGGATGCTCGTAATAAATGATCTTGCTCCCATTTAGTACAAAAGAACACAAATTTTAGATTTGGTATATATTAAAAAAAAGTATGATTTGTATATTTGCTTCTGAAATATTCTGTACTAATAAAGCTTCCGTCATATTTAATATCTGATTTACATATTTACTATGGTTGTTAAACCGGAAGAAATTTATTGTCCAATTTGTATTTGTCGGTTTAGGATAGAGACATTTGAATAGTTGGCAGTAAATAGGATTATTTAGATCAAAACAGTTTCATAAAAGAAGTTTGGATAGTTTTAGCCGTCACCACGGTTGCTTGGGCTTTCACACGTTTCAGCCTTTTCCTGTTCTGTTTGCCATTTCCGTCGTTTTTCATCTTCACATTCATGTGACGCATCAGTAAATAGCAAATTATGATGATGGTGATTTAAAAAATACGTATGGAGGGTGTTTGAGATGTATTATCTTTTTACATAAGCTTTAAGAATTTGTTAGGAAAAAGGTTTTTTTGCCGATATAACAAAATGGAACCTGCAGAATATGATGGTTACCAAATTTTTCATTACTCACATTGAAACGTTGCTCATGAGCACAAGTACAATTCAACGACTTTTTCATGTCGAAAGAATGACTGTAGGGAAAATGTCATTAACATTTGCGGGAAGCGCACAAATTGGAGCGAGACCGGATAAAGCTACAATTCAAAAAATGCTTGATGAGAATGGTCAGTTGATCAAAGTTATTGTGCGATACCAGAGTATGGGAAGGTTCGTTCAAGATTCTTCTCATAAGTAATCAGCTCCGTAAATGAAGAGAGAGATTGAAGCCTAAGATTAAATAGCAGACATCTAATGAAACTGCTAATTACGGAATGTGGAAATTCTGAGTAAAAATCAGATCTCTTGGTCATTCTATTTTATGCAAATTATTAAAAAAATGATTAGTAACATATTCCGATGCAAATCACAATTGTCTCCAATTCTAATCATTTATTTCACTTCTCACCCTATCATTCATACATTAGTTGTAAAAAAGTTATTGAGGACAGAAGTTGAAGTTACTGAAAAAGAATTTATAATTTCAGGGCAAATGATGCTCTCCAGTACCAGCAACTTCTTCATCGAAATCTTGTCTATCTCGCTTCGTTAGCAGATGCTAGCATCCAACAGGAACTTATGCAGCAGGTACCACCGTTCCCATTATAAAATTTTTTCTTCATATTTCTGCTGCAAAATTCTTCATTTATGAAGTTTGAATTAAAAACTAATTTCAGACCGTTGGAGCAGTAAAATAGAATAATTATTCTCGTAATTTTCATTTTTTTCCTTCTGCAGAGCGTAAAAAAAATGACTTTTACAGACCGACAGTATAAAGAAAGAGGTTACGAGGCAATATCTGAACTCAAATCAACAAAGTAATTAGGACGAGTTATTCAGAGTTCTAGGCATCACATTTAGCACCTGTGCATACTTGCTTTAGAACTCTCAATTCTCAAACTTAAGCTTAAAAATGACTGTTTTGTTTTATTATCGTTCGATCTGGTGATATTTTCTAGCAATAAGATCGTGTCAAATATACTGTTGTACTTGTGACAGAATAAATAATTTAGTACATATTACAATTAATTGTATACCATTACGAATAAAAACCTACAAAATTGAGTTATGCTTGCAAATTAAAAAAATTTTACCAACAATTTGAAATGGTATACAATTTAAAAAAATCGAATGCATGCAAAAACACATAGAAGTGGTGCGATGCATGATATAAGGCCGTAGTTTGAAATAATGAAAAAGTTCATGCCGCATATGATAGTACGGAAGTGATACCGGATTGGGTTAAAGTGCTGACATTATGAATACCTGACTTCTCTCTGCGATTTTTTAAAATCACCATGCAAAGACTTCGTTAACATTTGTTGTGGATTTTTTTTGTTTTCGGTAAGTTTAATTATTTGATGGAGAGGTTTATTCTTCTTGACGTTATTATACAATTATCAGAAAATATGATCAATTGAGTCGATCACTAGGTAATTTTTCTTTATTGTTGATTCCGGAGAATAATTTCGGACTTCTCGTTCAGTATTGGTTCAGAGGAGTGTAGATAGTAAGACCGCTTCGCTTTAGAGCAGTAAGCAATACTGGAACACGCTTCTTTCGAGTTGAACGGTTCTTGGTGAGCACTATTTGTAGTGGACAACTGGTCATTTTGTACATGGAACTAATAGTTAACAGAGAATCTCCTGCATCGTTTATAGTAAATAAATAATGAAATTGATGGTTAACAAAGAATTGCTTGAACATACAATGGATAAAGTCGATGGAGGAGTTACTTAATGTTAACACAGTACTTTTTAGAAATAATAAATATTAAACGAATCATATCCTAGCATTTGACTGAGAATATTTGAGACAGTAATTTCTATAACATAGATTTGACGAATGCAACAACACTCTGATTACCCAAATATTTTCATAAAGTTATTTCAGATTACCGACAACGTTGTATGATGTGAAAATGAAAACACAAATAAACACAATTATAATGTGAACAGTTCCAAAAATCACGGTGGTTGATTCACTATAGAAAAAAGACACAGTTATAGAAATAATGAAGAACACTTCAAAAACAACAAACATTACATTTCGATACACATTCGTAAAACTTGTGAATTTATAAAAACTTCACAAATTTTAAATCCAGAACTTTGTATGAAGTTTTTTCGCTGAAGCGATGAAAGAGCATCTTTTTAATATAATACCAAATGAGGAGTAACAGTCAATACTGTCGCCAAACGGCAATAATAAATGTGTTTAATTTGCGTCAATAAAAAAACTAAAGTGACCGAAATTCAGAAATTAAGGATCTCAAATCTTCATCTCAACCTTAAGAGAATACATTGTCTCAGTAAGATAGAAGTGACAGTTGAGTATAAAACTTCAGCAAGGAGGCATCAATTAAAATAATTATTAGGTTTACTTCGTTAAGTAAATGCATTCTTATCCAAATTATGGAGTTCTAGATTGGATCTTGGAACATCCATGTGTTTCTGGGTGATCAAGATATTTTTGGTTGAAATGTATGACAATAATAGTGATATCATCCCTGTACCTACGTGTTATACCAGATGGTAATTGCAGCATTTTGGTTAGCCGTATATACTGAGCCGAAACTTCTCCAGGACCACCCAAAGCATATCGAAGTAAATGAGTAGCGCTGTTTTCATCCAGTGGTTTCTTACTTGTTCTGTATGACCGTTGCTTTAAATCTTGGTGAATCTGGAATGAAACTGTTTATGGAATAATACTATTTGAACTATCTAAATCATCATCATATAATCAAATATTAGGTACTGCAAAGTCCAATCGGTTTAGGCTTGTTTAATCTGAATAAAAAATAATAACGGTCAGGGAAGATATGAATGAATTCAAGCAAAGAAAAAAAGGAATAAAATTTGAGCACCTGTTTCAACGTAGTTCCTGCGTGCGAAGTAAGAGTTTGCATTTCCAGAGTATGATCGAATACTAGACGCACCACAGTATCGGGGTCAAGATAGTCCCAAAGACCATCTGTGGCAAGCACCATGAAGTTATCATTGGGAGTCAACTTATGATACAACACCTATAAAACAAATTTTATTAACATGAATCAGGAATATTTGAAAAAATGTAAAAAAGACAAGCTTTCTCGTCAAATATGAAACTTCAGATTTTGCTTTAAACAATCGATTGGGTAATGCAATATAATCATTGTATTGTTATACTACTTTGTTATATTACTTTTCCTAATGATTATTTAAATTACATTTTCTGTTATTTTCCACAAGACCCGTTAACAGTTACTGGTTAAGTACGCTCGTTTTTACTGCAACGAAACACACATACACACTTAAATTTACGCAACACGAGTTTACTTCTGGTGAAGAGCTAAGGTACGGTGGTGAGTTCATTCCATGTGGCAGGGAATGATACTTAGAACCAAATATTTCTTTTTGTAGCCCAGCTGACCATTTGTATCTAACACCACCGAATGCCCTGAAAGGAAATAATTCACCAAAAAGCCGGCCACCGACTATCACATTATTCATCTCGCTATGTGGATGAGCGTCTCGGATTCTCTGTACCTAAAAATGGGATATCCCATGAACGGAAAATGAAATCTCATAAATTTGAAAAAAATCATAAATTTGAATTATTTCTAATTAAAATGATTTTTACTTATTATACAGTTAAAGATGCGCTCAGCGCAAAAACGAACTTCACTTTTCAGTTGTTACAATCGCTTCGGTGACAATTGGTTGTAACACTGTGAAAACTTTCACTTTTTCTTAGTACCCATTTAAAATGGGTTATCTTTATTCCGCTGAGCTTTAAATTAGAAACAAGAAAAAACAGAAACAAACCTACCTCATCAGAATTATCAACGCAGTGTGACTTTGAAAGAGTCATTGCTGAGACAACACCTTGGTTACGCAATCCTAGCACAGCAGCACTGTCACCCAAATTTGCCACATGCAAATTTACACCACGAATGTGAGCTACAATTGCACAGGAACCAGCCAACACCATTTCAGCATATTGCCTTTAGTAACTAACTTTGAAGAATTTTTAAAATTAAATTGAACATTCCTTTGTCTGATCTTGAAATTCAATGCTGATTTAAAACCTATTGAAGTCATTTAACTTCATTTCCTAAAAAACACACAACTACCGTCATTGCCTATTATTGTCCTACTGTTGATCATGTGACATCATGGGCTTACACGTAGTTAAACTTCCCCACTGAACCAGCTAATGAATTGAAAAACTTAAAATTGAACTCACTTTGACAATTCACTATGCCTTTCGTCCAATGCATTAGCGGACAAAGCATTGTCACACGCACAAAAAGAGACTTCTAAAGCTTTCTTCACTGTTGTCAATTTCGAATCGCTCACTGTTTCTTTATGAAAAATTTCAACGTTTTTCAAATGTTTTTCTCTAAAATATGGAAGTATTCTTTAATAGAAATATTTCTTACAGACTCCAAAAGTCCTATTGTGAACGTAAAGAGTAAAAATGATTTCAAAACTTAAATGTTTTCCATGTTCATTTCTAACAATCTCTACTACAATAGCGTAAATCACCGGCTAGCAGTGACGATTTGGGAAGAAGAAAAAAAGAACTATGCGAAAATTTTGGAAAAAAAGAGCTAAGTGAAGTTTCTTACCTATATATTTCATCGAGTAAATCACCATTAGTGAAAAACCAATGTAATCTATTTCTAATGGGTAAGTCGGTGACAATATGTTGTTTCAACTCAGAAGCGGATATGTAATCAAATAGCCGTGTTGAAATATAACGGCTGCATGCATTGCCACCATGTCCATCAAATACACCTGGAAAAGTACTGTAATAAAATAAATTATAGATTTAACGACAAACTAATTCAAGAGTTTCGCTTCTATTTAAGTTGTGATTCAGATGATTAAACGGAAATTTGTAAGAAATTCCTCTTTCGGAAAAATCACTTAATGCAATCTTTACTTGATTTGAAGCAATAGCAAACATATTCTCATTCCTTTAACCTAATTTTTTTCCTTCAAAATTCTAAACAAAAAAAGAGATAAAAAACAATGATATTACCAAAGAGGAAGGTTTCGGATGAAAGACATTTTGCAGCTGCATAATAATCCTCGGTTGGACAATTAGCTGGTAAATGTGCGATGTCAATTCGAGCGATCGCTCGATCTGCAACTACACAAGATTGTTCGTTAGATCGAAGCTGTGCATCAGTATAGGATCGTGAATATGATCGCATATAGTCGCGTGCTTGTCGCCATACGTTACGTTGAACTTTTTGAATCATCTCAACAATAACATTGATTCATTGTTGCCTGATACTTTCATATTTTTTCATTTAAACAAAATATTCAGCAGAGGAAAATCCAAAAACTGAAACAGTTTCAATCGAGTTCTACGCTGTTCTCCCTTACAGTTTAATAGCAAAGATTTGTCAGCACTTACGGCGTTAATTAGATGTTTCGCTTAGCACAGGTACAGCATAATAAAAAGGAAACAGATATGTTGTAAAGTTAAAGCTATAGCAACGAATTTAAAAGTTAAAAAGTTGGAAGTAAAAGGAAGGCCTAAGATATTGTTTAGGACAAAATTCCAAGTATGTAACAGATAACACTTCTCGTTATTTTGATAATATGAAAAGCAAGATATGGAATAAAGATATTTACATTTAGCAAAAATTTCCTTTTTTTCTACTCACCTCCTTTTTTAGAAACATATTCATCAAGAGATAGCAAAAAAATAAATTCAAAAAATCATATGTTTCGAGAAATGCAAAAATCTCTGTATTGAATTCATCTTATAACTGCGATTTTTTTCTGATAATCGATCATTCACTACAAAAAAAAAGAAAAAGAAAACTTTTTACCATTTAAAACATAATAATTTTAAGGGTGAATTTATTGAAAACCTAAAAAACCTTGATATATCCTCAACAATGTATTAACAGTGACATAATGTCACTGTTAATACATTGATTGTTACGATAATGTCAACGGAATGTGAAATTGTAATGAAAATTAAAAAATGTAATAGGACAATGTTCTACTGTGCAGCATATCGTATGCTTTTAAACAGAGAAATAAAATATGTTTAATCACCTTAAATGACAGAGGATTCAATGGAATAAAAAAAGATAAGAAAAGACAATTTATTCTCGATTATTGATTGACACTATTTATCAAACGAAATTTACGGAAAACTTACTAATTTCATATCACATGATAAGTTTCATTTTGAGATATAAAACTGCTCAATATGCGAAGAAATAATAGATGGAATAGTCGAGGTGAACATTTAGCATCTCGGGAATAATTAAAATTCTTTTTAAAGTAATTAGAAGCAAAAGTTAAAGCAAGAAACAATCACTTCCGCAAATTCTGAGAAAAAGATAGAAGAAGAATCCCATCACAATTTTAAAAGATCACTCAGTGGTGGATGAACTTTCGTAACTATTGGATCGAAGACTGACTCGTGGGAATAAAATTTCACAAATGAACTTAAGACGGTCCATGAAATTAAAGGAACGTGGAGGGTGCAGTTACCTAGTAATTTGTTAAAATGGACGGCTGTCGCGGAATTTGTGTTTAAACACTAACCTGCGTGAATCAGAGTTCATGTAACAACGCTCGCTCACCTTGTCTTTTTTATGTCAGAAAAATTAGGAAAATATGTTATGAAACTAACATTTGTATGCTTTTACTCATACGTATCATGCCATAAAGTGTGTATACAGAGAAGTAATGAAATAGATTTAAAATGAATTTCGTTTTAAATAATTGCATTATCTTCATTTCATGAACTTTTTTGTCAAAGGAAATGTGGATGTTGATAAGAGTCGTATCTTGAGTTAGAATTTCAGTGGTTCTGTTTTGTCAGCTTGACTTTTATTTAACTGTTGCTACATATTTACGACGTTTGGAGTTTTACTCTTGCCATAGATCTCGTGAACACTAATAATTCGAAAAAAGTTGTAAATGAATTCAGGCGTCTTTGCCTATATTTTTCACATCTTTGTCAAGTAATTTATATTCAAATTTTTTTGTTTGTAATTCAATTCATAATGTGAAACTTGCTTTTAACATTCGAGCACATTTTTCTCGCTGCAGTTAGGAAGTGCATAATTAATGAGTATATGTTTTTGCATATGTTTATGCAGGAGTCAAATAGTTTTAATCTAGAACTCTTGCAAGAACAGTGTGCAGGATGGCAATCCTGCAATTTAGCTTCCCACTGTGTCGACCTTTTAACTGACAATTGTAAATTAGGCGAAGAATTTGTTAAAATGCTTTAGTGAGGGCTACTACTTTACGAGAAAGTACCATATCTTATGACTTTCAATTAGATTTCGCTACAACTATTTTTGTTTGCAGGGATTCCATTTCCTTTATGAAAATGCATGGCTGGGAATGAATGGTTTTAAATTTATAATATAACAAATGGTGTTGTGATCAATTATTCTAACAATAAATTTCAATATGAGCTCTCGAAATGAGCTGAAATTCCGTTTTGTAACTTTCGGAGGTCGAAAATCCAGATTTATTCACTCAAATTTTAGACGACTCTAAATATTGATTCTTGATTTTCTTTCGAATTAAGAGAGTTTTTTATGGATTTATAATCTGCAGAATTTGGGAACACCTAAATCGCTTCACTAATTTCTACGAATTGTTAAGCTAAATTCATAAGCGAAATATAAAATCTTTTTGCATTAATAGATAAAAAGATAAAATTTGCATATTTCCATAAGTTTTAAGCAAATTTTGTATGGTTCATTCATATTTAATAATTTTTTGTTTTAAAGTACATATATATTTGTGTGCGGCGTATGAATTCCATACGTATTGATTTGGGTATCAATTATTGATCTTTCGAACGATTTCCATTACTTTTATTGCTTTGCACTTTCTTCATATATATTTTTGGTACTGGTTTTGCCAGTTGTTTCAGTTAAATTAATACGAAAAAACTATCCTTCCAGAGAAAGTCGAAGATGGAAGGTCCACTGTCAAAGTGGACCAACGTTGTTCATGGATGGCAGTACAGATGGTTCGTTTTGAGGGATGATGCGCTTCATTATTATACCTCTAGGGAGAAAATGATAAAAGGACAACAACGTGGTTGCATACGTCTTCGAGGTGCTGTTATCGGTATCGATGGTGAAAATAATTCCTTGTTTACAGTTACTGTTGACGGCAAAACATTTCACTTACAGGTATTTTATATACAAGGTATTTATCTTGACAAAAAAAGGAGGAAGTAGACTTTTGCATCCTAAAAGATGTAAATTTAGGATTCAAAGTTGTGAAACATTGTAAATAGTGGAGGCTGGAAGTTTCTTAGCAATTTGAAAATTTCATCATAGAAAGCGGCATCATTGTAATGCTTAAAATTTTATTAACTTTTTTAATATTACATTCGAGTCCGCAAAAATACTTGGAAATACAGGTTGTTGTATTGGTTAATAAAGATGGAGAAGCTGTTTGTTTTAGGGTCAGGATGAAGCTGAACGCAATAACTGGATTCGTGCTTTAGAAGCCGCCATCCATGAGCAGAGTGGTTATTATCGTATAAATTCATCGAATTCACCAGCAGTTTTGAAGGCAAAAGCTGTTGAAGCAGACAAACATTTGCAGGATATGATCAATGAGGTATCGCCATGTTCTTTGGAAATTTTGGAAATTGATTCAAGTAACAAGCACTCGTGGTGAGTACTAGTTTTTAAGAGTGGTAGCATAATGCATAGTAAAAGTTATATGGCTCATAACGTTTTGTTCTTTGATTTCTTTAAATTTTAATGTCTCTTTTGGCCAGTTATTTTGGTAGAAATAATCTCACCCAAATAAAAGTAAAAATTTTGACCGGATTAAATACTGCAGGTTCGAGAATTGGAAGGATTGTCTGCATCAGCAAACACTGAAATGAAAAAAACAATCGATGATTTAGTTAAATCAGCGAATCGCTTATTAGATACGGTGAAGCATGCTGTAATATTGCTACAAATGGCTAGGAGTCATCTGGAGGGTGCTTCACTGTTAGATTTAAATGCAGATGATGAGGAATCCGAGAGTTCGCAGGTTAATATTTTACTTTCAAGGTTACATAATTTATTCTTCGACACCACGTGGTCTTTACAAGATTCTCCTCTTGCTGTGCATTATCACTGGATGGACTAGTTGAATTCCAATAGAATTCTGTTTGCCTTGAAGCACAATAAATATTGATGGAGAGAAAACATATTGTAAAGCAGTAGATTACTTTACAGCTAAGAGGAAAGTGTAGGTTCTTACAACTTGATGGATATCTGGTTAAGTCTATTATTAATTCTGCTAGGTTAAGTTTCTGTACACAGCTCACACTTCGGAGATAATATTTTGCTCAGTATTATTCTTAAACCGTGCTGAATTTTTTTAGGTCGAAAAAAATATTGCAAAATTTTTTTAATAAGAAAAAAATGTAATTCCATTTTTCTGTACCAGTTTCCAGGCGAAAGTTATAGTCCCTCCATTGTCATACTCAAGTAGTGAAGACGAATTTTTCGATGCCGAAACTCCAGACGATAACAAATTATCGCCTACTGATGATAATTCAAATGGCATCGACAATCCTGGACATAATAGCAATCCCGGCAAGAAAAGTTCTCAGTCAAGAAAGAAATCCATCCAAGAACCGGATTTCGGGGATGCAAATGAAGATTTTGACGCGGCTTACGAAGATGCCGAGGAACTCGATGTTGGTAATGTGCAGCAGCAGCACGGCTCTGTGCTTATGCATCTTCTTTCACAAGTACTTTTCCACTTCTGCTATAAAGATAAATTCAACTATATATGGGGAAATGTCCTATTCATCCTAAAAATTTCGATCACTTTTGAATAAGTGTGTCAGCAATTATTAATTTCATCTCAATTTTGTCTACAGTTTGTAGTCATAATACCAAGTGACAGCAGAAATTTTGCTCTTCTACTTATCCCATTTGCAATTTTAATAATTAGTATAATTAGCAACTTGCTTTGTCATTTCAAATTTAACATTTGTAAGTTCAGGACTAGTGATTCAATGTGCACTTTTCACATTGCAGGATCACAAAGATTTACCAACATACTTCCTGGACAGCTGTACCAGAATTATCGCGTGTGTCATCATGTTTTGAAGTCAATTATATCAATCCCTATCATAACATTATATGTTTGAAATCACCAGCCTAAATTTCAGGTAAGTGTTGGAATGGATTTAACCAAAGTAACACTACCAACATTTATTCTCGAACGTCGCTCTCTTTTGGAAATGTATGCGGATTTCTTTGCACACCCGGACACTTTTGTCGGTTGTACCGATATTCCATCACCAGAAGAACGCTTCATCTCTGTGATTCGTTACTATGTGGGGGCTTTTTATGCTGCTCGCAAAAGTGGAGTGGCTAAAAAGCCATATAATCCTATTCTTGGAGAAACTTTTCGCTGTTAGTAGTTTCATTTTGTTATTTTAAATACAGTGTTTTACAACTGCCTTGCAATTCCTTTTCTTAACTTCTTTCAAATAATAATTTTGTTCGGTAGAGGAAATTAGCTTACTTTTTACAGGTCGATGGAAAATACCTGGCATGCAAAGAACTAAACAACTCACTAAACGGGGTCCTTTTCCTGGTTCTGATGAAAATGATTTAACATTTGTCGCAGAGCAGGTCAGCCATCATCCGCCTGTCTCGGCTTTTTACGCCGAGCATCCTGGTAAACGGGTTTCATTTACAGCACATATCTGGACGAAGTCTTCGTTTTTGGGTCTTTCTATTGGTAATTATTTGAAATTTATTTAAAATATTCAGAAATTTTTTTATGAGTATAAAGAGCTTGATTATTTGTTTGAGAAAAATTATTTCTAGTTAATAAAAGGTTGATAATTGTGGGATCTTTTATCACTGACATTGCTTAAAATTTTTTTCAAACTGTGTATGGAATGATTTAATGTCATTACCACTGATGTGTTCCTTCTACTCGTTATTAACATTGACTTTAAGGAGTTACTAACATTGGTTGGGGAACAGTCAAGCTGCACGATTATGATGAAGAATATGTTTTGACATTCCCGAATGGCTATGGGCGTTCAATTATGAGCACTCCATGGATTGAACTGGGTGGAAAAGTAAGCCCTGATAAATGAGTAATTATCCGTTAATTTGAAACTAGCCGTAATTGATTTCATTATTCAATCCACTACCCTAGTGATTGTGGCATCATTTCAGGTCACGGTTAACTGCGTTAAAACGGGATATTCAGCTGAGATTGATTTTCTAACAAAACCTTTTTTCGGTGGAAAAGCACATCGTATAAATGGAAGTATTTATCGTTCGGGTTTTAAAAAACCTATTCTTATAATAAAAGGGGAATGGAATGGTGTAATAACTGCAAAACCTCTGAATGGTAGCGAATATTTATTTGTTAATGTTAAGAATTATCCTGAGGTGAAAAAGGTTTGGTTTTTTGAACGGATTTCGAAAAAGTCTTTATTTTTTAAGGGAAGAAATTTTTTTCGATACTTTTTCTAAAAAAAGTTTCCATCTTTGGGAAAAAAATGTTTTTCTGAAAGAAGGAAAAGGTCGGTAGTGTAAGTGCTTTATTGAAGGATTGTTTTCACTAAATGTCAAAGTTTTGAACAATGTTCAAGTATTTTAATTTTTAGGAATGTGAACCTGTAGCAAAGCAAGGTGATAGAGAATCACGTCGTTTATGGCGACATGTTACAGTTGCTTTACAAAAAAATAATATACAGCTTGCGACCAATGCAAAGAGATGGATTGAACAAAGGCAGCGAGAAGAAGCTAAAAAACGACAGGTATCGAGATATGTTGTAATTTAGGATTTTCTTTTTCTATGTAAGTATAACTGGAGATAATCTTTTTAGAATCATTACTGAAAAAATATTTTAGGATCAACGAATCATTTATCATCCGGTTTTGTTTGTTAAAGAAGGTGAAAGCTGGAGGTACAAAGACGAATTACAATAACTTTTTCTTGGAAAAATTGATTGACAAGGAAGCTTTGGAAAACAGGAAAAACCAAAAAACAATAAGTTCTATTTTTTATTTGCTCCTCAGTGTAATGCTTTTGTTTAAATTTTAGCTGAATTTTGAAAATCAGGATACCAAAAATTTATCTTTTTTGTCCATTGTGATTAAATGTTTGGATAATTTGTTATTCTTTTTTCTAGTGAATGAATTGTAATCCTTTAATATCTTTAGTGGCTACTTTTTTTAGGTAATTTGATAAAATATAATTTAGTGATTTTTAAATTGTAAGCCCCTCTCAATATTTTATAATTTTGTCTGAGAAGTACTTTCCTGTGCATTTATTACGAAGTTTCGCCGTAGTCTTGTAAAGTACCTCTTCATTTGACCATTTTGGTATTAGTGTGTGTAATGTACTGGTCTATCGTTAATTGTTAAAGGTACTGTTTGTAATTCATATGTGATTTCCAGAATTGTAACAAAAATTATTGATTTTAATATATGAATTGCTAACATATAAAAAATTTCATTTATTTATTGCTTGTTTTTTTGATTTTCTATCAGTTTTTTTAATAGATATAAATGATTCGTTTCGTTTTGCCTTTTTTGCACTGTTTTATGAGAAAATTTAATTTTTAGATGAATTCCGATCCAATTTAGTTAAAATTTGTTTATTCTTGTCGTTAGTTTGATACTTAGCTGGGAGAATATGCGGTTTTCCCAAAAAAATCAAGCATTGTGGAAATAAAGTATCCTCTAAAACAATATCTTAATTAAATTTCATTTCAAATGTTACTGTCGTAGTGTTCCAAGCAATGTATTTACCTGCAAAAACTTGCAAGAGTTATCCAAATAATTCCTTACTGTCTATTTGTGTTTCGGAGCATTAATGTTGTCCGGGGTAATAGTAAACAGAATGTTTGTCAAGAGAATATTGAAATGAAATGTCAGTGCTCATTAGGAAACGTCTAGTTCAAAATTTTCTTCAATTAAATATTTCTATATTGTTTAAGGTCGATTAGTATGTGCTCTCATCAGGCTGAATTTACTGTCGCAAAACATGTGGTTGGTTTTATGAGTATTGTTATGGATGGATGTATCTTCATTTGGGTGGGCAGCAGAAATCGCCTAGATACCTTATGTTTTGCACAAAATTTCCGGGGAATGAATCTGATCGAATCACCAAAACAAGATTATTTAGCAGACAGCTTCGCTGTAAAACTTAATAAGCTATTTCCCAACAAGCAGGTATTTTTCGTTAGATTGTGTTAAGGGTAGTTCTCGTGTCAGGTTCCAAGAAGCTTAATATTAATTTCTCCCTTAATATATTGTACACTATCTGGTATGAGTAATATCGGATTTATTACATTATAAATGTGTATGTACTGCACTCTCAAATGGAATACAGTGATTGTAAGTTATAATCTTGAAATTGTAGATTATAATATATTGGTAGCTTAACCTGTAGCTTAGCATTTCCAATACATAACTTTTTCGATAATAATGAAATTTTTCAAAAAGTGAATTTAATTTCGAATTTTAAGAAAATATGTGGCCGTAGGTTTTCGAAGTTGTCAATTATGGGAAATTAGTCATTTATTCTTCTTATTTTAGGTTTTCTTCTCAAGTGATCTCTGTATTGTGGATGTATCATTTTGGACTGAATTATTGCAAACTATCACAAATTATGTTTCAAAAAATGAAGAAATTTTCGGTGTCGCTCAACATTGTAATTGAACTGGAATTCATTGGTTACTTGTTACATGAAGGCAATAATATTGCCAAGACTTATTTCCATATTTTATCCTGCAGTAGTATTTGTTAGTATTTGTTATTTAATCTGTTGCTGATAGTACGTCAGTCATTTTCAGATTTAGTTTATAACGTGAAAAAGATCGCAATAAAAATTTTTCTTTTTTATGAATGATACTGAAGGAACAAATATATTTTCACAATTTTCTTACCCCTGAATATGTTCAATGTTTTCCTCGTTCATTAATTTTGTTAGTCATTAAAATTTTAACTTCATATTGCCTAAGTTTATCTCTTTTCTATTCTTACTTATTGAAATTACACATAAACTTGAAAAGTGATACTTGTTTTTTGTCGCAGTAGCAGGGGCTCCTTCTCAAGTTAAGAGATTATTTATGCTTCCGTCTGCATCACGTATGGTCTATATTCATATGACGTGTAGCACGTGTCATCCGCACGTGTTTGTATAAATTTGGATATATGGAATATACATTTTCAATGTGATCTTATGTTTATTCAATTTATTGCAGTGTGTTGCAAAACGATTTTTCAGATGTTGCGAGTATTTCGTGGTCGGAACATTGTGCTAGTATTTCGCAATCAGCAACGTTTTTGTAAAGTTGAAGGTGTCGTAAATGAAAAAAAGATTGAGATTGAGAAGACACCACGAGGCAAGCTGGATCATGAGCTTGAAATGGGCAAAGAGAATAAACGTTACGAAGATCCATATCTCCCAAAACATCCCAGAGGTATCTTTCTAATTTCCTGAATAGAAGTGGCTGGGATTGATTTCCTTTCGTGGGAAGATTTTGTGGATAATGGAAGTATTTATAGATCCTAAATTCTTAAACGTTAGCCATCGATTATTTATTACTATTCATCTTTAATAAATCATTTCTGATTTTCGTGTGGATCAGCAGAAGTATTCACTTTAGGCATCAATCCAATAACCGGGGAAATTGGTGGGCCAGCTGGACCGGAACCGACTCGCTTCGGCGATTGGGAACGGAAAGGACGTTGCATTGATTTCTAAAGTCCATTTTTTTAACACGAGTTCATCTATTGGATCGCTTTCACCTGCCAGTTTAGTGATGTTGAGGACATCTATTTCTTTAATTTACCTGAAAATTATCTTTGATACATCTTAAAAATTCATGATTTCAAATATTATCATTGATTTAATAAATGTTGCGGATGACTGGAATAAAAGCGTTTGTGTTTTGCGATTTGATTTAATTTTTGGTTCAGTGTCAGCCAATAACTACATAATAATGTGAGGATTATCATAGTGCTTTTACGAATGAATTTGTCCAGAGATTTTATGAGTTATGAATAAGAACTTCCTTGAACATTTGACAAATTAGTGGAAAATTTCAACGGCGATCTTGATTTAATAAATTTAACTGAAATAGATCTAGTATTTTCATTTCTCTGCTTTAATTTAGATGAGTAATACTGGGAATGTATTTGGAATCAACTTTCTGAAAGAGTTGATAGAAACGGGTCATGCAATTCTTGCCGAAATATTTCGCTTAGCTGACTGTATTCCCGATGATTTCAAAAATCCAGCCCGTAGTCGCTTCAGGCCGTTCATTGTTGATTTTTCATATTTTGATGATCTTTCTGTTATTGATCGCTACATTGATTCGCATGAGGTTGGCTGCTTACTGTTCTATCTCAAAGATTTCATTCTTAATCCTTCGAATTTTGATTTTCTACTTTCCTGCAGAACTTTCCAGTTTGTTTTTGTTCGGCTTTTATTACCGGAAGCTTTTTAGCAAGGAGCACAACTGGAAGACGAATATTTATTTATATTTGAAAGACACATTAAACGCTTTGGTGCTCTCTTCGATGCTATAGCGCACTTTTTTGCTGATTTAATTGAGTGAGTGAGTTTTCTATACTTCGTTTTCATTTCTCCAAGTTTTGCTAAGGAAAAAGTGATTTACCTCTTCGAGCTTTACAGAAATTTGTTTAATGGTAGAATATGCAGCTGGGAAGTCAGTACTATTATTATTTCATTATTAACTTTATCCGATTACTTCTTACTCTTATTTTTTGTAGATATTCAGAAAATAATCGATCCAGTCATATCGCCTTCTCAGTGCGTCGAACAGCAGCTTTCCTTGCATTATGTCAGCATGAGGTTCGTCGTGATAATAATTTTTTCTCACATTTATTTTTAGCAATTCAAACCTTCTTAAGTTTTTTCGATCTTAAATTGTAGTTTTTTTTGAACTACACTTGTTTGTTTTGAAGAGTTTAGTAAATCACTTTGAAATTTATTTCATATATGGTGTCTTATGCATAAGTAATTTGCAGGCAGAGGCACTCTTTGTTGCAGGCGTCATTTTGTTGGCATTGGATGAGAAATATGCGAATGAAGTGAGACAAAGATTGTTTGTTGCACACTACAGAAGCAAGTATGTGATTCAAATCTTTAGTCAAAGTTACGCTAACGTAAATACTGAGATGATGGCATGTTGTTACATAGCATAAATTATTTTACGTTTTGATGAAGCACTCAAATTGGAATGATATATAGTTATGTGATAGTGAAGGATACTGTGAATGGTTCGGATATCTCTTGGTTTATACAGACTTTTTACCTTCATATATTAATAACTATAACATTTCAGCCCTTCGAGCAGTGAACGATTCGATCTTCTAGTTGATGTTTTAAAGGCAACTTCGAGTCGAGAAGAGCTTTTCAGGTAAGCTTTTAAAGCCTTCTAGTATTTTTCTTTGTAGTTCTCTTTGGACTTCATTATTTTTTTATGGCTTATCACAAATCAGGAAGTCCTGGTCATGACTAAATATAAATGTTCATAGTGCATTTTCCATATTATTATATTTGAAACTTTCGTGTGCTAATGAATATATATATATATATATATATATGCAACTCCATTGATTTAAAAAATCTTTCTTACGTTTCAGAAGATTACCGTTAAATGAAACTTTTGTCAGTAATATGCTTTTGGTGTTACATACGGATGTTTTGTTTCCTGATGAGGTAAACAAACATTATTTCGTTGGCAATACTGTAGGATTTGGACAAAAGAAGATGAATTTTAGGAGTACTGGAAAAGTTTGAGTTTCATAACTAAAGAAGTGAAGTTGTTTCATTATGTTGTTTCTTAATTGAATTCAACTAATATGAAAGTGATACTTATCTCTTCAGCTTTATTTTTCTCCTAGATACTGTGGAACTCTCGCTTTTCCTGGTATGTGTGGTACTTCCTTTTCTGTAGTTTCAGCAATCATTTCATGAAGGCTCATATGATTATACCTCATCTTACAGTTCATTCATTTGTAGTATGTGGTTTGAAGCTTAGAGGAAATATTTGTTAGAGATAATGATTTTGAAAAGAAGCTACTACTATATATGCATTTCAATTTACATTCCTTTAGTCAGTGTTAATTTTGGTCGATTATATGATCGATTGTTTTTCCAGAATGAACTTGTGCCGCATGAGATTTCCCGGCGAGGCATTCGTGCTTCACGTTATCAGCGAGCATTTCTTTCTGTTTGTCTTTTTTTTCTTCCTGCAGTGCTACATTCGGATCATGTTGTTATGCGCCATATTGTGGATACATTTTTCACTGAGGAATGGGTATGTTTTTAAAAAAGTAAATTTAATAAATTCTGTACTTTCTTGGTGGATGCTCAAACATGGGATTTAAACTGTAGAAAGTGACAGTTTTAGTTTTTGTTCACGCGAGATTCAAAAAAACAATGAGATAATCACCTGGTCCTCACTGCAGTGACAGCGATTTCTTTGAGATATGAGCATATATCTTGCGCAGCTATATGAGACTTTCTCTTGCTGAAATTTTCATTATTTGAGATCTTCTATTCCCCTGTCATTGGCTGTGTTGTAAAAGAAATCGTTTCATTTTTTTGTAAGTTTAAGAATCCAACCGATTTTTGAATGTTGGAATCTTGATGTATGTTTTGCAAAGTAGGACTGGCTGGTTTTCTTAAGCATTCGAATTACAGCGATTTTTAAAATTAGAATTTTCCTTCGGAAATATGCGGATTAGCTGATTTTTAGGTGGTGCATTTGCACATGGGAATAGTGATGAATATGCTAGATGCTTGGGATCATCATAAAGCAGCAATTAATGCACTGCAGCATGCGCTTAGTGCACAAACAGTAAAGAATTTGACTGCGAGCCATATATCCGCTCTGAAAGCGGCATCCTTCCCACATACTGCCAAGTTTTCGGTGGCCGATGTCATTATGTTTGCCGATTCAATAGCTATTTCAAATAAGCATCTCGAGTGGGTTATGTTACATGCCTGTAAGTCTTGTTGCTGTCAATCCGTGTTCAAGCCTTGTTTACTGTTTTAGTTGTCCTCTTAAAATTTATGTAAGAATTCTTCATATTTCAAAAAATGAGAAACTTTTCGTTGTATTCTAGATAAGCTCGAGAAATGCTCCAAGCGTGCCGGACAGCTTTATGACATTGTGAATAATCAAATTGCGTCTTCTTCGCTTGATTTATTTAGTAAATTGCTCGAACTTTCAACTTTTGAATACGGTTATAAAGAAGTAAAAGATTTTTTTATTGTTTATAAACTAATTGTAAGCTAGTTGTAAACTTGTTGGGAAATCTGAGTTAACATTTTCTAAAATGGGTCATATTCTCAACAGGTATCAGTTTTGAAAGGAGATATTGAGATCATTAATATCTGGTTTTTATTTTTAACCTTGAATAAGTGGATTTTTGTTTTGTATATGTTAAATAGTTTTATTGGAGTAGCCCTCTGGGATTTTAGATCGCTCGGTCGCTTCTTGATAATAAAGATAAGGATGTTCGAAAACTTAAGGAAGAAGTTTGTGATCACATCATACAAATAGCCGAACTTTTTGCAAACGAATTACCTTTGCAAAGGATCAAGAAAAATGGTTTGTGTTGCGCTTTGTCCTGTTTTGCTTCGTGTATAAACTTACAATTTCGGCAATCAAGGTTTATCTCTATTTTATAATTAATTAGTTCAATTGTAAAGGATTATCTTTATAATTCAACACTTTTCCTACGAGATTTGAGTTGCAAGATAATTTTTTTGCAGAAAAGTTAAGATCATGGCTTTTATTGCTAAAGAAAACCATCGATGAATTAGATATTTTAAACGCAGATGCGTCTTCCTTGATCTCAGAATTGAAAAACCGACTGGATCAGGTCATTTTCTTTCAAATATTTACGTGTCTCTCTTCTATTTATCATTTCATCTGCTCTCCGCTTCTGATGTTCAAGGCTATGTGTCTAATTCTTGCAGCGTGTTATCTGTTTTTTGGTAAGTTTTATATGATGAGGGTTCACTTCTCACTGGCGATAGATATTTACCACAAATTTTTTTCAATCTTCATAAATATTTGTCAAATTTTACAAAGGAGAGTAGTTGATGGCTGTCGCTCAAGAAATGCATTTGTATGTGTTCGTACATTCAAGTTCAGATTGTTAAATTTTTGATCTACAGGTGAGCGATATGCATGATCTGGGTGGAATAGTTGCCGTATCACAATATCTGCAAAATACCCAAGCTTTATTGACTATACTTTCGCACTATTGCCTATTGGATGAAGCATTTTTGAAAAAAATAGAAGCAGCGACAAATTTTTCGTATGGATGGGCAATTACTGACCAGTATTTTCTTCATTTTAACTGTATTTTACTAATAATCCCTTATTTTTATTTAAATTTGGCACCCCTAAAGTTGTTTATCTTTACAACGGGGCTTTTTTTTTTCTTGATACTGTTTTGCAAATTTGTGGCAAGTAGTACTTTGGTTTATTCACATGAAAATGGAAAATACACAAATTCATTTTAACTTTTTTCTCAAATCTTTCATTTCTAATGGCATGTTTATGTTATAGATGGACTGAAAATATGAAAACTTTGGTAAAAGTCGATCCACTTCCAATACGTTCATTGTTTATCAAAGTGGCGAGTTCAATTAATTTAACATTGGAACGTTTAAATACACCGGAGAGAATATCCTCCATATCAATGTGTTATTCGTGCTTGATTGAAGCAAAATTGCGCAAAATTCTTCAGGTACCAGTGTTACTTTTTCATTTGTTTAGCTTTGTATCTTTTGATTACTGCATTTACTGCTTTAAGATGTAAGTGATTTTAAGAATTTTATTACGATTGAATTCAAAGATTTAAAAATTATTGCATATTCTTTTATTTTTCACTCTTACATTTGTGTTCGTGTAAAATTAGAAATGGACGTTATCTATAAATGAAAACAAAATCTATATAAGAGACAAAGCTAAAGCTTTAAATTAAAATTTTCTCTCACATACGAAACGAAAACTTTAGGCTGTTCCACGTTTGCTCTTCGCACTGTTAGATAAAGTGGCTGATTTATTGAACCCTCCGCAAGGATGTTCTATCAATAAAACTGATGTCCGCCAATTTGCGGATTCGGATCGTCGTTTGCAACTTGCTGCTATTACACATGCAATTTCAATGCTTTCTTCTGGCATCTCAACAATGCAACTGGCATCACTTGGGTCACTTCGAGTGGATCCATCAAATCTTCTTCTGGATGGAATCAGAAAGTTGATTTTCCGAGTTATTGTTCAAAATAATAAGGTCGCACCTCTTATAGCTGTAGGGATTTCGAAAACCGCTGGTATATTACCAGTTCATGACTGCTGAAATTGTTTTAAATTATTTATAAATTTAATAGAGAAAAATTTTTCATTTGAGAGAATTAGTGGGTCGAATCTGTGCAACGTTACGATCGCAGTTAACTTCTGATTTGCTTCTGGACGATTTTTTAACTAAATTGAAGAGTCAATTTGCTCACTTACGTGGAGCTTTTGTTTATATGTGTGAGCATATTGCAATTAACGGAGCTGTAATATGGCACAACGAATTAGCTCGTATAATCGGTTATATGGTCGAGAAAGAATGTAACGTCTTTCTGCAACATCCTGTTTGTTTTTACATGATTTTAGTAAAAAATTTCAAAATTTTAAACTGGTTGTTTTAGTGAATAAAGTATACTTAGTATTCAGGAATTAAGATGGATATTTTCTGATATTTCCTCTTTTTCATGTCCGTTTTTTACTGATTGAGGTTGATTATTGACGCATTGCAGATCGCTGAAGAAGAAAGTTTATATCAATCTGGGTCAGCGCCTATTCCAAATATTCTAGCACTTGACGGATCATTAACTCCTCTACATCGCTTATACAGCCGAATTTTGAATGCATCAGACCCAAAGTAAGATTGATATCTTGACTTCTGAAACAGTTACAAAAGTCAGTTCTTAAAGTGATCTGTAAAACTTAATTTTCAAGTTCAAAATTAAGATTGAGTTTTGATTTTTAATCTGTAATTCACAGTTGTTTTCAGATCATCTTATTTTGTAAATTCGATGAGGATATGGTGTGATTTAAAAACTAAGAAAACAGTGTTATCAAACGAATCTCTGAATGCTATTCAAGTAATTTAAAATGAGCTAGTTTAAATTTAATCAAAATGTCATAAAAATTTATCAGCTACAATCAAAACAGATCGCGAAAGAATAGTAAAAAATTTGCTGCTGGATAAAGCTAGGGCTCATGATTTGCTCTCTTTTTCCTTATTTGACCCCTATTTATTGTTAAAGTATTGATATGCGAGCAGTTAGAATTGCTATGTTGTCGGTTAATATGTGTGTAAAATGGGTCAAGGACGATGTGTTCATAAACCTTCCGTAATTTCAAATATTTTCAATTCTGGTTATATTTGGGCAAATCTAGTTTTTGTTATTTGAGATAAGAACTATGAAAATTGCGTTCTATTCAGGAAGCCCTTTCACCAATGGCTCTGCATGCGCTGGATCGGATTGCATCGTTTCACATCGTAAAACATTTGTATACATTATGTGACCAACTTTCGGAAATATTGTGCCCTTCAATGGCTTCAATGTTAAATGACATTACATTGGTGAAGGCTGTAGCAGCTGCCGAGAGACTGAAAATTTTCGATTATGCTTTATCAAAATTCTTGCCAAATTCATCACGATTTATTGTTACTATCAGTAAGGCATGTTTCGCCTTTTTGCTTATCAGCTTAATTTTTGATAGAGTTAACTGATAATATTCGTCTTTAAATCATATATGTGATCACAAAGCATGCTGCTTTATGAGTTAACAAAAGAACTTAGTTTTAGATTGGTCAATTACAACTATTGCGGCAGCAAATATTAGCTGTCAGTCAGTCAGCGTTACGACAACACTCATCGAATATCTTCAATGCAGTTGCTACACTTAACGAGTTTTGCTTTCTTCAATTAAAATTTTTTCCAGAAAACTCCAGAAAAATCTAAAGGAAGCTTTCTGAAGACAATCTCAAAAAGCTCTTCTAAAGGAATTTGAAGGCTTTTAGAAGAAACCCAATCATTTAATGTCATTTAATGTTTCCTAAAAATTAAGGCTTCATTTGTTTATTCAGGGGTGTCGTTGGCGATATTCGTGGACACCGCGGTGAATGCGATGCGACGTTCCTCAATGAATTGTCAGCGCTCTTGGAACGTTGCGCCATAACAGATCCATTCATGAAAGTTAGTTTCAGATCAAATTTCTTGCCGTTAAAGCATCATAACTGCCATTATTCAGATTTTTTTATATTGCAGATATACATAAGAAAAGAGATACCACAACTGCTGATACCTACAATGTTTCTTGTACTTTTGACCGCGACAAGCAAGTTCAACGGTAAAACATCCTCAGATTTGCATCTAATTTCTCTCGTACTTTTATCCTATTACTTGCTCAATCGAGTTCCTGGCAACAGTGATAATCGAAGGATTTCATTTAATGATGGAAGAATAGCAAGAAACAGTTCGAACTTTGTATCAGGAGAGAAATTTAATGTTTAAAACGTATCTTTGCAGTCCTTAAAAAAACCGATTCGACGGATATCTCAGCATTTTCTGCCGGTTTCGCATGTATATTATTACAGTTTAATGTTTTGCAAGAATTTTTCGAACTCAGCAATATTTACACATCAGCGATTTTACTTACAACACGGGAAAGTGCGAAACAACCAACTTTTGCGCACACTCTTCGTTTCATAGCTCATTATTCTTCTATACCGTCAAATGTAAGACTTTAACGAGCTATTATTATTTTAAGTTACTCAAAAGATGTAGCCTTATTCTCTGACTACAAATTTTCCAATGAAAACTTAAATGAATTTAGATTACAAAGTCTTTGAGTTTTTATAGAATCATAAATCTTTCAACGTGAACAAAGGGATAAGGAGTTAGAGATTCTACTGATTCTATGACTTACGGATGATATTGTAAAACACATTATTTTAAAACTGTGTCAGATCCTTGAATTTAACGACTTAGCCGCGATATAGATAACTGGATGAAATTAAGACTGCATAATCCTCGAAAAATAACAGGAGTTTGAAGGATATTTTCAGGAAGTGGAAGAATATCTTTTGCTTTCATTATCAGAAAAACTCTGACTTTGTATGGATATGTGCAAGTGTTTCTGTCATATTACATAGTATATAATAAATAATCAAGTTTTTCATCGAAACATAAATTAAAAACATTATCATCAAAACATTTTATAACAACCACAGAGTGCAACAAATTTTGAAATGGAGGTTGAGGCGTATGGTACTTATTGAGTGCTTCTGATTTTCTTTATACTTTTATATTTACATCAAACATACATATAATTACATGAATGGGTGTAACTTCAAATCTAACAGTGTTTTTTCCCTCGTTGAGTTTTTGTACGCCGATAAAACTCCTTGGGCATTCGTTGCTCTTCTTCTTCCTCAAGCATTTTTTGCACTTTCTTCGCTTCTTCTGCAACCTACATAACAAAGAAATTAAGCTGCAGCATTAAAAGCGGATTGGGATGTTACTTTAGATGATATGAAATAATTGCATAATTTCTATTTCGGCTGCTCTTATGCTTTAACTATACATCAAAACGCCTGGTGACCAAATGAGCTTTCCTGATCTGATTGGTAACGCTGACTACATTGAAAATATAAAACTGATTTTTCTGAGTTAGAATACAAATAATGGGCTCTGAAACTGAAATATTTACAGAGCCATAAAAATTGCACATTTTAACATAAATGAATTTCAGCAAAGATATGTCGTTCTTAGTTTGAACTGTTACGAGTCGTTCCAAATTTTTCGTTATGATATACTTTTGGTAAAAAAACTCCCTTAGCACTTCCGGCAACAAATAGTTCACAGCTATCATTAAGAGAAGGCCTATCCAAATCAAGTCATTTTTAATGTCTCGAAACTTGTCCTACACATCTGTTTAGGGTATTTTGTTCGATGCATAAAAAAGTACGCATTTGTTGCCGATTAAGATTTGTTGCCACTTCAAAAGATTACCTTATTCTCACGTTCGTTTGCTTCTGCAATAGCTTTTTCAGTAAGTTTCGCTACATGACTCAAATTTTCTTTGATATCGGTACATCGTTGTATCCACTTGTGTAATTCTTGACAAATATTATCTAATTCTTCATCGGAGATGTCCCGATTTTTCCATGAAAAAATCTCGACTTCACTTCTCTGAGCATTCAACCGGCCCTATAAAGTTCACAATTTTAGTAACAGCACAAGATCTCAAAGAAGGAAATCAAAAAATCTGTATGTGAGTTCTACCTTTTTTATAAAATGAGTATCCAACCTATTACTGTGGGACAGGAACTTTTCAATATCGTGGCACGATAATGAAAGAGAAACATGAAATGAGCCTTAACGGCATCTCAAACTCTTCTAATTCACGATCTGAACTCGTGAAATCGCCAAGAACAAATAACTTATTTCCATTATTAGATCATCACTGAAAAAAAATAAACAAAAAAGGACCTGAATAATACCATCGTATATGGCAGAAATAAAAAGACGCTGAAACTCTTGCAGATCAGTGATTTGCAATTCACGCATCGCATCTTTGATCAAGAAAATCTTTGAACGAGTGCACATGGTCACTAGCGTTAATTGCCGCAATTTTAATAACATTGTCTCATTCAGCTCAGGCAAATCATCCTTACGTGCAACGGAATCTCCATACGTCCCTAAAAGCCATAAATTCTTGCTTTCCCAATGAATAAAAATGACAATTGAATCATTTAAATCAACTTCTAGAATGTTTGCTCCTTGCTTCGCAAACAGGAAAGGGACAGCGAGTGCATCAATAGGACAAGACCAAATTCTCTACATTATAAAAATTCGTCATACATACTGTATGAAAAATTAAGTGATTATTGGGACTGAACTAACGCAAAAAGTTATTCGAATGCGATGTTACTATCGTCTGATGGCTTATCTAAATGACATACACAAGTGTGCAAGTCTCCGACTATTAACACGCTATTAAATTAATCTAGATGTTCGTCAAGTTTTCAAGGGTTCGAACCTTCAGTCAACCCCATCACCACAATACTATCTCCTATCCAGCTTTGTCCCCACTGATCTTACGTTCATATTAAATTTATCGTCTCTAACAGATATCCATTTGAAATGATAAGTTTCTCAGTTAAAATTCTCACAAAATTATGTTCGTGTCTAAGATGTCAATAAATTTAACTTACCATAAGCAAAAAGATACAATAAATTGTAATATTTGAAATAATTTAGATCGTTTTGTAATGCTTTCACCGACGGTTCTGCTAGAAATCGAGCAAATGCATGAATATCGTTCGCTTCCACTAAGGAACAAATATGCTGCGCAACTTCCTCCGCATTTACTGCATTTCGGAAATTATTCAAGTAGACCTCAACCATTAGGAATGAATAGCTGCAATGGTTACCATATATGTTATAATTCATTTCTATACATATTAAAATGCAGCAATCATGTAACGTCGCACTATTGCATGCATTGGTGCCACCAATATCATATTTTGTTTTTCTCCATGATATCTTTTACAACTTTTAAGCAACAAGGAATTCACACAGAATATTTTAATGGCTAAAGACGTGATATTCCATCCAATATATTATCTAACTATCATCAAATTATGCGATAACAAGACAATGCACTACTGCACTCTATGGATCGAACATATCGTATGATAATATATATACGGTTCGTAAGAATTATTTAACTAAGATATGATAAAAAAATTTTGGCATAAAAAAAATCAGAAATGCTAAATTTTGAAAGCATAAACCATCAGCAGACCTGCGAAACACCTAAGGAATTCGAAAAGGCGGAAAAATATACGTCCAGCGTCCACGGCACTGAGCTACACGCAGGAAGTTGACACTTACCCACTATGAAAACTTGGTCTCACGTAGTTCTAGTGAGTAAGAAAATAGCTGAAGGCAATGATTGTTACGCGTAAAAACTAACTTGTTTTATGTTACCATTTAAGACGTGAACTACTGTATTCAAAATTTTGATGCATTATTTAAGATTAAGAGAAGCATTTTATCATTTTTGTAGTTCTTAGTGGTTGGTTAAGTGTGTATTTGCATGACGGAGCACGTATTACGTTTTATAAAATCATCAGACATTGTAACGTAAAAAGATTTTCAAGTTCCAGAGTTATGATTGATATTGTAAAAAGATTTCAAGTTAATTCTGAATTTTGACAAAATATAGTTATGGATGAATATGGAGAGCGGAATTCCGGATGATCTTCTGAAAAAGAATCTAGGAGAAAGTAGCAAAAATTATACAAATTTGGATGGAACTAAACTAAATTTGGAACATTTCAAGGTCTTTAGTACTATATTAATTTTAGCAATAGTATAGGTAAGAGAAAATTAACTGACCAGTCATCATATCCTTCAATGATCCCTGAAGCAAATAGCACGAAGTTATTTCATCCTTCAGATAGTTTTAAAAAAATTTGTTAAGCCATCCGACATCAAATGATCTGCTTCCATTTATTACTTTAACGATACCTAGCGAATCAATGATAATTTGAGTGACAATTGTCATCAAATAGAATATATTTAGTCGATAAGCAAAACGTTTACACTGAACATGCTTTGTGGTATAAGTCATATTTTATTGATGGACTCCGATTTTTAAAACAGAATACTGATTAGTATCGTTATATATATATATATGTATGTATATGTAGACGTGAAAAAAACGGTATTGACATGGCTAAAATAGTGCTAGCATTTAGCATTAATGCAGCAGCATTGATATACGGTAAGTGAAATATCATAATTTTAAATGTACCATTATCGTAATTTTAAGTCTCTCTCCAAGTATCATGCAAATTTGTTTATTTATCTGAACAAAGTAACTTCTTGAATTATTAACATGAATCCCACAAAGCCTATCAAATCCTTTACATCACTTTACAGTTACTGGTGTTTTTTTTTTTAAGTATTGCCGAATTGTATATCTCAATTTGGATCATATTTCAGTCATAACTTTTATAACTGCGATTATCGTAGAATAAAATCAAAATACCAGAACAGCAACATAGTTCATTCAAGATCGGAAAATTCCGAAATATCCGATTGTATTGGACTAAAAGATACTCCAATACAACCAAATACTTTATTAATTTCAAAATTTCGATTATTCTACATTTGATACCGCATCATAACTATCGTATTTTCCAGTCTTACGTAATGAAATACAAAATAATATATTTACAACTATAATTCATTCATCTTTTTCGTGCAACGAAATTTTCATTACAATAAATGAGTTTCTATTAAAATGAAAACTTTATTTAATTAATGCTTCAATGGTATCAAACAAAGAAGAAATATAAATTATGCGACTAATCTAATACAACCATAAAATCTTTGATGCGAAGAAATTTAGTGATTAAATTGTAATTTTATGTTGAAATTTTTCTTTTGTAATTTTGTTTGTTGATATCTTAGCTGTTAACATACACTATTTTGCTCTGAAGGTTTTACATATGACAATATTTTTGAAAGATATTGATGCGATGAAAAAGATGAATACATAATAAGTGATAATAAGTCGAAGATGAATAATGATGAATTCATTTAATTCAATAAATTCCATATAGGTATTATCAAGTAATTATTTGTTCGTAGAAAATGTTTCCACTTTCTATTAAATTTTTATTATGATATTCAATAATCAAGGCATAAATGGTTAACTAAAACCATTATTGTCCTAAAAAACTTTGTTCATAGACCTTCGTTGAAGCTTACATTCAAAAGTTCATCACCATACGATGATAAATAGCTATAGGATTTGGATATTTATCAGAACATTATTTGATTATCCGCATTGATATCACCTTATCCTTCGCATAATTACTACAATACCTAATTGCTTATCTAATGATCATAATGTTATTTGATTAATTTCACACTTCAACTCTTACAACTATACCATTATTTCACACTTACTTGTGTTTTCTATTTGAACTTTAACTGTAGCCGAAAATATGAAATAATTCCAAAGCTTCAATTTTCAGTTTCCTCTTAATGATTGATCAATTAATGATTATTTAAATTTCTGATAATGCTATTTCAGTTTCTATCTTCTATTTTTATACTTTAATTTCATATCCTTCATAAAATTGAACTGTAACTGTATGTAACGTGATATATCCGTCTATCATCATTCTTTTAAAGAATAAGGAAACGTTATCCATTATAAGGATCATTGTCAATACGACATATATGCAATACAGTTTGCATTTATTTGTATTTTACATAGATTTATTTCTTTCTGTTACATACAGGCATGACACAGAAAAGGTCAATAGCCTGTGCGATCATCGTTTTTAAAATAGCACAAACTGTCACAAAAATCAATTTGTTTTCAAAATCAGAAAGATGTTTTGAAGAGGATGGTACTTCAATGTATCCTAACGTACTACAACATCTCACCTGAAAATTCTTTTTTTTTTGTTTATTTTTTAATATTTATTTTTGAAATAAATAAATAAAAGATAATTTATTCTTTTATATTTTATTTTAATTAAAAAAAAAACATTTCATTTTTGTCTTCAAAAGATTGCTATAATTTATGCGATATTTACAGCAAATATGAAAGCATTGTTTATTTAGTAGCTAAATAATAAATCTAACATTTTTAAATTGTCTTTCTTTTAATTCAATTATTTTGTTCAATTCAAAATCAACTTTATAAATTTTATCCAATACTATAATCTTTCCCTAAAAGGGAACAGAATGAAAAAAATCTTTCAAATATTACTCTCAGTTATATTTTGAGAAAAAAATCGAAATGAAAGTGAGATAGGAAAGAGATTGATAAACTGATAAGCTTTATCAAGTTGTATAAATATTGTCATTAATTCAGACAGATTTTTGATCGATTTACTTCAAATTTGGCAAATTGTTTTTTAATGGATGTTATAATGAAATAAATCTTTCGGTTAATTTTATTGAAACTTTGTTGTTAAATAGTAAACAATTTATTGAAGAAAGGCCTTAATTATTCTTCTTCAACGGATGATCTTTATTGCGTTGCGTTATTGAAATTTCATGCGCTAACCTTTAACCTAATTTTTAGAATTATTTTTTAAATTAATCATTTTCATCTGATATATTTCAATGAAATGTGTCTTTGTGTATGTTTAATTATTTCGTAATGCATTCAGTTATTTCTGTATAATGATATCCGTTGGAAAAGACTGTGAACATTCCTCTTCGTTCTTATCGATTCCAGAAAACCGTATTTGTGGAACTTAAGGACTTCATGTTGCCTCTCCATTGTTAGTTTTGGTGAGAAAGCAAACAGATTGAGATGAAAATTTTTCGAAGAGAAATCATTGCTAGATTGCTGAAAGAATGTACTGTTTATTACCTGTGATGATGGCACGGCTGCAGATGGCGGTAATATGGAAAGGTGAAGGTGTAGCTTTTACGGGGTCTCGATAATCAGTGGGAGACGGGATGGTAGCGCAGGGTACCTGTTGGACGAATGATGGAACAAACGAAGGAACCTGCTGACCTATTTGTCGACCCGACAATGGCGATGATGATGATTGCAACGAACTACGCATTGCCTCAAATTCAGTTGGGTAAAATGGCATTGCGCAAGGCCAAGGGCAATCCATTCATTCTCCCATCCCACTTCTCTTCCTATCTGATTCTATAACTTCATTCAATTGAAATTTTAAAATTTTAAAATTCATTGTTATTCTTTTCGTTGTGATACATCAATGGTAATCTAAATTGAAGACATATCTTCAATTTTAGATTACCATTGATGTATCACAACGAAAAGTCCACTTTGACCTTGATCTTTCTTGGTGAATTTTCCTGTTGTATTGATAACATTGCTATTATTAAGAAACTGAACAATGTTAACTTCATGTCCATTTTTTTAAGTCTAATATTTCCTTCCAAAATTTTCATTCAAATGTACTGTAATAAAAACAGCCAATTCAAATTCCTCAAATTATAAAAAAAGGAAGAGCATTTGAATAGAGGATAAAATGACCTTGACATAAAATGTCATTGACGTCAGTATTTCTTCCAAATGTCCACATAATGTTTGATGGTGGTCCGGAAATTTTTGATGCCTTTCTATCTGCGATAAAAATTCTCTTTGAACTCAAATCTTATCAACAATCAATAACAGTGCAACGAATGATTAGATTCGTTGATAATTCTTTCTCTTTCTCTTGTTCCAGTAATTCAATTATCAGTTATTTTTAAAAGCATCCCTAGTTGCAATAATATTTACGGATCTGGAAGCGCAAAATGAAATTATTGAGTTATATTTTAACTCTTGTGCACTTCGTTACTACTGTTCATTATCTTTTTTTTCACTCATTTTTTTCAACCGGAAATTCGTCATTGTATCACCGGATTGAGCAAACTGCAGATTAGGATCTTAACCGGTAATTCATCATTTTATTACCGGATTGAGCAAACTACAGATTAGAGTCTTAATGATGAGATTGATTGTATCATCGATTAAAATTAGCTTGTAGTATCTTTTCTATAGCATTATTGTATGAACGAATTATGTGGTATAATTTTTTTAAATTATTGTAAATTTCATAATATCATTTTTTTATGTAAATTTTTTCTTCTCCACTCTTCCAACCAATTTCTGGGTAAAACGATTTAAATTTAGAAGATTATAATTGAATTGCACTAGTTTTATTATAAAATTTTAGCTAGGCCAAGGTCGAATAAAGTATATATAATTTATCATCAATAAATTTTGGGATAATAGTCTTATGAAAAGCATGCAAATAATATCATTTTACCATATATTATCCTATTCATCAGATATATTTCAAAATTTTTAAATAGCACAATAAAATGAATGAGAAGCAATTCACTCATTCATACCTTTCCTTTTATCATCGCTAAATAAACTTTTCATTTTTCTATTCTATGTGATGATAATAAGATCGACCAATCATCATCATCATCATCATCATCATATCATCATCATCATCATCATCATCATCATCATCATCATCATCATCATCAGCATCAACATCAACATCAACATCATCCTCATCATCGACATCATCATCATCGCTGATACAGTACTCGCCCAAAAGTAAAGAGGAGGAAGATTGAATGGCAATAGCGCAAGGTCAACAGATTCATCCATCCGTACAACAACTAACTTCCAATAACGCTGTTTCGATTTAGAATTCAATTCATTCATTCATCCATTCTCTCTCAAATTCATTAATTTCATTGTTCCATTTCTTTGTTTTTTTCTCTCCCTTCTTTTCATTTTTTTCTTCCTCAAAAATTATTCGATTTTGTCTTTTCTTAAAATTTCATAATTACTTTGAATAATTATAAAATATATTTTAGAAAATGTCTTTCTTAATGGTCACTCCCTCTGCTTTAAGTGCCATTTCAAGTTTATAAAATATAATTTAAACGGCAATGCGATATTGAAAATAGATTTAGTAATTTTATTTAAAATCAACTTCTCTAAAATTTTTCCAGTTGTCAAATTACTTACGACAGATACATATGTTTGAATAAATTATCATTATTTGTTAGATGGAAAATTCTGATATATGATATTTTTAAAATTACTTTAAAACTTTTTTTCGATATTCTAAACAGGTGATGTGATTTATTTAATTTCAATATTCTAAACAGGTGATCTATTTGATGGATCTGACGATCTATATTATTTAACTTGAGCACAACATACTCTACAAAAATAACATAACTAACTATATTGTATCAAAAGTTATAGTTAAAGAAAGTATCAGTAAATCAAATTTATTGGATGAATCATAATTTTTGCAGAAAAGGAAAATCGTTTGCGGAAAAAGTCAACTGAAATAGACAAAAGATAAGTGTTGCAATATTTTAAAATAAACTAAATTCTCTTTTCCATTTTCTTTTTATCATTTTGCTTTTTTGAAATAAATTAAATTTTATGAATCATCAAATTATGCAAGTAAATTTTGCACACTTTACATTGTACATTTAAACTTTTTTAGTAATTATTAATGAATGAACATTACCTTTTAATTAACACTTTAATATTGTTCTTTATTAGACTCAAAATATCTCTTTGTATATTACTTATTAATGCTAGTACTTCCTTTTATTGCTTGACAAATAAAATAGTTGTCGCTTTCTTATTTGATCAATAAGTAAAGCTTTTCTCATTCTTATTTGATCAATAAATGAAACTTCTCTTATTTGATCAATAAATGAAGCTTTTCTTATTCTTATTTGATCAATAAATGAAACTTTTCTTATTTGATCAATAAATGAAGCTTTTCTTATTCTTATTTGATCAATAAATGAAACTTTTCTTATTTGATCAATAAATAAATTCTCTTATTTGATCAATAAATAAAACTTCTCTTATTTGATCAGTAAATGGAACAGTATCACTTCCTCTTTGACAATTGTAATTGTTTCCATATTTTGATAAGAAAAAATACTTTTAAAATTAATCCAAAAAATGTAAAATAAAAAAGTTTCATTTATTGATCAAATAACAATAAGAAAAGTTTCATTTAAGAAGAAGCTTATTATCTTTAACAAAAATTTCTTTAGAGATAACTATTTTTATCTCTCATAAAAATTTTTCATATCAAATTTCTCTTTTCTTTCTTTCCTTTTTCTTATTTTGTTTTTCACAAAGTTTAATCTTTTTCATTTACTTTTCTTTCTCTCTTTTTCTCTTTTTCTTTTTAAAGTCCTAAAATTGTTGCTAAATAGTAAAATTAAAAAAAGTTTATTATTTATGGAAAAGCATTTATTTATTGGATGAAAAATATTATTGCTTTATCATTCAAAGTCATTTCCATTTATTATAATTGGTTGATATGATTGAATGTTTGCCTTGCAATGACCTCTATGCGGGTGTCACGGTATGTTCAAATTGTCGATCTGTTTGTACCAAAAAATCAGGTCAACTACCGCCGAAGGGAAGTTGCGTAATGAAAGTTTTAGCAATTTTCTTTTTTTTCTCCTTCATTTATCGTTCATTATTTTAGGAATATTTTATTTCAAAAATTTTTGATTTAAAGATTTTTTGTAAATTACAAAGTATACCCAAAATTGTTGCCATTTTTATTACTTTCTTTGCTTAGAATTTTAGCAAAAGAAAAATCGAAAATTTCCTTTTATTGGAAACTCCCGGGTGTACTCAATGATTATTGATGATCATTGGTTGGTTATATTGTGAAATCTTCGAGAATTCTTGAAATAATAAAAATGGGAAGTTGATGATACTTATAATATCATGCATGCATGCATGTATACAAATTGATGATACTTATAATATCATGCATGCATGCATGTATACTTCGCGTTGATTTTTTTTACTTTATCGTACAAATTACATCATTTTGTGTTGCTTTTAATCTTGCAGACAGCCATATATTTCTAAAAATAATAATTTTCAAACTTCAAAATTAAATTTTTAGTATTAATTTAATATTTCAAAAAAGTTTGTAAAATCTTATTGTGAAATTAAATGAAATTTTTTTTGGAAATTATTTGGGAGAAATTCTTTAATATTACTTATTCAAATGTTAGAGGGATAATGATAACGATGATTAATTCGCAAGGAATATTTTAAATCTAATAAAAAAATTTGACCACTCATTTGACCAATAACACATATATGCAACAATTAAATGATAGTATGGGCAGTAGTGTTGTGTTTATTCGTCCACTGTTTACATTTTTGAAATATTGATGAAACAGTGATTAAAGCTTACATATATAAACAAAATCAGGTTTTCTTTCTCAGAGAGAGAGAAGGAGAGAGAGAGGAAGAGAGAAAAAAAGATGGAAGGAATGGAAGGGAAACTTGATTGCATAATTGTCTCATTCAACTTCTGAAAATGACAATGGCGAAAATTTCATTCAATTCGTTGGCAATAGCATTAACTCTTCTGGCTCTAAAATGAATAATTTGCTAAGTTTGTAATATTTTTGCTACTCTTATTAGTTATTGCTTATTGTTGTTGTAATTATTGGTTATTGTTATTGCAATTGCTTTTTTTTTGTGTTCCAACAACAATAAAGATAGAATAATAAAATTAAAAAAAATGGAGTTAAGCTTTTAATTTCTCATCACAAATTTACTTATTCATTTATAATTCTCAATTATTTTATAAAATTCATTTTAGACAAAACAAATTTTTTTTTAATTGTTTTTTGCCAAAAACTTTAATTAAAAATAAATTACGTAATTAATGATAAATTTTTTTAAGGTATTTCCTAATTTTGTGAAACATTAAAACAATTTTCTGAAAATTTCAATCAAATTTAAAATATTTTTCAATTATATTTTAACGGGGAAATTGTAATAGCTTTTAGCTATGATATTATATTTGAGTATTATAGAATTATATATATATATATATAATTTACATAATGAAGAAGAGAAAGATTTCTTGTTTTCTTGTGATGATTTAAATTGGCTGACAAGAGCATAACGTAACAACAAGTTTGATGTTATGAAATGAGCGAAGTAAATGAATGAAGGAATAGATAGATAGATAGATAGATAGATAGATAGATGGATGGATGGATAGCGATTTGATCCGTGAAAATAATGGCAGAAACGTTGAACCTTTACGTAACCAGTAAGAGAGAATGAAAAATATCGGAAAGGAACCAGTTTTGTCACTAAAACTGCCCAATAGACCTAAGAGATGATGATACTTTTCAAGGTGTGAGGCATTTCTACAGGAGTTACTCTACTTTAGCAATACTTTTCAAGAACCAGAATTTCTGATAATCTCTCCCTCTTTCTTTTTCTCTCAATAATTTTTCTTCTTTTTCTTTTCCACTTAAACTTCGTAATTTTATTCCTCCTCATTTGCTTTATAACTCGATCATTGCAACAATTGGAAATTATACAAGTGGTAGAAGATGATGATAATTTTCAAATTCTATTAATTGAGTAAAATACACACTTCTTTGATTTATAAAGTAATAGATATCATTTTGTAATTCGATTGAGACCGGATTTAAATCAAAATTAACCCCGAGGCTTCTTAGCTTTTCTTCCTCTTCTTCTTCTTCTTCTTCTTCTTTCATTCATACCTTAAACTTCACTGATTATGCTAAATCTTGTTTCTCATACGTAATTTTTATTTTCTCTTCTTTTTTTATTCTTCAACTGTTGAATCATTGTCATTGTCGTTGTCACCAAAGCTATCTATCGTCATTTCATTCAACTAAAAACTTCCCCTTCTTCCACTATCATCCACTTTTCCCCACAACAAACAATTGTTGACAATTTAATCGTTCACTAATATCCTTTTTTATCAATTCTTTCTTTTTTGTTTTTGCTTTTTTTTTAGAGACAGCTTTCAATTTTTTTTAAAAATTTTAACAATTCATCCAATAAACTTATCAAATCTGAAATAAACAACATTTCGGCTGAAACTAATCAAAATTTTATTAAAAATTACAATGTTTTATAAAAGCAATTCAATGACGGGTGGCACTATTTCCTCGAAGTCTTAAATCTTTCAGCAATCTTAAATCCTCTCATAAAAGTGATAGAGTATTTGTTGGTTCGTTCATCTATTTCAAATAGTTCAAGTTCTAATTCACTGTAATATCTGTCCTATTTTGTCCTCTCTTTAATCTTTTATATTTACTAATTCATTAGCATTTGGTTAAATTAATTTTGACTAATCATTTTAGTTAAATTTATAATTATTCTTCTTCTATTGTTTAAAGTTTAAATTAGCAATTAAAAAGAAAAAATGATAGAAAAGAAAAGAGTAAAAATTTGTTGGAATAAATGAAAAAGGAAAAGAAATAGACAACTTCAATTTATTCTATTAAAAATTTCACGAAGAAATTTCTTTGTAATACTTATTAGGCATACGAGAAAGAAATAAATAAATTTGTTTAAAATAATATTAAAAGAGATTTTTAAAGATGAAATAAAGAAGTACCATTGGATTTTCTCCACGAACAATGATTATTGGATAGGGAAGAACCGGTACCTTTCAACCTTTTTCATAAGAAAGTATTGAAGTAAAAAGAAAAAGTATTATAGCTTGCTTTTCTTCAATTTCCCCTGTCTACTTCTTCATTTATCATCCATCAATTAAATTCTAAAATTAATTTTAATTTTTTATTCGAGAATTTTCTTCCTACAAAAAAATATTTATTTTCAATTTTAATTATTATTGTTATATATTAATAAGTATATGAGTATTGTTTAAATATTTCCATTACTTTTTTTTTTTGATATATCTTTAATGATCTATAAATATATAAGTGTATCATGGATACTTAAATTATTCTGAATCAATAAATTAATTCAAATTCATTATTTTTTGAATTAATTTGAATTAAATAAAATAATGATGTTTATGAATGAGATTTAAGTAATTATTACTGTACTTCCAAAACTATTAAAATACCCAATCAAACATTTTTCTCTTTATGCTTATTATAAAGTTCATTTCAATCATTTGCAAATTTTGTTATTAATTCAAATTCTTTAAGTTGTAAATTAAATTTTGATTGTACAAATTTAATCATCAAATTTAAGCATAAATTCAAATCTAAACTTTATATCATTAGCAAAATTTTTAGCATTAGAATACGTAACATTTCTAATAATAGCAATAGCAATCGGTGATTTGCAAATTTTTCTAATTTTACCCTTTTCAAATTCTTTGTTTTTAATCGTACTTTCTTAAATGACAAAATTCCGCCATAATCATTTATAATATTTTGCAAAAGACTGTCAAATATAGCTATCTTTTATTAACTTTCTTTTCCTGAAATTAATGAGCATCGGTGTGCGCTTTGTATCGAATAATTACAACGCCATATGACAATATTGCCGTTTGCGCGCTGTATTCATCGAATCCCTCTGTTCCTTCTCTTTGTTATTCTATCTAACCAACTCAGTCAATTTTAGAATTCAGCTATGATTGGTTGAAGGATATATTTGAAGGTGTAGATCCGCTTCTGATAGAAACTTGTTTCTCTTGAAGATGATTAGAATGAAGGAGAGAAAAAGAGAGAGAGAAAAGATATATGATGAGATGATGTTTTTGTTTTATGTATTAAAATTACTTTTACTGCTATCGCCACAACAACTACCACTATTACAACTATCATGTTATCATAATTAATTGATAAACAATGCTTTTTCATGAAATCATTTCAGCTTTTCAAACGACTTCATTAAAAAAGAATGAACAAAATTTCATCACGAAAGATTTTTTTCCTCTTTGCAGATTTCGATTTTTTTAAATTAAATTTAATGCAACATTTCTTGATATTCTTTTTCAAAAATGATAAGAGATTTCTCTTTCTCTTTCTCTCTCTCTCCCTCTCTCTCTTCTCAAAAAATATTGAAATATTCTAAAATAATTAAAAAGTATCGCTTTCTTTTTCTTCTCTCTCTCTTTAAATGAGATCTTCATTATCATTCAAATATTACTATAAATAATTAATTTGAAAATTATATTAATTTTGAAATAAATGTTTTCCATATGAATTTGAGAAAATTTAGTTTTATGCAAATTTTTATGCAAATTTATTTTCTCTTTTTGTATTCAATTTAATTGGTTCTTGTTTTTTGCAAATTAATTTTACTTTGAATAAAATTCAATCGTTCGCTTTGAATGATAAAAACGAAAGGAATTTTTAAATGTTTTAACTTTTTTATAGGCTAAAATCACACTCACAAATATACACATACATTATTTGTCAGCTGTGGCTAACAAACAAATGAAAAGGTATATTATTATTTTTACCTTAGTTTTAAATTTTAAGTTCAATTCAATTTTTGACGAAATCTTCGTCATATAATAGCTTAGCATATTGTTTTAGCTGAGCATATTGTTTTACTAATTTATTATTTTTAAATTAAATTAAAAAAAATTAATATTCAATGCATTATTTTATCTCTTAATAATTCATTATCATTTTATTTTCCAATTCTCAAAATATTTTCATCTGTTCATAATTTTGTTCATATACCTCTACCACCTGTCCACATAATTTTATGACTATGGTTGATTATAAACTTACACAAGATGGTAATGTTTAACAATGATCACTCGATCTTATTCAATACCACCACTTATTTCTTTCCAACCAAAAAGGATATTTTATTTTGTTTAAAAAAAATTCTAAATTTATTTAAATTTAAAATTTAAATATCATCGATTTTTTTCATACTGTATTTCCAATATTGATGGATAGATATACAAAATATTAGAAAATGAAAAGAATATCATACATTTATCAGTTACGTAAAACCACGTATATCACGTAATGATACATATTTAATTGTTTTATTTTTCTCTAACATAAATAAGTGCACGCAATTACTTATGTTACATTTTCGTAACTTTTCCTGATAAATTTCAACAAAACATTTTAATTTTTTATGGTTGGCATCATGAAATTAATTATTTATATTAATTTTGAAATTTTCGATAAAAAAAATATTAATATTAAAATAATAAATTACGTAAGCACATTTCATACTTGGCTGTTTCACGTTATTTACGTTACGTTCTGTGCTATTAGCACCATTCTATTTCTTACATGATATTTTATAATATTAGAATATTTTCCGGAAATGCCTTCATAAGGTAAGGCATGCCTTTTGTATTTTCAATAAAAAATAATCACTTTATTTGATAAGTGAAAAAAATTTCAGTATTCAATTGAAATTTGTTGGTTTGTGTGAAATTCACCAACAGAAAAAGCGACACGAAAGGAAACGAATAAGCAAACGATAAATCTACCAAATCCAGTGATTAGTGATCAGGTTATCAATACAACCTTTGAACTTGATGTGATGATACATCCCATTAATGTGGGTTAAACGTTTTGCCGGAATAGAATCATCAGCAACATTGTTTGCCAAACATTTGTGCAAGAGCAACAAAAATTGCGGCAGCTATAATGGGAGAAGATATAATCCAACATGGGCCAAAGTCAAATGTATTCCATGCTGGTACACCCCGGGATATTGTTAATCAGCCCCAGAATTTGGATTCGAAGCCAAAAATGGTTGCATCAGGCTGTAGTGCTACAACGGTAATTTCTTCAGTAGCAGCAACAGCAACAACACTTCCGAATAATTCCAGTGAAATTGGTAATTCGTCTTCATCATCGAGCGCCACCGGCTCACCAGTCAATGATGATTGTGGACATCGAAATTATGGTGCAAAAATTTTTTGATAATAACTTTTGACAATAAGTTTACTACTAACTTATTTAAATTTTCATCTTTTTTTCTTCTTGTCTGACTAAACTCTTTGATTTTAAAAATTGATTCAAAAATATTTTCTAGCAAAGATTCAATTTAAAGAAACTTTGTTTTAATTTTTATTTGAACAATAAAGTTTCAGTTTCAAGCTCTTCGTTAACATGCAAAGGTATGAAAAATAAACCTGAAGGTATGAACGAATGGGACTGGACCAGTATGTCGGAGCATAATTTTGCCGAACTTTGTGTATTTCATGTGCCTGATAAGCCATTGGAACATCAGGTGAGTAATTATTATATGTTTATTGTTTAATAGAATGCTTACTTTAATTAGTTTCATATGCAAAAATTTTTACAAGCATTATTAGGAGCCAAATTTATCAGTATTAATTTTGACCTTGGTCTAACTTCTATCTTTCTGTCTTATCAATTTTTGATAGTAGTTTATGTGCCTATCACAATAATAAAAAATAAAAGATTTGAATTCGGAAAGTGAACCTTTAAAAAACATTGATGCTATCTGATAAGGTAATATTAAAGTTATCTTTTTGTTGTTTAAGGATGATATTTCAAACAAATTTGAAATTTGTTATTAACAAAACTTTTTTTGATTTTTTCTTTTTGTTTCGGCAATTAATTGATGAAATTAGTTTGATTCAAATCTATTTGCAAATGTATAATTAATATAATTGTCTCTTGCGATATTTATAAAAACGCCGACTGTATCCGACTGCGTTTAGGATCCAAACAATCGCGCCGCAACATCATTGCCATTGAACTTGACTATCCGATCTTCACATGAAGTGCCGAAAGTAAATTAATCATTTTCTTTTCTTCTTTCTTTTTTTCCTGATATATTTTTATTTTCAATGATTATATTGAGGAAAGAAAAAAGAAGAATTGATAAGCGATATTAGTGGAGCATTTAGGTATATCAAATTTAACAATGAGAAAATCCTCTAAAATGATTTACAATGTAACAGAAATATTTTAATCATATTTACTTTGATCACTGCCCCCTTTGCTCAATTTTTATTTGTTCATTTTCAAACTTTGCAAGTTTGGTTTTTAATTTTGCAACATGCAAATATGAAATAAGAAGATATTTCAATAAAAATGATAATTTTAAAAATAATGATACTTCGTTGATAGGCGATAGGTGTTTGGAGCATGGATTATATTCCACGTGGTGCACGTTTTGGACCATTGGTCGGTGAGCATAAAAAACCTGATATTACGGAAGCTACGGTAAGCCCAGCTGAAGCTAGTGGTGCTGGAGGTTCATGCCATTCCTACTGTGGTGGTGCTTCAAGCTCCGCCCTTAGAAGTGAGCTACCTTGGGAACCAGTCTGGAAAATATTTAGCAGTAGCGGTAGTATACTGATCCGATTGTTGGATGTAAGTGAAAATCGCAAAAGTAATTGGATGAAATTTGTCAATCGAGCACGAACAAAGGATTCGCAAAATTTAGTCGCTTGTCAGGTTAGTTTCAATTTTTCTATGAGAATCCTCTGATCGGTAAACAAAATAGAAAACGAAGATAGTGATCTGAAACTTATAAATTCAATAGCAATATAAAATAAAAAACCAAAGGATAGTAAATGAAACAAAAATGCGATGACATTCAATCTTTAAATTAATTTTCATAATTAAGTGAATAAATCATATGCTTCTAATAATTTTTAAAGAAAGTTACATGTTACGTGTAATTACGTGTAGATTTAAAAGAATCTTATTGAGATACACAAATTTCAGCAGAATGCCACTTCTTGATATACTCATATAGTATTTTAAGCTGTCAATTCTGCTATCTGTTTTAGGTAGAAAGTGAAATTTACTTCTACTCCGTGAAACCAATTAAGCCAAATACGGAATTACTATATTGGTATAGTCAGGATTATGCACAACGTATTAATTTTCCAACATTCTGTGAATACTGGAAAGTTCCCTCACCAAAAGGTACCATTTATTATATATTTTCTGGAAGGAAACCTTGGAAATTTCATTACGAAACTTTTCTCATCTATACCTGAAACTAACTAAGCTTTGCAAATATTTCTTCTTATTCTAGAATAATAAGAACTATCGTAAGTTCCTAATGTAAGAATTTCTACGTATTGCACTTTTTGTTACCACATCTTAGATCTTAACTATCTCATTATCACTTCTACTTGTTTAAGTCTTCAACTTTGATCCATAAACTACTATCAAACTTTCTTGAAAAGCTATTAAACAATGGTTTAAATAAAATTTTTGGAATTAGCTGCGAAAGAAATAAGGATTCTACACTCTTCAATTTATTGATAAAGAAAACTGTACATATTATCAGTAGTTTAAAAAAATAGATAAATCAGAAAATCTACAAAACATCCTCAAGTAGAGGTATAATGCTTTTGAATTCATCATTTGGAAGAAAAATGATTCTAAAGAGTATAAATCGAATTTAAGATTTTCACTGATCTGAATTTGTTGAAAGCTTGCGGTATGTTTTTAAATTCGAGAAATATAATAATTAAATACTCTCAAAAAATGTGCATTTTGTGCAGTTTCCTGATCATAGCAGAAATAGAAAAACAGAATAACTTTCCCGAAAATTTTTTAAATGAAAAATGCAAATGGCTAATATAATAAATGTTCAATTTAGGGAGATGTTATATGGATGCTAAGCTTTTCCGATCAGGAATTCTCTGCATTGCAGAAAGTTCCAGATTCTTAGCTTTATGCAGCAATTCACGGGATTTTTTATCAATGCTCAATCAATAATACCGTATATATAATGGATGCAAATTTTAGTTCTGAAATGTGTTGAAACAGCAAGTGCTTCGGGATCAAGTCGGAATACTGAACCGAAACAACAACAACAACAACAACAACAACAACAACAGCAACAACTAACATCATCACAAGAAGCTCTTGATTTCTCTCTAAAAAAATCAACAAAGGTAGAATGGAATAATTACGTCAGATTGTTAAAAAAGTGAACGAAAAAAAAATTGTTCAATAAATTTAAATTCGATTTCTTTGTACTAAAAATGATAGCGCCAAAATGGGAAATGTAATTTTTGACAGATATTTAAAGTTCAAATGAAGGAAATGTCAGTAAGATAACTTCAAAACTTATGCTATAATGTGTTCGGTGAAGGAATAAAAAAGGTTCATGCAAGCATATTTCTTTAATGTTTCTTTTTTTGTTATTATTTGATTTTTGTCTACAGAAATACGACTAATTAAAAATTATTCAAAATATTGTTTATTTCAAGGAATCAACTGTTGGTGTTGCAAGTGCCACATCAAAACGATCAACAGATGCTCACTCACCGTTTACGTCTTCAACTGGTAGCGATTTGACGCAATTACTCACTGATGATTGCGAATCGAGCATTAATTCGACGTCAACATTGTATGCTTAATTTTACGGAATTTTGACAATGGAGAAAAAAATTTAGGAAAAAAGAGAAGCAGAAGGTTTATGATAGCAAAAATATTCAGTCATTTTCTAAAAGTGATAACTGACATCCATAGAAAAGAGAATTTGTGCATTTTCATTCCAGAATTCTATACTTTGAAAATGTTATTTGTTTCGCTTTTTCTACTTCAGGAATGTAGGAATCTACTATGATTAATTCAGGTCATCACCAACTTCACCGCTCACCACTAATGAAAGACAGCAAAGGATTACTCGACCTAACGTAATCCAAAATCCAGTACATCGTCCAGTTGCAACTAAAATCCCGCAAAGTGCAGTACCTCAAGTGGCAACCGGATTATCACCGCTACAACCAAGTGCCATCAATCCATATAATACGCTGTTGCATGAATTCTGGCGGCGCAGTTCAGCTTTAGGTGTTACAACAGGTGGAATTTGGGTACCACCACAACCAAATCATGGTGTTGCTGCAACGCCACATATTGCACGACCATGTTCACCTGGACGACCACCTGCATGCTCACCTGCACCTGCGTTTGCAGCAACAGCAAGTCCCCCATTTGGTACAACACTTGCCGGAACGCTTTACCCTTCAACCACTCCTACAAAAGCATCATTTTTTGCCGCCCAACCGCAACCTCTTCTTCCTTTAAGCATTCCACCACCCCCATTAGCCACGTCGCCGACCGCTTTCCAAGCTGCGTCCAGTAATTCTCCGTATCTGCGTAACAGACAACCTTATCCAGTGCAAAAAGTGATTATTTCTTCAATTATCCATATAACTTTGAATTGAAAATTTTACAAATTTAGGATTTAAATTTAAATTTCATTCGATCATTTCAAAATTCATTACTAAAATTTGCTTCTTATTTTTTCATTTTTTATATACATGAAGTTTTTCTTTCCTGAACAATTGAGAAATTTAAGATTGAAGCAAAAAATTTAATAACGAATTTCAGTCTCAAATTAACGGGAAGACCCGGTATGAATGCAGGGAATGTAGCAAAACATTCGGGCAGCTATCAAATTTGAAAGTACATTTACGAACTCACACCGGTGAACGACCATTCAAATGTAGCATTTGTTTCAAAGAATTTACTCAGTTGGCTCATCTACAAAAACATCACCTTGTTCATACCGGTAAACTTAATTCTTTGAAATGAAATTAAAACATTAGGCATAAAATTTGTAATAATTTTAAGAATATGTATTTAATCATATATATATTTATCTGTTATCAATTTTATTTATTAAATCTTGCCAAATGTAACAAATTAATGAACCATAATTTGAATTGAGAATTAAATTAAGCATTTTAAATAATTGTTAAGGTGAAAAACCGCATCAGTGTGATGTTTGTCAGAAACGCTTTAGCAGTATGTCAAATTTGAAGACACATTTACGCCTTCACAATGGTCAGAAACCTTATCCATGCGATCTTTGTAGCGCCAAATTTACTCAGTTTGTCCATTTGAAGCTTCATAAACGCTTACATACCAATGAACGGCCATACAATTGTTCATGTTGCGGTATTTTTGATAATTTTATTTTCCAGTATTTGATTATTTCATTTCTTTGAATTTGAGCATATTATGGTACAACAATATTTGTATCATTCTAAGTTTTACTGTATGATCAGAATCCACACTGCACCATTGATAGATTCTGTTGATAGGTCCGTGTCAGTTACACGAGAATGAAATTTCCTACAATTTCATTATAAAGAATGTCACATGAAGATATAATCCGCTTGTTGTAACTTTAAATTAAGTGCTAATATCTTCAGGAAAGAAGTATATTTCTCCGTCAGGCCTACGAACTCATTGGAAATCAACAAGTTGTCGACCAGCAACTGATGGCGAAATGCATATCATCGACTTGGATAGCGAAGAAAATAGCAGAACGCTCCGTGATGAGCAATGCGTTACCAGTACAACACCGGTACCGCGGTGAATTGTAGGTCTATATATTCATATATATATGATAGAAGAAATATCTGCTATCCGCACTTCTTTCTTTTAGATTCTAGGCTTATACATTTGATTAATTAGGCCTAATTGTTATCAAGATGGAATGATACAAATGTATTCATGTATTTCCTGATAATATAATCTAGAAAGTTAATGTTCATTTTCGAATTTTTGAAAATTTTTACTTTATATCAAATAATCCGGGTTAAGTGAAATTCGTCACCCTTGACCTTGATATTTGTTTCTAACAACTATGTTTTATTGTCATTCTCAAATTCTTTTACCTTATCTTGTACAACTTTTGTTAATTTTCCAACTTATAACTTTTTTTAATAAATTAGCATAACAAAACCAAAGAAAGATCGTAATTTGTATTTGTACCACTCCTATCTGTATATGAACCTATGACATGTCTGTGTGTGGGTGTAGATGTGTGTGTGTGGGTGTTTTTATATGAAAGTATCTGTAAGTTATGTGTAGGAATTGTTGATTTGGTGCAGAAGTTTTGCTTATTCCGAATCCTTTCCGGGTACTTTTCAGGAAGCAAAAATAAGATAATAAAATTTAGGATTTGGAATCTTAATTTTACTTTTCTAATATTATTTAATCTTAATTTAATTTTCAAATTAAAAAAAAGTATTTAAAATTTAGGATTCGATTATTATTATTATTATTATTATTCTTTTACTAATAATAATACTATTCAAATTGTGCTAAATCATTTTTGATTTATGTAAAAATTGAAAGTTTATCTAAACATTGAAAGACTACTTAACTAATCTCTGTGCCACTATTTTAATCTATTCCAATTTTATCTCCAACGATATCTTTCTTCTGCAACAATTTAAAGGGAACAAAAAAGACGTTTTTCCTGTACGCACGATCTCCGGTTTCATTTCAATTTAATTAGCACTCAACAATTCAATCATCCTTACTATTTTTTTGTGCATTGTTCTAGATGATAATGATGATGATGATGATGATGAGCTGTAAAGTAAAATTTAATTTTTAAACTCATTTTTAGAGGATTTTAAATTTGTTGAAGTAATAAGTTGCAATCTAACAATTTCTACTTATTGCATGAGCAATGAATAAATTAATAATTTAATATTGGTAAATTTAAATTTGTGATTTATCAGATTTGAATTGATTCAGGTTGTAATGAGTTCGAATCCTACCTAACACTATCAGCTCGTCAACTGTTTTTTTGGCTTCTTTTTCCTCTATACCATCAGTACAACCCATGTTGTCTTTCTCAAGTTGATTATTCCCATTTTAAAATATTTGAATTGACCTTTTTGTATTGTCATTGCAAAATATTTGAAAATTGTTAAAGTTTATTTTTACAAATTTAAAACAATTACTAATTATATTAATTTTAAAATTAAATTTTTTGTCAAATAATTTTTTATTAATTTTTTAAAAATATGCATTTTTGATTGTAAATTTCATATTTTATGCTTTTAAAATCTGGGATTTATCATGTGATTTATTGATTGTTTTATATTTTATGAAAGATTAAGAAATGTAAACAAACTATCACAAACGGAAAAATATAATAACACATATCGGCAATCTTTCAAGTATTAAAAGGTAAATTTATTGATTGATTGTTTTTCTTTCAGCTTAAAATGTTAATGAAAATTAATTGATATTAATTCGTCAAAAATTATATTCTCATTTAAAAACTGCTAGAAATAAGGGCAAAAATTTTTTCTTATAAGCAAGCCTCATTGATTCCTTAAGATATTTTCTGTAATAAATTCCGTATCCAAAATTCTGATATATTTCTTGCGATGAAAACTGTAATAGTATTAATGATTGTAATATTCATATAGAACCGTCGTATATTTGTTTCAGTAAATTTTATTTGTTTCAAAATGAATTTTTCTTGTTCTTCTTATTTTGTTTGTTTATAAAAGTTTCCTTTCTAGTAAATTGTTTTGATGCAAAATGATAATAAAATTTGATCAAATAAAACAGCTAAACAAACATCACATTGTTGTAATTTTGCCGGATTTAGGTTGAAATTATTAATTAAAGCTTAATTTAATTTAATATAAACCAGTCAAACTAAAGAACTCACTCAGCGTATGTATCGAACTTCGCTATGCGTGCGCGATACATACGCATAGCGAAGTTCGATACATAGCTAGCAGAAAGGCAACGATTTCTAATGTTAATAAATTTAATTAATATTACAAAATATAATTATGTGGTGGAATTTTAAGAAAATTATTGAAATTATTGTTTCGATCCATTAATGAAATCTATGAAAAAGGCTTTTATCATCAAATTTTGTTTGTTCGACAAAGCAATTTAATAAATATTTCTTAAAATTACAAATCTTTTGCGTATCAGAAAATTTTTTTCATACAAAATATTTGTATATTTTGGTGAAATTGAAAAATTTTATGTTTTGGGTAAGTTTCGTTTGTGAATTTTTATTGGGAAATTTTGTTTTGACATATTTGATGGAAGCAAAGATTTCTTGTTGGATTTTAGAGTGATCGATTCAATCAATCAATGATAAATCAATCACAACTGTTATATGAGGATTTTCCTTACTCTCTTAATCAGAGAGAGAAGATATTTTGGAAGTATTTGTCGAAGTAGTAGTCGAAAGTGAATAGCTTAAATGTAGATATAATAGTAGTGTCGTATATGTCGTATAACACCTGGTAATACCTTTATTGATGATGTAACTCGTGATAGTTTTATTGATAAATATGATGTAACAAGATGTAACGTTGAAGTCGTTGAAGAAGGAATAAAGCACTTGTTGTATATGATATACAGCACTCTATATATGTGTATATATAGTGTATATATATATATATATAGAGAGAGAGAGAGAGAGAGGGAAAGAAAGAGAAAAGGAGTTGTTTACAACAAATATAATTAGAATCTTACGGATACAAGAATAAATATGTGAAGATGGAAAAGCAGAGCTATGTGAAGGAAACGCTAATTAGAGTTGTCAGATGGAAAATATTTCATGTGAATTAATTTACAGTAATTTGATCGTTAAAAATAATCATGATAATCAAAAAAAACAATGATAATGAATTAAATAATTCATTATAACATTCATTAAATTATAATTTATTCAATGAATCATTTGAGTGAGAAATATTTTAACAACACAAGTTATATTTATTATTTAGACATATTTATTATTTATAATTATTTCGATTTTCAACAGTTAGCATATGTGTGATAATTTTGTTTGCATATTTTTGAAATCTTTTTATTTTCTTTTTAATTATTATTTTTTAATTACCATTGTTTATCTGAGATTATTTAATTACAATCAAACTATTAGTGAACTTAGTTTTTAGTTCAAATTAATTACATTTTTTTGTATGCAACCGAAAATAACAAATTATAACAAAGAAAGCTTACATTTATTTATTTACAAAAAGTAAACAATATGTAAAAACTTAATTTTATATATACAAAATTTAGGATAATCAATATTTCCTTCCTTTATCAACAAAATAAATGACAAATATAAGAATTAATGGACAAATAATTGCACCAACTTCTTTTGTTTTATGGGATATTAATATAAATATCATCCTAAACCATAATTTAACTATTAATTTTAATAATCTATTTTTTACCGTATATTTTGCATATTTAATTTAATTGTTCTTCGTCTCTTTTATCAATTAACATATTTTGAGTGGACATGTGTAATAACCCATTTCAAGGGCAACAGCTATTACACAAAATGCAATATATGATATAATCATACTAACTCCAAATAATTTATTCATTTTCCAATGTGATAAAGCAATGGATGCGACAAGTACCATAAGCATAATGAAAAGCATACCAACACTGCATATCAGACCATTACTGTAAAGATCAATAACGTTCCGGTTTTCTTTTTTTCATTCAAAAATTTTTGAGAGAAATTGTTGCAAAAAAATTTCGATTGAAAATTTATGCCACAATTGCTTCTTTTGGCAATATATTGCATTTGAAATGTTTTAGATTAAAACAACAAAAAAAAAGGAAGCGATTCTTTGAAAACCTAAAATCTTACCTGGAAACTGAAATGTGATTCTGTGTGGTACCAGGATTACGCAGTGGTTCAACAATAAAAAATAATAACCAGGGAATTGGTAGACTGCAAAAGAAAAATGACCCAATATGAAAGAATAAAAGATGTAAAGTAATATATCAGATCATATCAGTAATATAGCTGTACATATTATTAATATGTGAAGTTGAGATTTGATTTCAATTCTAATTTAATTTGAGTTTTAAAACTATTGCTAATTGAAATTTTATTTATTGAGGTTTCCGTTGAATAAATTTTCTAAATGTTGAAATATATTTTAAACTAACCCAACGCATACATCGAAAATATTGCTACCGACAGAACTCGACACAGCCATATCACCGAGACCTTTCCTTGCCACAATAACACTTGAAATTTATTTTAACTAATTTATTAAATTTGAAATTTAATTCTTATGGCTTTAATCGAATTTCACACGAACAGCTGTTGTTTTAATATGCCTTATCATAAAAATCAATAAAATATGTTTTAACATAGAAATTATTCTAAAGTGAATTCCATAATTAATTTGAGAAATTAGCTCAAAAATTTTGCTCTATTAAGATTATTATGATTATCCGCTAGTATGCTCATTTGCAATCTTCTGCTCTTATCATGCATTCATATTGCATGCAATATGTGAATGCTACGTAATCCATTTTAAAGATAGATCCTTAAATTATACTTCAAATCACATTTGTTTGTCATACAATGAATGATTTAATTAATCATACCTGGTAATTAAATCAGGTATGCTTGTTCCCGCAGCCAATATTGTCAATCCAATTATCTGAATTTATTAATATGATTTGTTCAAATATAAAATTTCTTACTTTTTATTCTTATATATGTTATATATAATATAAATGAATTTAATCCAATACATTTCAAATTTGCTTATTAATTCTAAAATTTATTCAAATCAAAAAGCAAACAAGGAAATTTCCATTAGTATAAACAAATGGTATAAACAAAAATAAAGCTTACTTAATTAATTACTCTTTTTTTTTGTACAAATTAAGATATCTCCAAATGTTATACAATTAACAATATCAAAGAATGTATTTTCTCGTGATAATGCTATAACAATCACTTCAATTTTAATATCATTACCAGTTAATTAATTAATTAATTAACAAAATTGATAAAGTTTATTAAGAAAAATACATTTACCTCAGTGGGTATAGCAATCGTTTCACCAATAGTATTAGCCATCCAAACCATAATATAAGAATAAAATGCAATCCAGAAAATAGAACCAATGAATGTGATTGGAAACCATTTGCGTAAATTCTATTTTAAAATGCTAATCGAATTGAAAATGATAATTTCAAATGTAGTTTAAGTCTAAGAATTTTTATCGATCAAAAAAATGAATGTTTGAAAAGGAAAAAATTCTAAATTTGATAGAGAAATATTTTAAATTGAAAATTTCCAATGAATTCAATTTGAATCGGATAGTATTAAACCGTTAAAATTTCCGATTAAAATAGCTTCTTTATTGAGTAATTATATAAAAGCTTGTTTGTATATATGCTTTTACCTGCTTCCTGACATCAGGTAATGTCACCCATAATGGAAATAAAATTGGTGATAAGAATAGATAAAGAAGTTGACGATGTAATTTATTAGGCCATGACATATCTAATGGTTTTTCTTCATTTTCTTCAAGCATTCCTTTCTGCAAATCAAACACTTTTGAATTCTTTTTACTGATAACTTTCAACCATTACTTTTATATTTCGATAAATTAAATTGCTAATAATTTGGAATTTTATCATTAATTTCCGTAATTTAACTTTTCCTGATTTTCTGTTTTTTTTGGTAATATTCAAATTAATGTTAAAGTAGTATTTAAATTAATGTTATAGTATTCAAATTAATGCTATAGTACTCAAATTAATATCGTATTCAAATCATTATAGTATTCATAGTATCCAAATTAATGTTATAGTATTCAAATTAATATAATATTCATAGTATTCAAATCATTATAGTATTCATAGTATTCAAATTAATATAGTATTCATAGTATTTAAATTAATGTTATAGTATTCAAATTAATATAGTATTCATAGTATTTAAATTAATGTTATAGTATTCAAATTAATATAGTATTCATAGTATTTAAATTAATGTTATAGTATTCAAATTAATATAGTATTCAAATCATTATAGTATTCATAATATTCAAATTAATGTTATAGTATTCAAATTAATATAGTATTCATAGTATTTAAATTAATGTTATAGTATTCAAATTAATATAGTATTCATANTAGTATTCAAATTAATATAGTATTCAAATCATTATAGTATTCATAATATTCAAATTAATGTTATAGTATTCAAATTAATATAGTATTCATAGTATTTAAATTAATGTTATAGTATTCAAATTAATATAGTATTCAAATCATTATAGTATTCATAATATTCAAATTAATGTTATAGTATTCAAATTAATATAGTATTCATAGTATTTAAATTAATGTTATAGTATTCAAATTAATATCGTATTCAAATTATTATAGCATTCATAGTATTTAAATTAATGTTAAAGCTGATAATTTTTAGAACTTATAAAATATTATTATAATTTTGAGTTTCATAATTTTGTGATATTTCGTAATTACTTTAAGAAAAAGAAAGTAATTATGAAATGGAAGAAGTTTGAATGGATTAAAGTTAAGTATTCATAACTTACTATTTCTAATACGGAAGTTGTATTGGGACATATTGAAGTACGTTTACTTGTCACTGAAGTGCGTTTACTTCTTCCTCGACCAATTTCTAAATCTGGTCGTCCCATATCGTTTGCCACAGTAGTCTAAGGTTAAAATTAATTAATTTCCTTATACATACAGACAGATCAAAAAAAAAATGCCTCAATTTGCATACGACATTTATTATCGTTCGAAATCAGTTAAAATAGAAATGTAACTAAATTAGATATTAATTTTTAAAACAAAATTACAAAGATTATTTCAAGTGCCATTAGCGCTATTAGCATTTTCAGCATAAATAATGAACTGAATTTAGATATTTCAAAATATTTGAATATCTCAAGATATTCCAAAATATAGGAATAAATTATTTTCTCTCTCTTAAATAAAAATTCTACAAGATTGCCTGAATATTCATTAATCGTTAACATTTTCTCAATTCATCCTATCTTATCATATTGTAACCTTTCGATCATTATTTGGATGATATTGCCATCCACTAACAATTTGATCAAGTGCAATTTGCGCTCGCGTCGTATTATTATTTTCATTTTGTTCATTTAAATCTAAAATATTATTTAGGATGAATTAAAATGCAACCATAATAAATGTGACAATTACTTCTGCTGGAAGTAAATTTTTAAATTAATATTAAAAGTTTTTGATGATAAATTTTGATAAGCTTTTGATAATAAAAGTTTTTGGTAATAAACAATAACATTGTTTATTCTTTTGCTAATCAAAATATAAATTGCAACATTCGAACAAACAAATTAATGGAATATTTAAATATTTTAAATTTCATTTAAGAAAAATTTATTTCTATACTTTTTATAATTTTTCCTTTCTTTTTGAAAGATATATTCCCAAAATAAATTTATATTAAAAATAATAAAAATTTAAAATGAAAATGCGATAAGAAAGAAAAATAGAAATAGTCAAAAAAAATTGTTGCAAAAAATTTGAATATTAATATTCATTGCAGAAAATGATTGATAAAATCAACTTATTCTTTGATACTTGAGATTTTAGAAATTAGTGAGAAAGATAATTTTCATTCTGAAACTTTTATTGACAACTGAATTCCAACAATACCTAAAATTATTCCTAAATTTAAATTATAGGTCATTTAATTGGCATATATCCAAGTAAAAGTTTAAAGTATCCTGTTTGATTTAATCCATTATCTTTTCACTTTATAAGAAACTTATTTCAATTTCGTTGTAAAAAAAAGATTAACATTTATATCTATCTATGTGTATGCATGTGATGATGAAATGAATTTAAAGATTACAACAACGTTGTAATCTTTTATCATAATGAAAGGCGCATATGTTCTTTGTATTTGAAACGAAATTTAAGAAGAAAAAATGTTATACGTTATGACAGCTATTCAATGAATTAATTTGATTAGACTTATTATTTAGTCGATCTTTGAAAAGAAATATATTAGTTATTTCGCTTGAAAAGTTATAGACTATTATAGTTTTTAGATAATTGCAATAATTAGTTCAGTTCGAAATATATCAATTCTACGATATTTCTGCTAAAAAGTCTCAAATTTTTAAATGAATGATAATTGGTGAAAGGAAGGAACTAAAATATTATTTCTGACAAAGTAGAAAATATTGAATAGAATATGATAGTGTATTTTAGAGATTTAAAATTTTAGAAATTTACATTTTTCTAGAATTTAGAAACAAAATTATATGCTACAATGGTTATGTCAAACATGCAAAATCATGCAACTAATTAATAATTGCCATTCTCTCACTAATTTCATGAATGATCTTTAAAAATGCTAATTATTAGTTAGTAATTTGTAACTTATCGATAGATCAATTTGAAGAACAATTCATTTAATGAATAAATTATTTAAATTAAATTATTTGAATAATTCAAAACTTCGGGCGTAAAAAAACAATTTCTTTTTCGTATTAAAAAGAATGCTAAATTAATTGATGAAAAGTTATAGCTATAACTTAAACATACTTTCATTAATGCCTTCCTGTAATGGATTAAGGCCTTGAGCCAGAAGCTCAACAATACCGTTCCGGAAAATTGCACCACTATGTAAAATTGGGAAAGATTGACGACGCGTGCAGTGATTAGATGCTCGTATGTACGAATTATTACATCTTTGCTGCTGTTGTTGGTCAATCGTTGCTATCACCGGATCCTGTTGCGTCGATTGTATTCGTGGTATAGTGGTATTATCAGCACCATCATATCTTACCGTATTGTCTTTCTAAGACTTAATTCATCGAAGCATTTAACAAGCATCAATATTAATTAATCAAAATTAATGAAAATAATTTCTTCAAAAATTAATAAACAATTATTGTTGCAAATATTATTGTTTTTAAATTTTTGCTAACAAATATTTAACTTTCAATTTTCTTCCTTAAAAATTTTCATTTATTAATGTAAGCTTAAAAAGAGAATATTTCAATTTCAACAAATTTATATATTCTTTTTTATAGTTTTAAAAAATTTCAATGATATAAGTTTATTTTCGAAATAAATAGTAATAGCATTTCATCTTCGTTTTTATTTTTTTATAAGGAAATGGATGCAAAGATGCATGCATAATTGCATGCATGCATGCAAGCACGCGAAATTCATTTATTGCTTTTAATAAAATAGGTAGAAAATTTTGAGCAAAATTCGACATATGAATTTCAATTAGTGGCAGGTAAGCTATACTTGAGCTGGTAGAGTTGGTTTCTTTTAGAAATTTAAAATAAGTATGAAAAATTAATAATTATTAGATTAATCAATTTTTTGAATTAAATTTTGATTTGTTGGAAAGTTTTTAAAAAAATGATTTCGAATGAAATTATTTTGAATGAAATTATTCCAATTGTAGAAAAAGTTCGACAATCTTTTTGGAAAAAATATTGCAACAAAAGAAATATTGCACAAAATAATTTTTATTTGTATATCATAAATTTAATTGCCACTGTTTATTTTACAAATTTAAATTTTCATTCTATTTGTTCCTTCTTTTTTCCTTCGAATTTAAATTTGAATAATCAATAAGATAAGGTAATAAATAAGGTAATTAAGGTAATAAGATAATAAATAGTAATTCTGTTTACCTCTTCCAATTCCCGCACTTTATTATCTTTTTTGTTTTCCTTCGATTTCTTACTCGAACAGTAACATTTGACAAAATTCTCGATAGTTTCATTATATTTCATAAATATGCAATATAATAAATAAATAATAAATAAGCCAAATGCTTCGAACCAAAAGATCTGAACTGATTTTTTGAAAAATTGAATTTTTTGTTTACAAATAATGCTAGTTGTTATTTTTGTTTTATAGAATCATTCAAAAATATTTATTTAATATAAACATTTATTAATTTATTAATTGTTTTTGAAATCTATTCAAATTTAATTTTCTTTTTAAAATGAATTCATTAGACCTGTTCATCGAGAAAGAAAATAACAAGCATAAATAATGCTATCACATAAAATGTTACATCTCTGCAAGAAAAATATGATAAATTATTATTGATAATAATGAAATGATAGATAGAAAAATAAATTACTAATTATTGGGAGATATCTAATACCGTATCCGTGAGAACCGTATCTGTTCCATAAAGCTATTATAAATCTCAGCGATATCCATCCAGTACATATGAAGTAATTAAATCAATTTTGTTATAATTTGTCAAGTTTTTTTTGAGGTTAAGAAATAATTATTGCTTGAAATGGATCTCATAAAACGAACGAATCTTATTAACATATTTGAAATACTAAAGCAAATTATGATTTGATAATTTGATATGTAGTGATAAGAAAAACCTGAATAAGGGCCACCAGGTTAAAACTAAAACATTATGAGAGAATATTGCGCAACATGAGAGGACACAGAGTATATTGAATGTAGCGCTACCTGAAATACTAATTAAAACATGTTGGAATAGCATGCAATATCTTATTTGCGATCTTTTATTATTAAAATTCAGTTACAATTACTATCCGGAAAAAGTCATTCTAATTTTGTTATTTGAATTTTAAAATACTGAAATATAAATAATAACAAAAAAGTACTCTCATCATATAATTTGAATTAACTACAAAACTTACCGACAATGGTACCAATGCCGACATTATTCTCGGCGATAAAAACGCCAATGACAGATGTGAAAAATTCCGGTGCGGAACCTCCGGCAGCCATAAATGTTGCACCTTAATTTGAATAAAATTGTAGAAAATGAATGCGATATTGAAAGTTTTATCAAATAGAATCTTCGTGATATCCTTATCAGTATAAGTGATATTAAGAATATGAATCATGAAGTGATCGCTTTTTAAATTTTTTGAATTCGATTCCCTTTTTAAACTTAGAATAAGTGCTGAAGAAAGGGAAAGAGGCTTAAAACGAATGCGGTCAAAGTTGATAGTAACTTATGAATTAATCATTTTTTATTATTTGATTATATAGTATTGCTTTCCTCGTTATTATTTGATAAAGGTCATTCTTTCCACTATTGATGTCCTTTCCAGATGTCGATAATTCGCGATTGTCACTATACTACCCATAAATTTCTATTTAGCGGTGCAATTAAGCAAAATTAGCTAATTATGCTATCTTTGTAGCCCTTTATCATAAATGATCAACTAATACCTGCAACATCATCACTGATTGCCAATTTATCAGTGATAACACCCAATGACGGTACAAAGAATTCATCACAAACAACGGCTAGCGCAATGAACATATAAATTAAACCAATGATGTGCAGGATTACTATAAATAGTAAATTAATGGAATTAATTATATGGGGCGAAGTTCATTTATTATAATAATTTTGTTAGGCAATAATTGTATTTCACTAATATAAAAAATTTTAACTTCATGAATAAATAAAAATTTAAATATGCAAAAATTTTAATTCAATAAACCATTCACTTGCTCCATGACGTCGTTGTTCGAGAGTAAACTGATCCGGCGGAAATTGACCCGCATCTTTCGAATCTGTCACGGTTCGGTTCATTTCATTACTACAGTAGCATAATGTTCCATCAAAAGTCAAATAAATTTTCCGTGGAATGGACAAAACAAAAACAAACAAGTCAATGATTACAATAAATTCTCTTTTCCTTGATTAAAATTATTTTAAGAAATAAGAAGGAAAAACAAAATCAGCTCACATTTTACATTCCGGTAAAATTCCCAATAATTTTCGTCGTTGAAAATTTAAAGTTTGTTGTTGTGGAAGTGGTATGAATTGTTTTTGCAGCTTTTGTTGTTCCTTTGAACTCAAACGAATCATCTGTGTGGCCGATACCAGAAATATCGCCAAGGAACAGATTACAGCCCGTCGTATGAATGATTCATTGAAACGGCGATATCCCATTTTCGTGACGAAGTTTGATTTTCCGGAAAATGGGCAATTAATAATAATAATAGTGATAATAATGTGAAATAAAATTGAGAAATAAATTTGAAAAAGAGAAAATTGATAAGGCAATTCATAAGAGAATGAATAAGATATAGTTTCAGAAATAAATCGTTATGAAAATAATTATTTTATTAGTGAAATAATTATTGTAGAAAGAATTTGAAACATATCAATGAGTAAATACACTGATAGTAAGATATAGCAGAAAAGGATTTGTGTATCACTTTGTGGAAGTGAAAAAAATTGAAGGAAAGATCTGTGTATCATTTTGTGGAAGTGAAAAAAATTGAAGCAAAAGATTTATGTATATTTTGTGAAAGTGAAAAAAATTGAAGGAAAAGATTTGTGTATCATTTTATGGAAGTGAAAAAAGCTGAGAAAAAATATCAGCTTTACAAATTCGTAGTAATTGCTAATCTCCCCGTCTTTACTAATTCCCGAAAGTTTACACTTCAAAAGAAAAGTACTGCGAAATGATTTATTATAGAATTAGCTGATAATAATGATAATAAATAGCTCCTATATAGATACATACATGATAATAGTGATAAAAGGTAATAATAATAATAATTAAATAATGATAACGAATAAGTGATTCAAAAAATTCTTCATTCACTTCATATGGAAATAATCATTTTAAGTGGTTATAAATTACGACAAATAAATTTAGATTTAAACTAAAGATTTAAAGAAATAAAGTTTTTCATCAATTGTAAATCAAACCTGACGCGTATCATACTGATAGATATCATGAAGTTTGAATATTTTTGCCTACCTATCATGCTAATAGGTATGCAAAGATATTTAAACTTCATTAATATATTTATTGCTATCGCATAATTATCATTTATTTACCATTATTTAAATTGATTATAATTCATCTCTTTATTTAGCAAAATGAATGATTAATCAATTAAACAATTCATTTAGAAAAAAATTAAAAACAAATGAAATATTTATTGATTGAATTATGAGTGGCTCGAAATTTATTGAAGACAATATTAAGGAGAGGTTAGAAAGAGAAGAAAATAGTTTCTAAGATGAAATTTAATAAATACAAATTCATTCATTCATCCATTTCAATTCAAATTAGAATTAAAGAGGGAAAACAAAATTATAGTAAAATTTTAAAATCAATTCATAATAATTTTCTTATTTTATTTCATTCATAAATTGATTATATTTAATATCATATAAAATATAATCTAAATTTTCCAAAATATTTAATAAAAGGAAAAGAAAATCTTTTCAATCTTTTAAAATATAATCTAAGCTTATATTTATTTTTAGTTAGAATTATCTTAGAAAAGAAAAAAATGAAAATAATTTAAAATGAATATTTATTCTAATCGATATTAAAGTATTATCATCTATTACATAAAAGTTCGTTTCATTAATATCATCATAATTCATTGTCATAAATGATCAATCAATACATATTACAGTGATCGATCAATCATTACATACTACAGTAATACCATTATAGTAACCAAAATGTAAATAGTGAAGTGAATGAGTTAGTGAGTGAGTGAATGAATGAATGTTAGTTGTAAGAAGAATATGGCTCAATAATTTGTCAAAAAAGTTATGTCGATTGAATCAGATAGATTCAGATGGAATTATTCCTAAGGGACAATTCTTTGAATGTATCGCAGAATATTCTCAATATTTCTCATTCTTAATATAAGAACAACAAAATGTCGTAATTATTGATTGCTATTAAAATATTGAAAATAAAAAAATAATAAATTTGCATAATAAAAAAGCTAAAATAAATTGGCTTTAATATTTTAATTAAAAATTCTAAATAAAATATCAATTATTTAATTGTTTATAGAATTCGGAAAAAACAAATTTACTATAATAATTATATTTTAGGGAAAATTTTGTAAAATAATTTTAGAATTATTGAAAAGATAATATTAATAAAATAAATAATGTAATGATGGTAATTAAGCATGCTAATATTGAGAAGTGCATGAATGCATGCATACATGCATAATTATAATTATCAATTTGCAATAAACGGAATAGTAAGAATTAATCATACCATTTCCAGAATAGTATTGTGATATATATGAATTGATTTCGTCATATACTGCATTTTGCAGTTACAATTATAATTATATCAAAATAGAAAGTTATTTATGCAAGTAATATACTAACTAAAATTTAAAACTATGCCTGCATTTTTCTCCTTAAAATAAATTGAACACTTTAATTTGCATTATATCAAATTATTGAGAATAGAGAAAAATTAAAGTTTATAAGAAAGAAAGAAAAGTAAAAGATTAATTAGTAAAGATTGTGATAAAAAGTCTCTCACAAAATTTTCTCAATTAATTTCCAATAGAAAAGTTTTAAAAAGAATAAACAAAAGATTTTCCTTTTAATAAAAAGAGTTAATTTATAAAAATTTAAAAATGAAAATTTATGAAAAAGAAATGAAATAATACAACAATAAATTTTTTGTTTTAAAGTAATCAATAGCTTTAATTAATTGAAAAAATTTTATTAATTAAATTAGTCAAATTTTTTTATCAGAAAAATATTTTTGAAATTATTCATTTTGTTTACAAAATATTGTAAACAAAATGAATAATTTCTATCGCCAGGTGTTATTCATTCTATCAAAAAGTTTGTTATTATAAATAGAAGAAAAGAAAAAGGAAAATTGTCAACTTTGTTGTTATTTTGCAATAAATAACTTTTGTTTATTTATTAGCTAGCATGTCCTTCTAATTTCTCACATTCAATTGCAATTTCTTAAAGTTTTAAATTAAAATTTATCGAATGAAATATGTCTTTTGCATTGGTTAGAAAATAAAATTTAGTTAGATTGGCACAAATTTGTTATTACTTTTTATATACAACAAAATTTTAGCAGCAAAATTAACTTTAAACCAATAAAAATAGATTTTAAAATTGGACATGTTGTTGAAATATAAGTAATTGTAGTAAGTAATGAATTGAATAACAAATAGATATGCTATTTATAGCTTCTTCTATATATACTATATATATATGCAAATCTTTTGAAAATTACTTATTTAAATAAATGACAGTTAGCTATTTGAAATGAAAATCAATAACATATTATTTATTCTTAAAATACTATTCGAAAATTAGAATAAATTCACTTTAATTGTTAACATTTATCACTATTTTCATTCTTACAACTAAAGAACTAAACAGAGACATACATATTTAACATTTTGAAATTAAAATTTCATCTTTCATCTAACACATAATCTGATTGTACCGTATCATACCGTAAAATTTCATCTAACACAGTCTAATTATACTGTCATACCGTTTATCCTATTTCGTAGATATCAATTTCAATTCCATCCCTTTGTTTTATAACTTCTTTTTACAATTTACATATAAGTTACCTGGTGAGAAATATTTTGCAAATTTAAATTAATAAGTAAAATAAATATTCGATAAGAAATAATCAAAGTTTAATTCCAAAAAGAATTTTAACAGTAAGTTTGAAATAATAAAAAAGATTGGCAATAAATCATTAAGTAATTGAAAATAATAAATTATATGTTGTATATTTAATAAAATAGTTAATTATCGTTTTCAACCATAATAACAACATCGTATCGCTAAGCATAAATAATTCCAATTAAATTTTAAATAACAACATTGATTGGAAAAACTTCTGAATTAATTATGAGTAACCTAATTTGTTTTATCCTAGCAAATGTTTACATTTTAAATTTGAATTCATTTTAGTCTAACAATTCTGATGCTATAATACAATTAGTATAATCCTTATAAATTTCTTTTCTTTTTATTCATTCTAAAAAAGATCGATAGATGATGATACATGGAATGATTATCATTAAAAAGACAATCAATATAGATATTTTAAAGCTTCAACAAATTGCATAATAGCTTTAATTATTATTTATGGAAGATTTGCTTAATCTGTAAGATAATAAGAGAATTGATTAAATGATAAATAACTTCCTGATAATCTATTAGATTATCTTTCTTTCAGACCATCTCAAATATTTGTTTCTTTTTTTTCATTTGTTAGAATTCTATAAAAGAATTTGCATTTAAAAAATCAACATAATGGGAAGAAAATATGAGATGAAATTTGATGAATTAGAAGGAATAAGGAGGAGAAGAATTCATTTTATTTGGAAAAAATGATAAATTCACTAATAAAATCATTATTGATATTAAATGAATAATTTGAATGAATCTCTGAATCCATCAGTAATCGCTCGCTTCAGAATCCATCAGTAATCGTTCACTCTAGAATCTATCAGTAGTCGTTCGCTCTAGAATCTATCAGTAATCGTTCGCTCTAGAATCTACCGGTAATCGTTCGCTTCAGAATCCATCAAAAATCATTCGCTCCAGAATCCATTAGTAATCGTTCGTTTCGGTGTAAATTTTCCTTTTTTTGCGAAGAATGAATTTTGTCAAAATAAACGGAAATAAAATTATATTTAATGACAATCCGGAAGGGCAAAAAAGATAGGCTAATAAATTTTGAATTTTATGAGTATTTCAAATTTGGTTTTTCTTTGATAAAATAATTGATTTTTTTACCAATGTAATCATTAATTTGTTCTTTCCAACGATTTACCAATAACTTTTAAGAGTGAATTTCATAAATGCATGCTGGTAGCAAGCATTTAATTATTTATTTTAAATTATTAATTATATCGCAAACTGTCCTTTCAAATACCTTAGCAATATTATCAAAGGTAAAAAGTTAAATTTATAAATTAATTTTATAGAAATTTAAAATGCTAATTTTTTGATGGAACAAAAAAAAAATGATAGGCTAATAAATTTTGTTTCATACAAAATCATTCATTGTAGAAAATATATAATTAAAAAGAAAAAAGGCATTACTTATTATCATAAGTAGACAATTCCCAAATGGCAAACTAAGGCAGTCAACTAAGGCTTACTTTAATAAGCCA